CGCGGAGGCGAAGCCGAGGCTGTTTCTTGTAAGTGTATAATACCACCTTTATGAAGTCGACTCTATATACAAAAATTCTCGTAAAATTTTGGTTCATGCCGTACTCCCTATCTCCAACGAAGAAAACTTTGTTGAATGGCAGCTTGACAACGAGACGTCCAAAAACGATTAAAACGAATTCTGCTAAAAGTGGTAAACAGTTACCGAAAATTTCGCCATGTAAAGGAAACGACTGGAGCGTCAGAATGGTGGGGAGAAAAACACGGTGACGGCGAAATTAAATGGAACTTACCGCACCCGTTTGCATTCTTTTTAATGGTCAAGTGACATGAATAATAGTTTACATGAAACGAATACTTCAAGTTGCTTTATTGATTGCAGTATTCATTTTATTGAAGTATTTGAAGTTGCTTTTACATATCTTGGGTATAATTCGTCAGCTGAAGGAAATTATATCCAGTCAGCTAAAGAAGAAAGTGAATTATGTTATCAACCACTCTAGGGTACTCATACGGGGTCGAAGGTTATGAGTTTTACCGTAATTATTCAATTACACGAGTACGTGTATATCGCGCTTCAGTGATTGCAATTACAAGCAATAAGACCATTAAAATCGTAACACACAATATTCGCAGAATTTTGATTCCCAAAATAAATTGTTTGTACGTTGGACTTTGCACGCAGTGCGCATGCGGGATCGTGTGACAAGGATAACCTTTTTTGATTGAAACATGATGCGTCCTGCCCTGGTTTTACGCAAATTACAACAAGGATAAGCACCAATAAACACATACTATGCTCCGTAGTGTAAATAGCTTTTCATCAAACAGTAAAGCACCACTGCTGCTACGCAATAAATCACATTAGTTTTTTTTTTAATTTTGAAAGGAACACGGCTAGGCAGCTGATTTGCAGCAGGTTGCAAATTTAATAATGGCTGATTCTTTCTGTTTCCATCAAAGAATCATGAATTCATACTTCCCGTGTGTTTGTTTCCCAAGATATGCAGCACTCGGGATGTTTGGTTGTAACTAACTTCAAAAGTAGTATTGATAAAAGCAGTGAAATTATTAAACGGAATACAGATCTGAATATTCGGGATGGTAGCTGATTTTGTGACAACGAAACTTTTTGTGAGCTGGCGGAAACAGCGAAACGGTGCAATGCTGCGAATTTAAAACAAGATAGATATGCACTAAGATCAGCTACAACTGACGAGCAGAACTACAGTAAGGCCCAATGTAAACTTAGTTTGTGGAAGAACGAAAAGGAGTGCTGCAACTATGTGTACAAGAATTCGCAACGGAAATAGTTCCCGCGGGTTTGTTCCCTTTTCGTGATTTTTCCAACCGTTTCTCCACACTCACCCGCTAAGGAATGACATCAATTTTTCCATAAAATAATCCGGATCGACGTTTTTACAAGTTGTAAACATCTAGACTTGAGAAAGGGACTTGTCTTTTAAAGCCAGCGAAATAAAAGGAAATTTCGACTGGTCAGGGATTTGAAGTCGACCTCTTCTGGTCAACAGCCAATATATGACAAGCATACTAGGCTGGATTCTCACCAAAATTTGCAAAAAGTAGTCAGACTATTTTGTTGTTTTATTGAAACGTTTATGGCGACATTGTGACCAAAAGCTGATTTATAAGAATTTTTGTTGGAAAGTGAACACACTTGGCTGAATGACCTCTGTACAGCGGGTGGTTGGAATTTTTTGTGTTCAAACTTATGACAGATTAGTTTATTTTCACACCATTACAAACGGAAGGATTTATAATAACTTATTGATACAAAATAATACGAACTAATAATCCAGTTATTCAATAAAAGATGCCTCGCATGGACTAACAGCTAGAGAGGAAAACAGGCGGCAGAATTATACTGTAGAGAATGTTTGAATTTTAAATTTAGGCGAAACTGGTGCCGTTCCAAGGATAGATGCCCATTCGCACGTTGAGTCTCGATATGGAACGATGCGACAGATTCCTTTCAGATCCTTAAATACTTCGTTATCTATGTAACCGTACTATACTCTGCTCTAACAATGAGTGAAAGGTTAAGCGCTTCGCAGTCATGCAGAGAATAGCAATAATGGACGATATCTGTTAATTTCTTTGTAAAAATCAGTAAGATACGGTAAAAAAATGCTAACTGCACTCACCAACCTCAAGACCGTACAAGTAACAACATAACCGTCAATGCCTGCGCGGGCTTTCATCGTTGTAAAAGAAATAAAATGCGACGCGCTACAACAGACAATTAATTATTGACAAGACAGTAGCAGACATACAGCATTGCTACAAAAATTTAAACCTGTTAATACGAGTATTTTAGTATCAGCTGGACTTGGACATTGTGTTATGAACTTGGTGGGACAAGTCGCCGGTCATCCTTCGCGATGGATTGACACTGCTCCCATTGACCGTTCTTTTTAAAAAAGCCAAGAATTTTCTGATTTCCTTATTTAATGCTGTTCTAAACTCCGTGCCAACAATGAAGAGAATTACCTACGAAAAGTCACCCGATAAAAACAGTGATCAGTCAAATCATTTCACATATGATAATCTGACCGGGTTTGCAGCGTAGGCCACTAATTGTACTGTTCTCCGTACATCGATGACCGGATATCCTTGGACCAAAGCGTGGTATGAAACATTGACATTAAGACCGGGGCAGGTAAGGTCATGCAGTTTAGGATGGAGGAGAAGAACAGTGCTTTGACAGTACCCAGTCGTCGTTTCCGGGTTCGCCGCTCCAGCTCATTCATCAGCACATTGGCATTCCAACCTAACCGTTGACATCCCAGCAAGGCAAACAAACTTCCGTATGTCACACCCACAATGGCAACAGGGACGTAACTTCCGAATATCTGCATCAAGTCAACGAAGATTCCCTGCCCTGAAATTCTTGCACAATGGCCAATCGACGCGTGTCTGCCATAAACTAAACCCGGGACAACGTTGGCAGCTGGGAGCATTGCGACGATGGACACGATCCAGGCAAAGAGTAACGCAGCAAACGATACCCGTCGGGACGAGAAGGCGGCATAACGGTGAGGCAGAATGATGGCGATAAAGCGGTTGAGTGCAAGCGCCGCCCATGTCCAGTTGCTCACACCGATGTTGACCAGGGTAAGAAAATATACCGGTGTACAGTAGAACGTAAGTGAGAAGTGCATTTGCGTAAAGTAGACCGGCAGTGTCATAATGGGGGTGCTTCCAACGCAGAATAGGAAGTCTGTGGAAACAGAATGCAGAAGCAGTACGCCTGAGCCGCTTTTCCATTTCTTTAAGCGGTGCATTATTACTAAGAAAACAACCATCAGAACAGCAGCTAAACTGGCTATACCAAATTGCACTCCAAGCCAGATATGCATTTCCATTGCGGAAAGCGTTCCACGCAGTGGCAATGAACCATTTGACACGTTCGACTGGTTTAAAGTTCTGTTGTTCATTTTATCCGTAGGGACTAACCTACAACTGTGAGGCGTAGAGACGGCCAAACTGAATGCTGCCACGAGCGTGCCGGCATTTTTATTATTGATGTCGTACTGTGTCAACATGGGAAGTCGCTTATGGAAGCGCCGGAAATCATTAGGTTGTTTGTCCCTGCCCCCATGTTCGCATATAGCTTCTTCCCATCCGCTTCCGTGCGGAAACTGAAGAACATGACCTTTCGTGGTAATCCCATGAATTCTTCAGCAAAGAGGCTTGGCTAAACACGGGATATGTGTTTCATCGAACATCATTATCTCGTTAGGTTCGCTGTGATTTTCACTGTGCTTGTGTGATTTTCACTGTTCTTGCTGGGTTCACGCGCTACCAATTTATCATCCGTGAGGTATCCTTATTTCCATTCATGCTCATACACGGCCGAACACGTGCTGCCCGTTTATGCAGAGAGATGAGGTATGAAATAAAATTTCTATTGCCAAGGCACGGTCAGATGTTTTCTCTTCAGCAAAATCATATTTTTTGGTCCAAGACAAAGTAGGCACTGGGAATATTTAACTTAAAAGGTTTTCATCGACATTGGTTCAGTGGGCGTGGCCGGAAACAAATTTAAGTGGCATATGTTTATATTTACAGCGTATAGAGTATTGTTCTGTATGCGCGTTACAGTGCGTACGTATTCCCCATTGGACCAATGCCAAAGACAATACCTTTTTAATTATTCGCAATTGCTTACTCTGTCTTGAAGCCAGAAAATTAATGAAGTTTTTCTGAGATGAAAACCTCTGACCGTGCACAGGTGGAATATACCCGTAATTAGAGCACTTTTACGTAATATGAATAATTTTAATTTGATGTCTGTGCCCGTTCATAGCAACAGGCTAGGACTACTCAGGCCTCCTAACGCTAAGATATACTCAGGTAATCGTGTTGGGCCGCATTGCAACATACAATTGTTATGCGGGGATTCAACGGATCGGTGCACTGTTTTCCTTACCTGAATCAGCAGTATCCGGATATAGTGAGGAACAAGTACAGTATATTTCAGGGACAGCAAGTACCGCGTGGCGTAGTTGCGCATAGGTATGCGAATAAAGTACAACGCGTCTCTGTAGATTTATGCCACGCCTGTGAATAGGTCTAAACGAGAATAGACTTTACAATTTGTTAGTAAGAAATGGGTACGCACTACACACGTTGACGATCTGATCCTTGCCGGCTTCCCTAGACCAGTAGTTACAAAATCAATGCACCGCAGATGGCTTTTAATTGTGAGTTAAATTATCAAGTTTTGCGATTGTGGTACATATTACAGGTGTACTCGGGGACTTGGGGTGAAAAACACGTTTCGCTGGCGGCAGATTGGAAGTTGTCAATAAAATTATTAAAGTAACGTTGTCATTATGTTTTGTAATATTAAGAACTGACAAGGCCGCAACAGCAAGACTCGTTAATTTTTTAAAGTATGCCATTAACATTAATGTTGAATCCTTGTAACATTATTCGAAGTTCATGCACCACAATTTAATTGTAGCGTAGGCTTTAACCCGGAACGACTGTCTTTTAATCACAAACATCCCTAAACAAAATATGCCGGCTTCATCCATAAACTCCGCAAACAAAGGGAATGAGAGGTTACTGGCACACGTGGTAGGTATTTTCATGTCGGTATAGCATTGCATCACCGCGACAAAACCGATGCCCCAGTTCTGCGTAGCAGTAGATTCAACCAGTTAATACTTAGTAGAAAATTCCACTACCATTTCAGCATAGTTCTGGTTATCCGTTCGACGTACGGTCCCCTCAGGCCTTTGAGGCACGTTGTATTGGAAGTTAAAGTTGGCGATATGATCATCAGGATTAAGCCAGGGGTCAATATCGACTGCTTCAATCGTGATAGCAGCGCGCGAATTCCGTTTTACGTTTGCTGTAACACTGATATGTGATGGGAAGGTTACTGAGTTTGTATCATCCGGAGCTCGGTAACTTTGCCCAAGGCTCCTACAATTGCAAGACAGTCGTTGAATTTTTGTATGGCTTCCAGTTACGGTTAAACAAGAGAAGTAATGAAAGGTACTGTACCTCGCTCGCCCGTTCTCATCGACCCAACTATATTGTATAGAGAATTTCATATCACACTCGTCGTCCAAAAACCACCACGCTGGGTCGCAGTCTTCGCTTCGACTGAAGCGGATCAGGCGCATGGTCAAAGTCATTGTTGATGGTACCGTGGTTGTCGTGGAAGTGGTGGTGGTTGTCGTTGTGGTTACAGTCGTCGTGGGAAGGCAACTGGTATCTTCAACCAACTCGACTGCAAACAAATGGAACAACAAATATTCTAAAATTAAGCTTTTGAATCGGTTCAACAGTAATAATTCTGTTCATTGTATTAAGGTCTATCCATAGGAGTGTATTACGGGAAGTAGCCCGGCACTTGATACCGATTTCATGCATACACATTCACCGAAATTTCACTCTTGTGTACATGTACTGCGAAGTGCGAAATAACGTTTTGTATTGCTTAATGACATCCTAAGGCGAATACTATTTGTTTGCATTGGTGACTGGTCTAAAATTTGTGAGCGAAAGCAAAAGCTTCATATGAATCCGCACGAACTGATTATAATTATGAGCGGGCATTGCGCGTGCAACTTTTCTGGCGTGTATATAACTAATACACACCGTAACACACGCATGGAATTGCACGGCATCCTTGAAAAATTACATAGGATTACACGTTTATTAAGATGACTTTGTATAACTCATATAAGCATCAAGCACAGAATAAGATTATCAGGCATAGTTTTTGTAGATGTGCAAGCAAACGGTTAAGATTAAAGCTCAATTTTACCTTTTCTGGCCGTTATTCCAGCCAGGCCAATCGAAGTAGCACAGGCATGGAAAGCCGAAAATCGCAGCTGGTATACTTCGTCTTCCTGCACGATCACTTCCTGCGTTGTCCATTCATCACGTGGTCCGGATGCAGACCAGACCGTGTGCAGTTCTCGCCCGGGTGCAGCAACGGTTGACAAGGTCAGTTTGGCGTGCGGCTCATCTTGTCCATGGATTTTGTACCAGAACTGTAATCGAACCGGTTGTCCGTCTGCCCACAAACCGCCTTTGCTCTGGTACATCGCTGTGCGACTCGAGCCGTTGTCTTCACCGGCATTGCACGTCGAAAATAAGGTTTTCTTTGCTGGAAAATTTTTTTGCATCAATAAATAAATTGCTCGCAATGCGTAAAAGAGGTAAAATTTTAAACCGTACAAGCATCCTGTACTTCCAAAGGATCCGTTGCTGTTACGAAATTACTATCTCCGCGGGGCCTTTCCCAGGTTGTGGAGTCAATGAAGTCGGTTAAGTTGCTGTATACATTCCATCGACAGCACGCAAGGGTTTGCGAAATGTCGCTTGGGCAAAGAAAAGACGGTTCATTTGAGCTGGCAAACTTTACAGTTTCCGGCAAAATCCCTCCTTCCGTTGCCGGTATCATTTTCAGGCATACAAGTACTAATGAAATATTGCCCAAGTACGGTAAAGTGCAAAATAATTACCAGTCTGATAATAAAAATAAAAATTAATGCAGTTGTCACTTACCACAGGCAATAAAAATCCACACGCCTCGCATCGCCATTTTCCTGTTATTTAGGCGTACTCGGTAAGTATTTGAAGGGTTTCTCTTTTTAATTTTGCCCACCGGTGCTAAACGTCGGTGAAAAAGCAGTTCGACAAACCGGGAAATTCTGCGCACGTGCGGCTTGATTAAAAACATTTTGATAAGGCTTGAGATGATCAAAATTAAACCTTGGTTTTGCCTTTCTTATCCTTATCTTTGCCGTCATTTGTGCTCATTGGCCTGATTTCATTGTTTTGTTGGTTTTATCGTAAAAGTTGGTTACGAAATTCGGCGGATTGGTCGGTAAACAAAGCGGTCTAACAATATGAATGGCAAATTCTGCACAATGGTAGGTTCAAACTCCAGCCTAACAGAATATTTTGGCGCGGAGAGCATGCACACTGACCATCTGCACAGTGACCGGATACTTCTACGGCAATTTCAGAGTGGCTGAACCGTTAACGATTAAAGTACACACGCGATACACTCTAACAGTATTTATACAAAATTCTTGGAGACTAAAATAAGTACGAGGCCCGTTGGATGCTGAGAACACATACGATCTCCATCCAACAGTCAATATCAGTCGCAATGACCGTGATAATGCGGCGAGGAGGTGGACGATTTGGGCGGACGCGGGCTCCGCTGCAAACGATCAGCCGCAAGTCGGCGACGTCACGATGGTAACAGCGGTGAACTGACTCGCGGGCTGAAGACGGTCATTCTTTCCAGCCAGAATGGCGCCAAGAGCCTTTTTTCAAACAGCAAAATTTGGAACTGGCGCAGCGGGCGCAACCTGTTCTCCAGCGCTGGCGCAGCGGGCGCAACCTGTTGTCCAGCGCTGGCGCACCGGGCGCACGGTGGTTTTCCCGGCGGGCGCACTTGGCGCAAGACCGCTCCCCCCCTGCCGAAAAGCTAAAGACGGGCCTGCCTGTTTGTAAAAGATCACAAAAGGCCGGATGTGATCACATTTGTCTCGTGGGAGCGCGGGAATCCTCTGGCTGTGGAGGTGACTTGCGTGGACACACTTTGCAGCCACGAACGTACATCAACCAAAGCTCTGTTATCGTCGGAGCAGCAGACCGAACTTCCGGAAAGGGCGAAACCGACAAAATATGGCTGGCTGCACCCAAGATACGAATTAATAGCTGCAGCCTTCGAAATTTATGGACCTTGGGCGATGGAACTAAAAAGCTTGTGGATAATACTGGAAACGGTATAACTAACGCCACAGGCCGGAAGCAGTCGAAAGAGTTCTTTAGACGGCGGCTACCTATACTAATTACAAATGCAGCGAGGAAACGTATGTGTAATGGGTACAATCCTTGACCAGTGACCAGGATGGCATGGATGAACTGTTTTATGAATTTTGAACCGTTTTGGTGCTTACTTTTTACTCTATCAAAAAGGCTACGCAACCATCCAAATTTTTCAGATCTAGATTGCCACGAATGGGATACACCAGAGCCGGAAAACCAGAAAAGACTGACCAAAACCAGTATAATATTCTGAAAGCTTGTAGTCGAAAACCCGGCCAGATAGTATTCATTTCTTTCAAAACCTCTTCCTCTTCGAACACCAAAGCGGAAGAGTTTTGACTACCTTCACCAAATGCAACTAAATTATTATAATAATAATTATCATCGTGGTATTTTTAACCTGGCAATGTTGCCACGTAAACCAACTAAAATATAGTGAAAAAACGAAAGTCTTTACAACTAGTTAAATTATCAGAATGAATTTAATTAGCCGAACGCTATTACGACAAGTACGTACATGTGTAAAGTTGCCATCCAGGACAATTTCGGCGAGTGCCGGAAGCTGAGCAGCGATCGCTACACTATGACTACTAAGATTCTATTCAATCAGTAATACCGAAATACCGCAACTGTTCACAGCACAAACCCGTTAGCTTACCAAGTGACCAAAATACCACTATAGTCCAGCTGAAGAGTCCGCTAGGCCTCGAAGTGACCGAACACATGGCATCCGCCCCGTTGCGGCAGTCTCGCTGGCACTTGCAGTCAAAAATCGAGTACAGCACTAAAAAGTAAAAAATGCAACGCAGAACATACCGATTAAACATGCGAGTTAGGAGTACTCCTATGTCTCACCTATGACGAGCCGTTCGTGCAAAAAGGTTTTATGTATGTTGTGTTACTTATTATATGCTTGTTATGATTGCCATGTCACTCATCTTACGCTTGTTATGTATGTTATGTACCTTATGTTTCGCATAATATTGTTTTAAGTGTGTTTATTTTTAGTGCTTACTAGAAGTAAGCACTTATTGTACGTTTCTTCATGAATTAAAAAATAGTACTGTACTTAATAAATATTATGATAACCCATTCCGTTATCGTGCGTGCAAAGTACAGTAGTATGTGATTACTAAATATGCAGCTGTAATAATAAAAATTAATGTTCATTCTGAGTCAGAAGTAAGCAAAGAGTCTTCGAGTTCTGCACTTAGGTGTGATGATTCCGATGACTCAGATGAAGATTCCTACGGTAACAAGAAACAGATTAGTTTCCAGTGGCCTTTTTACAACACTTCAAGTTTCGATAAGAATACTTACATCGTCTGCAACGTGCTCCGTATCTTCGAGAAACCTAAACTGAAGATGCAACAAAATTAACATAATAAATTTCGGGAACAAGGCATTCACATTTATACCAAAGAATTTTCTTCAAAGAGAATTCGAGGCTCTCTGGGGTTTGGATAAATCATCTTTCGTAAGTTTATCGCGTCGCATATATCAAGGCGTATAGCTTGGGGTGACCTGCGACGCATTACTAATTATTACTTTTCATAATCAGCATAAGTAAGTAATTTCCTAAATAACGTACCACTGTCGCCGCTGCCGTCTACGCAAGTTTCTTCTTGCTGGAGATCGTCGTACAGCTCCTCGCCGACGCCGCACTATGGTTCTCCGCCGTGCAGCTGGGGATCGGTGCGCTGCTGGACTACCCCGCCTCGATCTTTCGCCCCGTGCAGTCGTAGTAGTATTGGCTGCTCGAGGTCGTAGGGTATTTAGGCGCGAAGCACGAGCAGCGTTTTGCACAGTGGGCTGTCCCTGTGCAGTAGTGTCGGCTGGCTGACCGCCGGAAACGTTGCTTCCAGGTTGTCCGTCTGGAGCGGCGCCTGTACGTTGACCTATTGGAACAATGTTGCTCCTACAAGATAGCTGATCATATGTAAAATTGAACAGATTCTTATAATTTAGAGTGGCACAAGTTCACATTCAACAATAATTTTAATTACGATCACATACGGCGCCTGTAAAAACACGTTCGCATCTCCAGCAGTGATTGCTTGAACGATAAGCTCATGCGTCCTGTTTAATTTCGACAGGTCAAAGGACCTTCCGATTTTGTCGGAAAGGAATTTTTGTTTCTGAGACTTTTCATAAGTAATATTCATTTGGCCGGCTTTGATTTGACGAAAAAAAACTTCAACATCGTGTTTTTGCGCTTCAGTCATTAATGCCATATTTTTGAAGTGGGAATAATTATTTGAGTACTGCCGCTGTAATGTTGAACATTAGTAATTTTTGTAACGGCTGACTAGCTCAATAGAATAGCCGTTTACGATTATTTACTCTAATAGCATCGTTAAGGGCCTTTCGGTTTATTGTAGTCCAGAGTGTATTGAAGTCCGTACGCTGACGCATAAGTTGGCGACACTCCATTATAATGTTATCTGTTATTTCTGCATTATTATTGAAGGGAATATTATGTACACGATTATAAGCAATCAGCAAATTGACACTGTGCATATCAATGTTGTCCATAACCGTCAATGTTCCAGTGGTACTCTTATCCGGCAAATCCTGCAAATACGCTAAGTGTGGTCACGCTAAGGTGTCACCAAAAAGTTATAAATTTTTATAAATTGAAAAGAGCTAAATTACTCCAGTCTGGTTGTTATTTTTCTGTACAGAAGTAAATGCTGCGTTTTCTGAAATTTGCAAATGACATTATTTCCCAAGATGCCGTTATAAACTAACACACAAGGGAAATCTATTGTAGTCACTCTTTGACCGGTATCTAGAATTTGGCAGAAATTAAAAAAGGCTTTTTAAAAAAAACGAAATCCCAATCGTCAAAGTCAAGAATCGTCAAAACGTAGTTTAGGTTTAATTGTGTACACTGTATCGTAAGCCTAATTTTAAGTTACGCTATTTAATACTGCTATCATTATAATGTTCACCTGATTCTCCAGCTGAGCAATATGCTGGGTCAACCGCAGGCAAGGTTGATGATATACCTCCAACACCACACAGAATGCTAACTGCTCGTTGTTTGAGCAGAGCTGAATTACTGCAGTCAGTTTGTGCCAGCCGGCAACCACTAACCAAAAGCGAAATACATTTTTTTATAATCTTGTTTCATATTTTATCTCACCGTTGAGTTTACCATTATCAATTTTATATATTATTGAAAGTACAAAACAAAATTAATTAAATCAGTAAGATTGACCTGTTAGCTGAATGACTCCATCGACAATATTCCTCCGAAACGCGGCAGCTTCCTCTGGCTGCGCGTTAATGTCAGGTGGTGGGATATCAACTACACAGATCACATCAATACTTTTTTGCTTCTCCAGCCTGTTGCACAGCGTTTGAGCCGATAAAGGTGAAACCGCCAGCATAGCGCCTTGGTTCCAGCGCATCAGACTGCTACTATTAGATGGATTTTGAGCTGATAGCGCACTTGGCGATGCCGCCGGCACCGACGTATCTGAGCCACTGATCATTCGCGTGATGCTTTGTGCCGGGGCCTAGAATTATCAATAAATAAAATTTTGAAGGTAAACGGAATTCTTTGAAGTACCTCACCAGCCGAGTGCTGCTTAATGTGCCGAGCGAAGTAGTGGTTACAGCAGCCGCCTTTGTATATGTTCCCGCTTTCATTAGGCTCCCATGCCTTGCAAGGACATCCCAAGATTTCACAAATCGCGAAAAACGGGACTTTGCACTCTTGTTCCATAATTAAGTATGATAAAAAGATTTCAAAAATTGAATTTTTCGCTTTACTAATGACAGGCAGTCCATTCGTTTGTGCTTAGCGGAAAACTTTATTGGTTATATCCGTGTAAGAAACTCACAGATCCGGGTGTGGTTTAATGAGACTATAAGTCTTTTTACGCTCGTTCTGCTGAGCCTGTGGTTAACCCATAAAGCTGCTGCAGAAATACTCCTGAATATATCCCAGTTTTGCCATGCGTATGCATATATTTTTGCTTCATTCGTCCGCTAAATTTGTCTTTGTTGATCTAATTACCTGGTTAAGCAATGGAAACGCCTTCTCTGGATGGATTTATGGAGTTTGCAACAACAGCTTTGCAGCATTCAGTGAATATTATATACGGAGAGAATCCTGAGCACGACAGATTAGACGATGCACTTTTCCAGATTGATGGTCTTTAAAAGTAGGTTTAGCGCTGACGCTGACTTCAGAGATATGTTTTTTAAACTGACCTAATAGTCAAATAAACTGTTGCAGACTCACAAACACCGTTGTGATCAACGCAAAACCTTCGGATAAAGCCCAGATAGATATAATTCAGAACGAAATAACTATACAACGAGAGAACGTTCTGTTGCTCTTATCGGAGATACCAGAATCGGCTATTTTGCCAGTGCAGATATACAAGACGTACACAGGTGGAAGGCCCAAATTGGATATTCCTGAAGAGGACTTGATACGGTTGCGCAGGGAAGGGTTTACACACGAAAAGATTGCTGAAATACTGGGAGCTAGCGTCCGCACAATTAAAGACCGTTGTGCGAAGCTGCAGATTTTAAAAAAAGTAACTGTTTTATTTGTTCTGTAAGAAGAAAAACGGAGGTTGATAACCATTGTGTTGTAGGATATGAGGACGGACATATCAGACGATGCTCTTGATTCCGAAGTAAAAAGCATCTGCGCTTTCCACGCCAAAGTCGGTTACCGAATGATTTGGGCGCAACTGACGGCTCGCGATATTCACGTGAGCAGAAAGCGCGTGCGTTCCAGCGCTCACCGCGTCGACATATACGGTATTGCCCAAAGAGCTACGTTCCTGATTCCTAGACGGAAATAAGTATAAAGTGCGCGCTCCAAATTCCTTATGGCATTTGGATGGAAATCTAAAATTGTGCAAATACGGTTTCGTGTGTAACTGAAATTATTTTGTTAAAGATGCGCATTTCAGATGCTTTGTCTTTTACTCGTAGTTCATGGTGGAATGGATGGTTACTCCCATCTCATCGTATACCTCAACTGCGCTACTAACAACACCGCCAGCACAGTTTTCGAATGTTTCCGGGAGGCCGTTTCCACGTATGGTGTTCCTTCTAGGCACGTGCTACAGTATAGCTGCATGTTCTTTGTATTTTACAGATTTTGAATGCTGAATTTTGTGGGTGAATAACGTGAACTTTTCAGGGTTCGCACCGATAAAGGAGGAGAAAACCTGTTGGTTGGGGAGTGGATGATGGAGCTGCTGGGCCTAATAGGGGTAGCTTCATCACGGGAAAGTCCGTGCATAACCAAAGAATCGAGCGATTCTGGGTGAATCTGCGTGTTAATGTTTTGGACAAATATATCACTCTCTTTCGAAACTGGAAGAACGAAGGAATACTGGATCCTAAGAGTCTGATCCATCTTCTTATCCTGCAACATGTCTTCCTTCCAAAACTACAACGGGCAATGAAAAGTTACCAAATGACGTGGAATAAACATAAAATGAAGACCGAACTGGGTACGTACTCTCCAGAGCAGCAATGACGTCTCGGCTCCGTAACAGTGGGCATAGACGGGTTCCAGCAGCCGGACACCGAAGTAATTGACGACATGTATGGAGTTGAGCCCGAAATTCATTGCACCGAAGAAAAAGACGATAGAGGAGTACCTAATACTAACAACGCCACCGCCAAGCAAATCCTTGTTTCTCGGTTAGATTGCGCTGAAATGGAGGATGATTTTTACTGTAAACTACTTTCTCTTAAAGGAAAGGAACTACTGCAAGTTTGAACACAGCTTTGAAGTTTTGCTTCTATGGTTCTTAGTCTGAAACGTTGACTTATATTTAACGGTTTGAATTAAATACTAAAGTTACAAAGTTCTGGTAAAACCGGAATATGTATATACTGTATAATAGGTTGGTATGACGCTAAACCCCAGCACGTCGTGTTACAGGGCTAAGCTGCCAGCGCTAAAATTTAGCGCTATGCGTATCTGCCGTATATACATAACATACATAACACAACGTTACAAACGTAACATAACAAGGGTATCATGAGTAACAAACATAACATGAGTAACATAAGTAACATGGCAATCATAACAATCATATCAGAAGTAACATAACATACATAAAACCTTTTTGCCCGAACGGCTCGTCATACTCACCTGTTGCTGTAGCTGTTGTTATTAGTTTTTTTGTTTTTGTAATTTCTGATTGCATATACCGAATATTAGTAAGTAATCAACATCTCAGCATAATATTACACACTGCAACCAGTACGTTGATCAGATCTACATGTCTTACGTATTCGTTTTACTTTCCCCACTACAGAAAGGCCGTATGATTTGGTCATTTTGGGAATCATTTACCAATTATCGGTTCCAACTTCCATGTACTGGTTTCGTTGACTCCTTTGGAGTGAAGCTTGGACTAAAGGTATAATGGAGACCCGGGAGGCTCTGCCGAGCGGTGGCGGCATTTGCTTTGTTCCCGGAGACGTCGTGTTGTCATGTAATCCGCTGGTGTGGGTCCTTGAGCGCAGTGCCTACAAAACCCACTGTGCCTATTGCTTTCACGACAGCCAGGAACTGCGTAAATGTTCGGGATGTCACTTTCACCGCTACTGCAACACTACGTGCCAGGTGAGATGAGAACAACGATAAAATTAATAAGATTCATAAGAACGAAATTTCGGCGTACTCGCATCGTGGAAACTTCACCAGGGAAACCTGACATGAGCTTTCATCAAGAGTTATCATAGCAGTGTGGCATTATCGCCTCCCTTAATATTAATTTTCAACTGTCGCCGGATATGATACATTCTGATATTAATGTGACTTTTTTATTATCAACTTGTACAAGCCAATGCCATTTACGTTAAAACTTTAAATACCCAATAATCAGAACAAGAAAAATAACTCTTCTAACTCTCGAGAACACCCGACCGTCCCCAGGACAGAAGCCGCGTTTCCGCGCTGAATTTCCACACTTATACATTGCCACAAATAATGAACAGCGCGCGCTTCTCCCGTTTGTTCCTTGATACGCCGGCCGACTTCATTGATGAACTGGTGGGTACTTTCGCTACAACTTCCCATAGTTTCGAGTGCCATTGGCTGGAAAAAATGCCGATCAGTGAGTTCGGAATATAGGTTCCGCTTCCGCACTTCCGCGTCTTCAGCAGCCGATCCCGCTGCTTCTGAACAGCCAGCTATATACGAAGTAGCGAATGTGTCACAAACTGTTACATCCCATATCAGAGGGAGGCCATTTCTCCATGGGAAGAGTGATAAGCCGTCTGGCCGCTTCCCGTTCAGTCTGCACAGTCCGGGATGCTCCAAGATTGACGGCACCTTTGCTGATCCCAGGCTACGCTGAATCACGCTATTCAGACTCGCATGCCTCCTGAACCTTCCTTGGCTTTTGACGCACGACAATCCATGTAAGCCACATGTATCAACCATTTCACCACACCGACATTTATGCTCTTTACAAATAGGCGCCCCCATCCGCAAAGCCACAGCGATCCGCAGACCGGCATCGTCCAGCAGTGTGCCAAGGCTGGCGACCGGCAATGCAAACAACCAGGCACTGGCATCCTTAGCAGAGGCAGCCAACAGACGAGCAGAGGCAATAACGTCGGCGCTCTCTTTTAAGGCTTCCAGTTTCCCGGCAGTCAGCATGTCCGACCACAAGCGTTGGTTTCTCCGGTCTTCCATCGCAGGTGCACACTTTCCTGTACGTTCTTCCCAGCACAGCTCAACGTCAAACCGCTCGTCGGGGCAATCTTCGGGCACAATAGTGCGTACTAGCTCGTCGGTAGAATAAAGCGAGGAGAGATAGGCCGGCGTAGCGATTTCTTCGGCTTTAGGCAAACCCAGGCCACCTGATTTTACCGGCAGAGAAGCTTGCACGTACGTACAGTCGTCCATCGCAACATTCGTAATCTCCTCAGCTTTTGACCTAATCACTTTGTCAAACTCCCTGAGCTTCTCTGGATATTTGTAGCAAGCGGCCGCTCTTAGAGAGTGTACATGAGTCGCGGTAATGACAGACTGTTTCTTAGGAGAAATAACGCTTGCTGCGCCGGCAAAACGCTTAATGAGTCTGTCAGTTTTTTGATTTGGCCAATTTTACCGTCCAAGCAGTGGCCGATGGACCAGTCAGTAAGGGGAGCACCGAGCAGTTCCAACGTCTCTGGGGTTACCCTCTTAATACCAGGAGCGACTGCGGCAAACCGGTCGAATATTCGGTCGTTCTGATATTAATTGTAAGTTAGTACAACGAAAGAGACTGCAGGTGTTATGCCCCCTAGTTGGTGGGGGGGGGGGGGAAGAAAGAAAGAGGAAATCCATAATTACTTTAGCCTCTTTTTCAATGCTGCTGCTTCAGTACATTCTTTGTTGTACGGCTGCGCTCTGTGACAGCTGTTTCAGATTTAATCAAGTATGAAATTTATGTGGTATCACTTACTCTTTTAATTTGTGTTTGGTCAGTCCAAGTTTGTGTCCTGTGAAACTGCGTGCAGTACCGTCATTTAGGACCTAAATATGCGCATGCCCAAGACGGCATGAAAATGGTATTCGCTTTCTGACTGTGTGTGATGCAGGCCGCTGATTGGAAAATGGAGCATAAACTGGAATGCGCCATGCTGAGGGACATCAGCAGCATGGAAAGAGCGGATAAAGAAGATGATGGTGGGAGGCGGTCTTCCTGGTGGCCGGACATCGAACGGCTTTCCCGTGTCTAATGGTACCTTCAATGACATGATCGTCAAGCTGGACCATAAAATTAAGGTAATACTCGTATCAGTGATGGAATGTGAATCTTGTAGCACCTAGTTAAGGGCGGGCTACGTGCCATAAAATTTGATTCTGTTAGATGGCGATTTGTGCGGTACGAAAAGCTTCTTCTCATTTTTTCCAGTTATTGGTTGAGCAGTTTTAGTCCCTTGTGCGTGCGAGACGCAATCGTTTATGTGCATATGACCAGTCAATATTATTTGGAAGTATCCAAGCAGCATACAAGTATTCGCAGTCGTAGTCAGCACAAAACATAAGTCTATCAATCGAGAAAAATATTACTGTACAATATTATAACGGAAGGCTGATGATGGGCCTCCGTTACTAGTGGGTTGGCTACACGCCGCGCCACGACGCACAATCACCGAAAGTGGTGGTCAAAGATGCAGACGTTACACAGTTCAGGGAATTACAGGAATCAGGAAGACGAGAGGTCATTCCGAATGAACGATCGAACGAACGAAAGAAAGAAAGCTTTCTCATCAAAGTTTATTAGCAATTGAAGAAATGCGGGTGGCTGCGAAGCAGCACCGTGCCCGACTGATTTCCATAAACTCATTCTCATCTCCACAGAAGCTAGAAATTCGGAACACAGACCGCCCACAGGCTACCGATTACATCATCGGCTTTATCACTGACCAATCAAATAAAACATAATTATTTGAATTCATAACACTCTTGCTATAATATTATAACGGCTAAAGCTGGCGCCATTTTCTAGGTGGCTGACCGTGCTGCACGGTAATAAACCATTTTTTCTAAACGTAAATTCTGATATCGGTTTTAATGTGTGATTAAAATGAACTTGGGCCATACGAAAATTTGTAAATTTTTGTTCGAACTTACGTGCCAACGCGAGGTAACAACGTCCCGAACTGTACTGTATTAATACTGTAGGCGAACCATGCATCTGAAGGGAATTTATACGTTATGAGCATTGAGCGGTACGTTACTGGACAGCCGGATAGGTAAATACGATTCGCGCTGTAGCCTGCCCTGCACTACATAGTTGCAAGCCGTGTCTGTAAATCGTGAATACGCTCGTGCAAGCGCGCTTGGCTGCGCTGTACAAATTTCCCTCAAGAGCTGAGTTAGGGTACAGTAATAATTATTGACGGGAATGCGAAAACAAGCTGCCGTTTGAGTGCAAATTTCAAGTTGCAGCGTTAATTCAATATACGCCCAGCTTTTTCAATTTTGTAGAAGCAGGCAATTCTACTTAAAAAAAACCCTGTGCGTATGAGAAAATCCAAAGGAACCTACACGGTAAAGTTGTAAATTCAAACGGCGATATTCGTAATTGCAAGACGGTAGTAGGTGAGCAATGACACAAACACAATCTGAATTTCGGACATGTTCGGCAACAACCCCCAGCGTCCCCCCACACCCCAAAACGATGTTGCCAAAATTTTAAGTTTTTGGCAACATCACAAGCTGCTTGCCAGAGCCATGCTGCCGAGTAAGACATGATTCCAAACGGGACGAAAAAGGCTAGCCAATCACAATCGTTCAGTGACGTCATGAATTTTTAATTTCCGCCGGCAGCATCAAAAACATTTATCGCCAGCAGCACGCCCTGAGTTTTCGCATTCGCATCATTAATAAAATGTTGTCCTTAGGAGAGTGTATCCAAAATATGATCTTTTCCGCGGTCTGCAGCTGATGGGACAGGGAATGTCTGCCGCTGTAGCGCTTCACCAGCGAGTGCTGGATGGGACTGGGCCGCTGTCACGACAGGAGAAAGACGAGTCCCAAGAACTGCCTGCCCAATTTGCTAATCGCCTGATCAGTTACTGTCAGGAAGCCAAAGATATCTTTGTTGTTCTGTTTGGCGAGAAGTCCAAGGAGGTCGAGAAAGCCGATATTGTCCTTGAGCGGGTGACTGCCAAAATAGGCCTCATCGAGCAGGCTTTCGACATTCAACGCAAGACCAAAAAATGAAGTTGTATTACTTGCTTTATGTGACTGTCTGGGCTTTTCGACATGCGTTGTTTTTATGCGTTTTTGATAAACTCATTCGTCGTGATTCGTGAGCTGTTATTTGCACCACACTGAAAATAGTGTATTTGCGAACTGATAAATATTGATTTTTAACCACAAACTGAGTGTCTCTTTATTGTCACAGCGTATTTCCAAACGACAGGTAAAAGTCATACTTTTGTTCGTTGAGATGTGATAGGAAATCACAAGATAACGAAGTAATGACAAAAGGCATTTCCCTAATAATTGCTGATTCATTCGAAAAAGACCTTCTCTGCGCTGCGGTCATTTGTTCATTGTTGTCCTTTGCTTTATTCACTTAAATACACTTCGGCGAAAAAGTCGTGTACATTTCGTCGATCTGATTCAAAAATTATGTAGTTACAAATCTGATAAAGACACCTAATGAAGTAAGATTAGTTTTCCGTTTGTAGTAAAGAGTGCAGGTGTATGTATTTGAGAAGAAAACCGAAGAGCAAATTCTATACTGCTGGCAGGTTTGAAATTGTCAGTAAAATAAACATCGTTGCTGTTACTATTGGCAAGGCCGGAAATGCAACACTCGTTTTTCTTGAACGTTTTCGTATTACGATATTATTATTAAACTTTCATGCGGTTATTTCACAATGTGCGGCATTGTGGAAAACAAAACAACAATGCACTGGATCCACGAGAATGTCTTTCTTCGGTGAGATACCACATCGAATGAGGAAGTTCGAACAAGCATTTGACTGCGATGCTAACGCGAACGTCAAAAGGCCAATGCATATGACTACATTGAGAGTTTGATATTCCGCTCGAGCACTTGCGGCTTTTTTATGGTTAACGCGAAGTGGTTGATCCATTAAGCCAGTACGTGGTCATGTCGTTTTTGCCCTTGACTGATATCACACCGCGCTGCTCGATGAGGAAGGATTGTGTACTGATTAATATCTGTGCAGTGACATGGGAAATTTGAGTGCAATTCGGTATCCCGTAGGAGCACATCCTGGAGGCAGTGTTGACAGTGTCACCAAACCTGTTCAAAGCACTCCCATAAAGAACACGCGCCCTGACAGTGCTGAGTGATCCACTTACAGACAGTATCTTAAGCGGCGAAATCCAACGACTCCCGCCGCGCATGGCCCTTCAAAATCACGAATTAACACATTAATTAGCAGTTTTGCTGCAACCCCAGTGGTACTACTGTTACCGGAGTGAATTCCGGATTTATACTGTAAATCAAAGTGTCCGGAATACCGCGGTGCAGATTCCATGACCTTGAGCGCGTACTGGGCCATAACTTCGGCGTGCCGTTCGTGAGCAGTCCGAATTAAGCCACTGACAGTCTGAAAATCCATATTTTTGAGATTTTCTTTGAAAATCTCTTCATAATTCGACGTGTGCGTGTACAAAGTGTTAGAAGCATTCAAACAACACGTGCGTACGAGAAATTAGAGGCAAACAGGGTTAGAAATACGGTACTATACCAAACAACAGTCATTGACGGTTTCCACTTTGGAAATCTCATCGGCAAATAAGCCAATCAGTCGATCAATGTTGTTTTCGAATTGATTGACTAGTTCAATAAGAACTCGGCGCACAGATGTTAGTGAGAGAAGCAAATCCACACAATTGCGTGAACATAACCGTCGTTGATTCGAACAGTTCGGGAACCACGGTTGTTCCTGTGCGGAATGCAATGGCGACATTCCTGTGACAATATTATATCCTGTACTGATATATTTTGTATGCATATTAACTCGACAACATCAGATGTACAGATACCTCGGAAGGAGCTGTGCGATGACCTCGTCACACCGATGCATTTCCTCGATCAAGGCTTTCGTTCGGAGCGCCACTTCGCTTTCCAGATCGACAGTGTAATTGGCTAAGCGCCTTTGAATTTTCTCAATAAATTTCACTTGGTAGCGGACGGTAAATAGATTGGATATTTCCGCGAAACTATCTTTGATCTCGTTCACCGATGGCCGCTCTCGGACGTTGCTTTGCCAGCACATCTTCAGTATGCGTCGAAAATCATGAACTGATTCCGGTGTGGTAGCGTCTGTATGGGTTTCTACAAACAGCACAACGTGGTCCCGTAATTTGCATAAGCTAGTGCCTGTTAAAATACAGAAAGGGAGTCACTTGTTACTTGTGAATTTTTCTTTTGCTAACAGTTCCCACAATATTACGCCCACGGCGCTTATTTCATTTTTCTGCTGAAATTCGGTAGAAACAGTGTGAACGCTCTTGACCCTCCGTCTCCTTGATGTATTGGGCAAAACTCCCTCTGAACTTTCTTTTGTGCCTCCGCTGTCTTCGCATAATTGGGAATTAATCAGGCCACTGACTTTCAGCGTGAAATGTTTGTCAACTTGACAGTGGAAACCACACAGACAGCCATGGTAACCAATAGTTGATGAATGAATAAATGCCACACCCTGGAACAGGAGTCATTGCAAACCAAGTTGGAAACAGCAAAGCCATAAGGAACTACTACTTTGCTACCTGTAAGAAGTCGATGATGAAGGAACTAATTAATGTAAAATCTAAATTGATTAGCCTTTCGAATACGTCGTAAATGCAGCCGCGGTGTGGCGATTCCGTGATTGCACTAATTCTAATAAGGTGGCTTTCGCCTAATGCGGTCAATCCGTAGAATCGAGCAATATTTGGATGGGAAACACTGAACATCTGCGGCAAAACTTGCCCATAAGTCAAATCGTGAATTATAATTTATCATCGCTTCTTACTCCTACTTGGTTTAGACGACGTGATAGCTGATGTCTATTTCGAAGGCGATCAAACGGAGAGTGAGCAAACTCAGCTATGACGGTTGTAACTGACTCAAGAAGCACTGGAATTCCTTTGAGTCGTGCAGGAGAAAATCGTTCTACCTGAAACCGTAATGTGCAAATTTACCTAATCAGTTCTTTAGTGCAAATTTACTTAATTAAGCATTGAAGTTAACCTACGACGTGCTGAGCTCGTAAGGCGGACGATAATCCCTTGCTTTCACGAGCCGATCTAATGGAACCGACGGTCACAGGAATTCGAGCTCGGATTGATCGATTCTCCACCAAGTTTGCGCAGCGAATGCGCTGCTGCTCAGCCGTTTAAGCCACCTACAATTCATTAAAATACATCATTTCGGTAAAGAGCAACGGCAGCTGGTTGCAGATTGTTTATACTTACCATGTGGCTGTCAAGACCATAATTAAGCAAATAATACCGGCGACCGACCCAGCGGTGGGGACCACCCAGGCGTTTTGATCTGTATGAGATTCAGATGATACAAAAATGATCCCAGTAACTGGAAACATGCTTAGAAATATTAGAAGACATTGTGACTGGACTTTACCATCTTTAAGACAAGCGCGCCGAAGCTTGTGGTAGCCACAAGGTGGCTGATTGGGTGGTGGCCAGGTGGCGTCGGCCCAGCGATCAAGATCGTACAACTGTACCACTGGCGGGCTACCCGCCGCAGTTTTATGAAATAGCTTCTACAAGCAGTTGGTTCATATAGTTTATCTTTCTAAAGTTTTTCCATAGTTAGGCTGGCGCACCATTTGATTGCCGGCCTCATCGAATTTCCATAGATATAAATCCACTTGTCTTCCTCCTTTGCCATCAATGTATATCTCGCTGAAGTTGTTATGAAAAGTGCGATTGAAGAACTGTCTCGCCAAATATGCAGCATCGAAATATGGATGCTCTTTTCCGTCCGTCTTCAAGTCATGCAGTACCTGTGCAAAAATTCAAGCGTTTTCGTATTCTGTATGCAGTTATATAATCCAGGAAAGAGGGGCAAGTACGAGTACTGTATAAAATTATTAGCTAATATCGATGCAGTCTGGTTCATGAACCACGACACTGCATTCATATTAAGCATTCTGTTAATGGTTGGTATCATGTGATCACATAAAAACGCCACAGAAAATATGTCCCGGCCTCCCAGGTAAAGTTTCACACAATACGCATTTGAGAAGCTTACTTTGCCGAGCATTGTCACAGCGCCGTAGCAGCTCAGTAATAATGGATACGGCTACAAAAATATAATATTGCCTCCATTACTGACCACTTCAGGTAGTAGATCACTGTGCATACAGCATCGTGCAACGAAATTCGTGGACTCTAAGACTTATACTTCTTCCAGTATACTGTCGCTTTGGTTAAAATCCCGGCGCGTCCTCTCGGTAATCCTTTCTGCAAAGTCGACTGGGGCGCTATCATAAATATCTGCCGGTCTCATAACTAGCAGGGACTGGAAGGCCTGTAAGGCGATCTGCAAAATAACTCGACTGGGTGGCAGACAACTTTTAAAGCGACATCATGTTTCGCGTCTCCTTACTGCGTCGTTGCTGTCGTTGTACTTCCAGTGCATAAGCCCGTATTCTTTATTGTTAGGCCCCTCCAAAACTTTGAACGTCATATACACCTGGAAGGAATGCCTGTGAGCATGCGTCATCTATTGCCGTCCTTTGCCGACGGAAATTCCCGTACTTACGTAATCGCCGTGTGTCATATTTGCCAGCGCTGCTGATATCTAGCGAAATACGAAGACAAAAAATGCCTGATTCCTTTACCGGGAAGAATTTTGAGGTTACAGTACCAAAAACTGCCTCAGATGTTGAGCAACGCCAAAGAAAAGTACAACTGTGAGAAAGACAACCGGGGAAGATAATCATATGCCAAGATACGGTAGTACGACGGTGCTTACCTCTTGCATGCATGCGAATATCCGTCAACAGCTCGCTAAAATCATAATCGGAAGAGGTTACGTTAAGTCGCCTCACTAGAGGTGGTCGACCGAATGTTTTCAAGGAGTCGGAGACCATTTGGGCCGCATAAGCAGAATACAAATCCGATGATATCGATGCCACATCGTTAATAATCAAATGATTCGTCCAGTTGTACTGACGTAATATCTCGCAGAAGAGTAGCGTCATACCGGGAATATTAATGCGGGCGGACGATATCCAGGTAGGATTGGCCACCCTGTCGTTTATGGCTGCCGTCATCGCATTCCTGCAACAGCAGCTTTACACTGACATTTGTCGCTCCCAAAATGTAATTATTATATGGTCATTATGGTATGCTGTGTGCACTAAAGGTTGTCTGTAATGTATTATATCAGCTGTATCAGCTCTATCGGTATAATATTATTACGTAGTCTGTACTGTGCAGTACATGTTTATACTCGTGAATATTTTTTGTTATAATGATTGATTTCTTACTGGATTGAAAAAAACAAGAACGATTTTTCTCGAAAGACCAACTGAGCTGAGGACAGCAAACGCCACAGGTACGCTTTCTTGAATGTTTACAGTTTTCACCCTTACACTGTAATATAAAGGACATTCCATTGCTGTAACATATATATCCAGTCTGGTGCGATGGATGCCGCTGCAAAGTGATATTCTTTCGTAGTATGATTGTACTGATGCATTACACAGATGTTGTTAACGGTTATCAGTTTAATCGTAATGGTTGCTTCTTACCCGGAAGAAGTAGAATATTAACAACAGCTGGATCTCGTTTGCGGTAGTACCATTCTGCTGCCAGCCGACCCGTGTATTCATTAGACAGTATACCGACTGGTGGCATATAGTCAGTGAAATAATTCAAGCTGACATTCAAGGAATCACGGTACATCCAGTTCACATCGTCCGTGGCCAAACTCATCGGCGGCCCGGTAACGGCTATCCGAATAAAATTCGACCGACCACCAATGGCCATTAATTGCACATGCAATTTTCCCTGGGATGCGAAAGACACTGATGTAGCGAAGTTAATAACCTGCTGCCAAATTCCCACAGTGAAAACCACCCCACGAAATAAGCGAGCCTGTAGATTGGCACCCATAGTACTAATTTCCGTTGGTGAATAGCAAACGTTTTAGCGGGCGTTGAAATAAGCTAAAGTTGATATTTTATAGCAAAAAAACTACAAAAAATGGAGATTCGAAACATGTTTGGCTCTGTTCTTCGCATAAAATTATTAAAGTGAATTCACATAGCAGGAAAATTGTTAACGTGTGGTCTTCAGAAATTTTCATATTACGTTGAACGTAGTCATGATGGTCGATTACGTTGATTTGCTAAAGCATGCTCTCGCTCAACGGAGAATGGCAGACAACCCGTAGTCTCCATCATAAAGATTTTAATCTGCTTAATGTAGAGTATTAGCAGCAGCCAGTGATTCACCGCATTGTACCTTGGATTTTACTGGTATGGCTGTATTGCAAGAAAGGTCGAAACGGTATTCTTCCGGCGAATGACGTGGTATTGTCTTACCACCCACGGAACACCCCCACTTTAGCTCTTATACAGCCAAAGGTATGTGATTATGACTGTATTTCCTTTGTTCTGTCGGCTGTGCCTAAAGGCCCATCGGGAATACTGTAAGCGTGTGGAAAGATCGCGATCTACTGTAGAAGACTGACACGTTTTCCTGAATTATTTCGTTGTAAGTACTATGTAGTCTGGTTATATCGCACACCTCATACGAGTAACGGAGTAAGTACTGAAGACCCTCATATAAAAAATATAATATCACGATTAAATTAAATTATCTAAATTAACTTGAAATTTATCACAAAAATCAGCATATAACCACGAGAATTCTATAACATTGCTAGCGCATGGTGCAGCTACTGTAGAACTGGTCAGTCAGACGGCCGCATTTTGCCGGAAGCGAAGCCTCCTGGCATCTACAATAAATGCGACAAGTTGGTGCACTGTAGCCGATTCTCATGTCCACGGGAGCTCGAAGAAGGCTGGCAGTGTGGCGGCTGTGGCCCACCTAGCAGAAAGCGCGAAGCGACGGAAGTACGCAAGTTTAGGAAACCGATACTCCTTCTATCCTTTAGTGGTTGAAACGTTTGGCGTTTTCGGTCCAGCTTTAAGCGAATTGTTGCACTTTATGGGCCGAAAAATTCGTGACCTGACTGGAGAAGCGCGTTCTACTGCTTTCCTTAAACAACGTTTCAGTTTGGCTGTTATTAGGGGAAACGCTACGGCTGTGTTAAGTACGCTACCATTTAACCCACGGGTGGATAGAGATTTTGGTTGTTTTTTCAATGTTTAAAATTTTAACAGTAACGTAGTGTGCCTGCGCTTGCACTTCTTGTTACTTTGACGGCTATTGCCTATTAAGTAAAGTTTCCATAATACCTAACAAACAATTACTTATATGTTAGAGGCACGACAGCCTGCGTGATAGATACACCACTTTGCGTATGCGTATCACTGCACACATGCTGATTCGCCCTCTCTTGTACGTACGTGAGTGGCTGCACTGCACTCTCCGCCTAGCGGATCCACTGCGGGCGCACTCACTGAGCATACTTGCTCTCTCGCTCCTCTCTCTCGCTGTATGACTCAGCGCATATACGCTCGCGTTGGATACGAGTCCAGTCTGCGCACTCACATTCCATGTGTCTGGCCAGCGTGACGCCGTTGCCGCCAGCACTTCTATTCTCTACATTCTCATTACGCGTTAGAACTCGCTCGCAGCAACTTGACTTGCTGATTTCTGCCAGACATGGGCTTTGTTGTGTTTTTCTCCCGCAATCACGCGGTATCTTTGCTCCCTTTATTTGTCAATAAAGATCACTGTGAGCCTCCTGCATTTGTCTGTCATATATATTTATATTATTTTATTTACTTTACTTACAGATATATTTAGTTCTCATGAGGTAGCGAAGAAGAATGTCTTTACCGAGGCGATACGCACTAAATCCAGAATTCTAATACAATACCACAGTTGATGTTCGATCGCTTGAGACACCAAGGCAACAAGGTATACACTATACAGCCAGATCTGACTCCTGCGAATGTTTCGCATGAGAGAAGCGTGCAAAATCCAGTGCATGTAGGAGAGCGAAATTAAAGGTGACCTAATATTATTTTCAAGGAAATCAACTAAATTGAATTTGAAAAAAAAACGAAATTTAGTTAAAAGAAAGTCGGACATGAGTGTCGACATCCCAAGGTTTTACAATTTCCTCTATATGCAGATATAAATGCGATTTTTCCTTTGCCGGTGGCTAAAGAGGGCACCTGAGCTCGTTGAGCCAGAACGTGACCATGTCGTCTTTGCCCTTGACAGATATTACACCGCGGTCCTCGATGAGAAAGATCTGTGTACTCATCAACATCTGTGCCGTCACCTGGGAAATTTGCGTACGATTCGGCTTTCCGTACGAGCACATCCGGGAGGCAGTGTTGACAGTATCTCCAAATCTATTAAATCCCATCTCCCATAAACAAAAAGGCGATCGCACGGTGGAAATGGTTACACTTACAGGCAGTATCTCAAGCGCCGAATTCCGATGACTCCCGCAGCACATGGCCCTTCAGAAAACCCAGGTTTGTTCAAAGTATAAACAATTCTCTATGTTCTCTTCAAGGAAAATGACAAGCAACACTCAGACACGCTAAAATGTCCTCGAAGGTATGTTTCTCTTTTACCTGAATGAATTCCGGATTTGTAGTGTAGATCAAGCTGTCCGGAAAATCGTGGTGCCGCTTCCATAATCTTGAGGGCACAGTGGGCCATAACTTCAGCGTGTCGCTCGTGTCTTCTTTTGGTTAAACCACTGACTGTCTGCAACATGAATCATATTTCTTAACGAACGACAAATTATCAGAAACATTAGTAGCAAACCAAAAAACAATCAAAACTATAAAGAGATTAAGAGAATGATAAGTCCCAGAACACTGTACCAAACAACTGTCATTGACGACCTCAACTTTGTAAATCTCATCGGCAAACAAGGCTATTACACGATCCATATTTATTTCCAACTGGTCAACAACTTGAACAAGCATCTTTGGCGCACACAAATTCGTCAGGGCTGCGAATCCGCACAGTTGTGTAAACATAACCGTCGTGGATTCAAATAATTCCGGAGCCACGGTGGTGCCCGCGCGGATGGCACTGGCGACCCATCTGTAGCACCACGCATCACGTCAAGCGTGGTTTCACAGGCCGTCAGGCAATCAAAAGCGGCAAACAGAACGCAATTACCTCGGAAGAAGCTGTGCGACGACCTCGTCACATCGGTGCATCTCCTCGATCAACGCTTTCGTGCGCAGGGCCACCTCGTTTTCCAGGTCGCGAGTGTAGTCGGTTAAGCGCCTTTGGATTTTCTCGATAAACTTTTCTTGGTAACGAAAAGAAAATAGATCGGATGCTTCCTCTAATTTATCTTTAATCTGCCTGATTGATGGTCGTGCTCTAACGTTCGTTTGCCAGCATAACATCAGTATGCATTGAAAATCTTGAATGGATTCCGTTGTGGTGACGTCTGTATGGTCAGCTGTAGATAGCGCATATGGTGTGAATTATTATACAGTATACAAAGTATTTCACAGTTGAATCATTTTGAAGTGAATGCATAAGCGAGTCTTACTGTACCAGTAAATTTTTCCTTCGCTAACAATTCCCACAATATTACGCCCACGGCACTTATTTCGCTCTTTTGCTGAAATTCTGTGGAAACGTTGTGAACGCTCCTGATGCGCTGTCTCCATGCAGTGCTCGATGGTTCCCCACTGCAATCCCCATTGCCGCCTTCGCATAGTTGAGAATTTATCAGTCCGCCGATTTTCAGCGTGAAATGCTTATCAATTTGGCAGTGGAAGCCACACAGACAACCGTGATAACCAATAGGCGAGGAATGAATAAAGGTCACCCCCTGGAATACGAGCCACTGTATATTACCAAAGTTTCAAGCCGCAGTATTAATATGAGTATGCACTGTGCAGTACCTGCAAGAAATCCGTAATGAAAGAGCTAATCAATATTAAATCCAAATTAATTAACCCTTCGAATACGTCGTAAATACAGCCACGCTGTGGTGCTTCGGTAACTGCACTTATTCGGATATGGTGTCCGCCGCCTAGGGCAGTCAATCCATACAACCGTAAAATATTTGGATGCGTAATACTGAGCATCTAAAGGAAAACAGCCAATAATCAGACGAAATTGTGTTATTGTGTTCTCACTTCATTGAATTGCGGTAATTTAGTTCTTTTTCGCCGAATGGCCAAAAACCAGCTGACCGAAACTCAAATGCTGAAGCTAAAATTCGCACCTGGTTCAAGCGACGTAATAACACATGTCGATTTCGGATGCGATCAAACGGAGAGTGAGCAAAATCTGCTGCGACAGTTGTAATGTTCTCAACAAGCACCGGGATTCCTCTAAGCCTCGCCGAAGAAAACCGTTCCGCCTGTATTCAGTATACAAATAATCAGTAATTTCTCTGACTTGTTATTCCATAATTTTGCACTGCAGTTAGATCGACGTACGACATGTTGAGCCCGAAAGACAGACGTTAGGCCTTTGCTTTCATGAGCCGATCGGAAAGAGTTCGCCAAAGGGAATTCCAGCTCAGTTGGTTCAATTATCCACCATGTTTGTACAGCGGTAACATTGGCGTTCAGTCGACTGAGCCACCTATGATTAGAAGAACAAACATGTTCGCAAGAAATAGGCCAGAAAAAAACAGCCGCGGCGACAGTACGTACCATGTCGCTGCAAAGATCACGCTCAAGCAAATGACACCAGCAACCGACACAGCGGTGGCGATCATCCAAGTATTTTGCTCTAAAAAAACGCATACTCACACTGCAGGAAAACCAACATATGGCGTATTACTTATAACTAAATGTGTTGCTGTGGCGTACACATTACCCTCTTTACGGCAGGCGCGCAGATCGTTATTGTAACCACACGGTGGTTCATTGGGCGGTGGCCAGGTAGCGCGGGCCCAGTGATCCAAGCCGTAGAGCTGGATCACCGGTGGGTTACCCGCTGCAACTTTGTGGAACAGTTTCTAAAAAAATTGTTCCGGAACTTGCTGTGGGATTGTACAGTACTGTAGGTGAGTCTTATGATGGCGCACTGTTTGATTGCCGGTTTTGTCAAATTTCCATAGATATAGATCCATTTGCCGTCCACCATTGCTATCAACGTAAATTTCGCTGATGTTGTTGTGAAACGTGCGATTGAAGAACTGCCTGGCCAAATATTCTGCATCAAGAAACGGGTGCTCCTTTCCGTCCGTCTTCAATTCGTGTAAAACCTGCGCAAAATTTCAAGCGTAAACAATGCTTCAAGAGACCTGATCATAATCGACGGTACAGAGTAGCTAATCTTAATAAAGGAATGCCTATACAAATAATGTCTTAGAAAAATGTGCCCTACTTAGACTTGGCTTTGACAAAACCTTCTCACAAACCTACCTCCCCAAGCATTGTCACGGCACCATAGCAGCTCAGCAACATTGGATACGGCTGTGAAATCATATTGTATTCGTTATCGTTATAGGTAATAAGTATTTCCGTGCACACAGAAAACACTCTATAAAACACTTAGAATTATACCTCTTCGTGAATACTCTCGTTGTAGCTGAAGTCCCGGTGAGTCCTCTCCGTAACCTTTTCTAGAAAATCGCTCGGGGCGGTATCGTAGATATCGGCCGGCCTCAGAATCAACAGAGACTGGAAAGCTTGTAAAGCGATCTGAAATCGAAACCCGCCTGCAGACCTAAAGTAAATGACACCTCATGAGTTGTCCGCTTACGGCGTCATTGCTGTCGTTATATTTCCAGTGCATACGCCCGTAATCTTTCAGCCCATCCAGAATCTGGAACGTCATGTACACCTGGAAAGATTACGCAACCATCGGCGCCTGCATGAAGCAAATGCGACATGTGTCACCGCTGGTAATCCTTCCTCAAGCTTACGTAATCTCCGTTGGTCATATTAGCCCGCGCTGCTGATATCTATCCGAATACTAAAAGGTCAGAAACAAAATTCTGTCCGTAGTATGCAGTAAAATTTGTCATTCCCGTACCAAAAACTTTCGCAGATTATAGGCCGCTCCAAAGAATAGCACAACTGTAAAAATCGTAAGCGATGAAAAACAATCACATAACAAGCTCGCCTAACAGTTTACCTCTTGTGTGGGTGCGGATATCCATCAACATCTCACGAAAATCATAATCTGTGGAAGTGACGTTAAGTCGCCGCACTAACGGTGACTGACCGAAAATTCGCAGGGAATCAGTGACCATTTGCGCCGTATAGACAGTATACAGATCCGATGATCCCACATCATTAACGATCAAGTGGTTTGTCCAGTTATATTTGCGGAATATCTCGCAGAAGAGGAGTGTCATTCCGGGTACGTTAATGCGGGCGGACGATATCCAGGTCGGATTAGCCACCCTGTCGTTAATCGAGGCCGTCATCGCAGTCCTGCAAAGTAGACAAAAGTACTTACTGCGCCACACCCATATGATGGTGGATCTAGGAAGAATCCACGGACAGAGACAGAAACGGAATCTGTCCTGCAGAGTGAGCAGTGTTGTATACTACGAGTTATGCGGAAACGCAAGACACCCGACAATCAACTGCACACTTTATCCCATTCACATGACACTACAGAAGCTCCGCAGCATTGCTGCGGGGCTAAAAGAACAGCAAGTTACTCAGACGACGATGGCTAGCAACTGAAGAATCTACCAGATCGAAGAGCTGGTAGATGGAGAAAATCACTAGCAAAAACAGCAAAACAACTTAGCACCCGCACCAGTGCGGGTGTGCGGGGAGGCCACTCCTCCTCTCATGCCGTCGACATCGACATCGACATATATATTCAGCCAATTAAAAAAAAATGAAAGAAACAGATTAGTTCAAAAACTGTTGTTAAACTTGAAAATTATCATTGTACCTCGCGTTATTATCATAGCGGCTTTCAAATGCAATACACGGGTCTGTTGATTATTTAAAAAAATGTTATTATTAATTTGAACTTACACTGTAATATACAGGACATTCCACTGCTGGAACATGTATGTGTAGTCCGTTGCGATTGTTCCCGCTGTAATGTACCATTCTCCGTGTACACCGTCTCTGCTTAATTATTTCAGTCATAACGAGGCGGTGGTAAGTCTTACCCGGAAGAATTACCACATTAAGGACGGTAGGATCGCGCTTCCGGTAGTACCATTCCGCTGCTAGCCGACCCGTGTACTCGTTGGAGGTGATACCGGCTGGCGGCATATAGTCAATGACATAACTCAGGCTGACATTCAAAGAATCCTGGTATATCCAGTTCACATCGTCCGTGGCCAAACTCATCGGCGGCCCGGTAAGTGCTATCCGGATGAGATTGGCCCGTCCACCAATCGCCACAAGGTGCACCTGCAGTTTTCCCTCGGATTCGGACGATGCAACGACAATAAGGTGAAGCCAAAGCACGACAGTGAAAGGCAGTCTACGGAATAAACAAGGCACTTGACTGGCATTCATGGTAATATTTACTGACGTGAAACACAGAGGTAACAAATACAATCCAGCCTAGTTGGCACTGCAAGGATCCAGTACTGCAAGTGCCGGGATACGGTTAGGGTACGGTTTGCTCAGAGAGGAATTGAACTGGTGTTACAATTTTTCATTGACATAGTACAACTTTGTATGGGTATGTATCTAATAAAGTAAAACCGAGTTTTCATTAAAATTTTAACATCGTTGCCATGAAATTGCCATATAGACGGGATGCTCGATTATATAATCTAGAACCGGCCGAGCACGTGGTCAGAAGAATGCCAGACATTCCATTAGAAACATCTTCAAGATTTTGATTTAATAATGTATTAGCGGCTGCCAGTGCTATTATGGATGACTGGATATGTCATAGCCTGGATTTTATTTAGGATAATACCACCCTTTTCAGGAAAATGTATGCTTTTGTGCCCTGATTCTTTGCTGGCTTACTACGCACGGAACACCGGCACATTATTATTACAGCCAAAGGGTTTAATATGACAATATGGTTTCTGTCCCTTTCCTTGTGCCTAAAGGCCCATTGGGATAAATATAATCCCTATATGATACAACAACAATCCGTGATGAATATGCGGAATTATTGGAAACTGGAAAGCTGACAACGCTTCTGCGATCTGTAATGCGAAAGTCTCGCCTAATCGCACATCCCGCATGTGGCAGGAGAAGCCCTGTTTACACATCTGATCTTAATGTAAAGATGAAGAATTTTAAGGCGATCATCGTACGCTGCAGAGCGCGTACGCCGAAAATGCTGACAGGAGACAAACACTACACTGAAATATTTTGAGTGTCGAATTTTATAAAGCACAACACTCGACATCATTAATTTTGTTAACCTATGTACTACAGCGCAAAATAATTAATTTTACTGTTATCCATCAGTTTAGGCGTAATATCCTGACCCTTACAAACCGCAGATTAAATATGCATATTGAATATGTATGACTTCGGAATTTGAAGGTCATTCTTTCTAATGCTATTCTGTTCCGTGATCGGTGCAACTCCAAACCAGATACAGAGCAAAATGCAGATACGAACGGTTAACAAATACAGAGCACATATGATATATCTATATACTGATGTCAGATATAGTATACTGGTAGTCTCGTACCGCAAGTATGCATACATTAGGCACCACAGTTTTCTAGCGTTATCATGTTTCAGATCAATTTCTTCCAAGGGACTGTTGTGTAAGTTAAACGGTGAGAAAAATCGAGCAGTTTCGCGCACACTACGCAGGCCGGCAGTTACTGTATCAAGTTACTGAGTTTTGAGAAGATCAGCGCGGAGGAACGTGCGTAAGCCGGTAAGCGGTATTTTGATTTTGGTTTGATAGTTTGACAGGATTCGAACTTTAAACGATAAATCGTGTAGAAATTTCGTAATTTTTGATTAAAACCGTTCGACTCTTTAATCGTCTGAATTTCCAACGCTCGGGTTGTGATCAGACTTAGAGCAGTCCGTTGTCCCCTGGACCAGCGATGGAGCCTCTCGATGTCAAACTGGTATTCGATACCAGCGCGCTTCTGCGTCCAGACCATCTGCAGATTCTCAAAGATCTCTTCAGCCAGCCCGTGGCGATCTACATACCCCGTGTTGTGTGGGAAGAACTCAAGAGTCTTAAGAACAAAAAGGTGAGTTCGACGCACGCCTTGAACTACATTGAGTCAGTGGCTGGGCGGGGTGTACACATCCAGTCGTTGACGAATTTCCAGCAGCTGCAGCGAACCTTTTATCCACCTCGCGGCGGTCGCTATCTTAATGAGTATCTCTCAGCCAACGATAACCTGATCCTGTTGTATGCACTGGAACTGCGCCACACCACCCGTTCTCCCGTGTGGCTGCTCACGCAAGATCGACTGTTGCGAGCGCGAGCCACACGCAGTGGCATGCCGTGCCTTGATCCGTTTACCGTGCAGGTGGCGCTGCACCTGGAACATTATGATCACCTCAATCCAAAAGGCAGCGATTATCATGGATGGACTTCAGTCAAGAACTGCAAATGTCGGAATATGGTTACGGTACGGTTTGCTCAGAATGGGATTCAGTTTCCCGCGGACAGTGTGGAAATGCGTGAGGCGGCCTATCGAGAAGTTGTCCAGGAACGGCAGAACTATAGCCGCGTCGGACTTCGACGTGAGGATTTGGAGACAAAGAACATCAAGAGTGATTCGCTGAAAAATCGCAGCTCGTTGCTGGTTCATGATTATCATAAGACTGCGCGCTATTTCTTTACGGTCGCTGGTCTGCTACTGTTCGCCTTCTATTGCATGGCCCTTGTGGAATGGGTTGGTTCTCGACATATCTCTTAGAGGGTCGATTTAATTTGTCCTAAAAATGTGTACAGCTCGAAAGCGGAACCGGTAGCCATCATCCGACTGTAGCAATTTATTGAATACTCTGTTGTGCATTTTTTGTGCGGATGAGTTTCAGTTTTGTAACTACGAAATTTGTTGAAGCTGCCGAGAGATCTTGGAAATGAGTGTGACATTTCTGTTATCATCCACGTTTATGTTTTCATTTCGCTTTCGGTTGTTTCTGGTTCTTGGATTCTTGTTTTGTAGTATGATTGTTGGAATTAGTTCCGTTGCAGCGCTTGGTTTTGCAGTTAAATTGAGAGTAAGCTGAACACTGAAATATCAAATATCTGTATAAAGCGGTATCGACTACTGGTTTCGGCCTCAGGGAGCGGAAGTCAATCTCTAATCAGGCGCCCATTCGTAGGGATATATTCAAAATTTCAAGCGTTTATTCAGTCGCACAGTTTGGATTCTGATAGCGTTGAATTCTGATAGCTTAGCGTTCACAAAGAAAATCTTATAAAGCTTCCAAATCGATTATCAGGTTTTGAAAAAATCCAAATTGCAGCTGCGATTGTTGCACTGAATTTTCAGTCGTTAACTTCGCACAACGATAAATGCATCAGCCCGCGCATGCGCCCGCTGGGCCAACACTTACGTTTAAGCGTGAATATCAGCTGCAACCTGCAAAGCCTGCAACTGGCAATTAGGTTTTCTCTGGAATTCGTGGTTTGGCAGTTTCACTGTTTCACTTCAAAAAACCTTAATCTTTGCACGGTGAATTGTCGTTGAGTCTCAGATTTGTGAATCTCGAACTCCTTTTTCAAAACTGTACAGTCGATATTCGCTAGAAGTTCCAGCGCTCGGTCTCGTAATTAGCGATGGAATCCCGCGACCTGAAACTGGTTATCGATACCAGCTCGCTCCTGTATCCCCGCGAACTGCAAAGTTTCCAAAATCTTGTCCGGCAGTCAGTTTGGATCTATTTACCCGCTATTGTACTGGCGGAGCTCAAGAAACTCAAACGTGACCCAAGAACCCGACGGGGTGCTACGAACGCTTTGAACTACATTGAGTCTGTGGCGGGATCGGGAGGTTCTGTCCACATCCAGTCTCCAGAGGACTGCATTCGGCTGCTGCGAACATTCTATCCGCCGCGCGGGAGTGACTGTTATCTCGATGACTATCCGTCACCCTGCGATAACCTGATCCTGCTGTATGCACTGGAGCTGCGCCATACCGCCCGTGATCCTGTATGGCTCATCACGCAAGATCAACAGTTGCGGGCCCGCGCCACTCGCAGCGGCCTGCAATGCGTGGATATGTCAACCGCGCAAATGGCGCTAGAAGTGGAGCGCTACGATCATCACTGTCCAAAGGGCAACGATTACCATGTGTGGACCTCAGGCAAGGATTGCAGCTGCCAGAATATAGTCACGGTACAATTCCCTCGGAGCGGAGTTGAGTTTTGGGCGGAGAGTGAGCGTCGACGCGATATGGCGTACCAGGATGTTGTAGAGCACCGAGGAGATTTTGGTCGCACCGGATTGCGACGCTTTGCTCCTTATGATCCGCCTGCTGAGGATTCTCGGGTTGGCAATAGCGGGAGCGCTTTGTTGGCGAACCGCCGCCCGTCGCCGCCACCTCCTGCTTTAAATAGAGCCCTGCACGAGCCGAGCCGCTCGGCTCGGCTCACGAGCGCTCGGCGCTCGCGAGCACTTCGAGCGAGCAGGCGTCGTTTTGCGAATTTGCGAACGAGCCGAGCAACAGAAAAAAATTGCGAGCAAGCCGAGCGAGCGGGATGGTTAGATGCGAGCGATCGCGAGCCTAAAGGCTAACATTGTGCGAAATGGAAAAGTTTCTGGTACAAAATCACATTGACCGACCTGAAAACGGTCTTAAACCACCGTCTCCTTCGCGCTTCGCGCGAAGTGATTTACTAACTTTCCTAGACTGGTCGGGACTCAGGACTAACTTTTGATATTTTGTACTCGTAGCCAACAAAAACATTATTTGACGGGTTTATGAATCAGTTGAATGCTTCCTAAGAAAGGTGCATTTTAATTTTTGAGAATTCTACTGTATGCATTTATTTCAGACTAAATTAAGAAAACGAAGTGGCTATTTTGCCGCAGTGTTTGCGGCTAAATAGCCAGTTGGCTATTTCGCCGCACTACGGTGGGCGAAATAGCTTCTTGGCTACTTTACGGCACACTGCGTTATCAGCTGCTCAACTATTTTGCCGCACTATGGTCGGCAAAATAGTCAGTTGGCTATTTTGCCACACCATTAGTGCAGCCTTCTCGCCGCGCACTTTTAATGATCTCTGTACGGTAAAGTGCCGCAAGGTCTGTAAAACCGCGTTACTTACTTCAAACAGAATCTTACAGAGCGTTACAGAGCAACGAGGCAGTCCAACTCAAAATGTGTCATTGTTAATCGAGGCTATATATGTATGAGTGGCTTCGCCTTCCGCCTTCTCCTCCGCCTATGCCTTTTGCGCACTGCGGATTCGACCTCGGCTTCCAAAAGATGCACTTTTCATTGGTCTTCTAATGCAATTCTTAAGTTTCTTGGGTTATATTCGAGTTTCCGAGGGAATATTGTTAGGTTTTCTTGTGTTTATGTTATCCTAGCCGTTAATCGAATTAAAAATTATTTTCAAACAACCATGCGTCAACGGTTTTAGTCCGGCTTTCAGTACTGCTACTGGCAGCACAACATCTAGGCTAACGATTGTAAACAGCTTTATCGAGGAATCAAAAAATTGGAGAAGCTTGGAGCCGTTCGGAAACGGCACAGCCGGGGAAACGGCACAGCCGGGAAAACGGCACAGCCGGGGAAACGGCACAGCCGGGGAAACGGCACAGCCGGGGAAACGGCACAGCCGGGGAAACGGCACAGCCGGGGAAACGGCACAGCCGGGGAAACGGCACAGCCGGGGAAACGGCACAGCCGGGGAAACGGCACAGCCGGGAACGAGCCTGTAATTTATGCGATTGCTTGCCTTACGGACGCAATCACGAATTAAGATCTTCTGAAAAGGAATGCGTTAAACTGGTACGAGGTCACCGCTTTCTCCGTTGTTTGTCTAGTAAGCGTTTCAGTGCGCTGCCGGTCGTGTAACAAGTTTACATAAGGTCTATATTCGAGATGCGGAAGCCGTTCAACCGGTGACGCTTTTGATTTACAAAAATTTTTGTTGCACCCTGACTTGCGGTCCGGCAAAAATAATAACGAACCAACCAGGGTTGGCGGCAGCTGGGTTTACGCAGCATCTGTGTCCTTAAAGCACTGATCAGTTAACCGTCTACGTTTAATCGGCTACTACTATAGCTCTTGTTAGCATGCCGGCGGGCCGCGTTTATTTCTGCTTATCCTTGTGTGCCTTTTTTTCTGTTTTATGTTCGTAATCCGTTCAAATTTTGCAGTCGATGAGAAATCATTTAGCAGTATGCTTGGAAAGCAAGAGACTGGTTCCTTTCCCAAGCAACAAAAGAAAGAACAGAGGCTTTATCAGCGACGTTTCCGTGCGGTTCATCTGCCATTGCAGAGTTCACTGGACCCACTTCCTGAGCCGGTGGACTGCTTACGGTCACCATTCCCCCCGTTACACGTTGTGGTCGTGCTTGTTTGGGTGGCGCCAGACCGAATCGGTTGCGATTCTGTGCCCCGGTAGGGTATCGCTTAGTATACCGCCTTTGCCAATCCAAGTACCAGTTCCTGTTAGGATTCTCGGCGTATGGCCTACCGGCGTAACCACAACCATCGGTTTTGTGGTTTCCACAAAGGCAGGTGTTAGTTCCTCTTTGGACCATCTTTCTAACATGCGCTCGATCCGATCGATGTACATGTCCGCCTGTTTCTGCGCCTCTTCGGATTTTGGTGTTTGGCGTTGGCCGCTCTGGCCTCCGCTGCCACCTTGGTCACGACGTCCGGAGCCACTGTTGCCGCCGCCTCGCTTTCCGCTAAAGCTGGCGTTTTGGCCTCCGGAATAGCCGCCTCTTTGTCTTACACCACCATTTCGCTGGTTATAGCCAAAATTGCTCTGGTTCTGGGCCTGGCCGTAGCTGCCACCACCACCGTTAGGCGGTGTGGAACCCCATTTTTGGAAGCCCCGGTTCATAGCCGCAATAGCGGCATATGCTGCTTCGACCTGAGCTTGGGTTGGTGTGAGCGTCTGTGGAGGATAATAAGCCGGTGATGCTGACTGCTGAGGTACGACTTGGGCAGATGGCGTTGGTGCGGCCGCCCGGACAACCGGGTATCCTTGGCCCGCCTTCCCGTCGTAGTCAGGTTGCCGTTTGCCTGCCGTAAACTGCCGGATGTAGTCCCGAAATTCTTTCGAAGACTTCGGCAGCCGGATGTCCACAGCACGACGCAGTTCTGACTCGTTCATGTTGCTCATCAAAAAACGCAGAGTCATGGTGTCATCTAGGTTGGCGCGTGCCTGGAGAGTAAGGATCGCATCGTGATATTGCTCTGGCGCCTCGAATCCGTGCCGGTGGCTACGGTGCGAAATGTCGCCAAGAGCATTAGCCTGTTGATTCTCATCATTATATCAAGCGGCAAACTTCTGAAGCCAGTCGTCGACTGTCATCTTCTTCGCGGTTGGCTTGGCCGGTGTACCATTCCCTGACCGGTTTGGACAAGGCTGCGTAGATACGGCTCATGAGGTCCGGATCCGGCTTGTTTAAGGCGGACGATTGCTTACAGATCCTTCTGATCTGGCAAATCCACCCTTTCACGGCTGTTTTATTGCCGTCAAAGGTCGGTGGAGTGATTTGGACATTGGCCTTCGCATTGGCCTTTGCATATGCATCGGCCACCGTTTGCATGTATACCAAGTCATGCACTGGCGGACTGGCCCTTGGCGATAGTGCAGGCGTTATCTGCTGTACCACTACTTGTAGCGGTGGATGCAGTTACTGTGGCGCTGGGCCTGGCTGATGTCCCTGTTGAGGGTTCACCAACGGTTGAGGCGGGGATTGGATGGCTCCGTTGAACGCCATTTAGCCATATGCCCCATTGGGCAGCTGGATCAGCACGGACGCATTCTGGATCAGGTTTGGCTGAGCTGCAGGTCCGGGTGGCTTCGCCGCCGCTGGCAGTGCGCCGGGTGGGTGGGGCGCATTGTGGCCCGACTGGTTGGGCTTGGTCCGTTTGGGTTGCCGCTGAGATAGGAGGGCCAGTTAGGCTTAGTCGGCCTGTGAGTGGCTGTTGCTCCGTTGGCGTGCCACTTTGGCCTCCTCTTTGTCCCTGTGTTGCTGATGGTCCGAACATCGGGCTCGGCGAATTGGTCCAGCTTGGATCCGTGCCGCTTATGGGAGCCTGGTCTGAGACCAGGTGTGGGCTCAGGTGGAAATTCATGATCGGAAACAGGGTTGGGTACACTGGGCTTGACCTGAAGTAACCGTGGCTCGGCGTCTGATTCTGAGACGTCGGCTGGCTCGGGCCAAAGAATGGCTCAGTTGGCACAGACGGTTGAGTCTGTGTTGCGGGCGTCACCATGGTCGATTGACCCATAGTTGCTGATATGGTGACCGGGATTGGTGGTGACGGTATCGTTACTGTCGCCAGTGATGATCCCTAGTTTACCGGACTTAACGACCCTGGTATGGTCGGGCCAGTCGGAGAATGTCCCACTGATGGGTCCCCCACGGCCATGTTCACGTGGTAATGTTGTTGGTAATACACTGGCACACGGTAGAACCGTTGGTCCTGCCGCAAAACGTCGTCGGCTTTTTCTTGTTGACGTTGTGTATCCGAGTCCGGAAAGGTGTGGTAGGAGAGCGGTTCTGCGGACATCTCGGAATGTAAATTCTCGAGATGTGATTTTTCCGAGTCTAAGCAGGCCTTCTCGGTGCTTAGCCTTTCCAGATCCTCGTTGTGTACAGTGATGCGGTGGGTGGCCACCTAGTAGTCTTTGACCAGGCTGGCTTTATTGGCCTCCAATTTGATGATCCGGTCATGTTGGCCCTGCAACACCTGTTTGGCTTGGGCAAAGGCCTGGTCCAATTGGACAAAGTTTTGTTGTCCAATGGTGCTGTTTTGCTCAAGTTGGACCCGAATCGTTAAATTCGGCCCTGAGCTGGTTCTGGAGGGCAGCGATCTGCTGCTGGAGTTGCACGATCTGTGCTTCCTTCTGTTGGAACGTTTGGTCCAACAGCCCTCCCTGTTGGATCACCTGCAGCAGAGTTTGGTGATTCTGGTACAGCAGGTGATATCCGTTGCGCATACGGTTGACCTCGTCCTGCATGTTGGCCATGTCGTCGGTAGACGATCATTGTCCGTCTGTAAGCGGTCCGCCTCAGAGTCAGTTCCGTCAATTGTGATCCGGGCCGCGGCCAGGTCGTCCCTGGCTGTGGCCAGCTCGGTTCTCGTTGAGGCGACACTTAAGTTACCCGCCACCGCCACTTCTAGGCGATGAATGTCTCTGTCGAGCTGATCTCGCTCAGCCTTGGGACATGGGGCCAAATTGAGTTTAGTCAACTCGAGTTGGGTCTGGGCCTGTAGGGCCGAGACACGTCTAACCTCTGCTTCCGCTTTGGATGCGAGGGTTTTGTACTTGTCGATCTCCTCTCTCATCAGCTGTTCAGCTGTGAGGACCGTTTCGGCTGCGGCGACAAGTTGCTTGGTCTGGTTTCGCGCTCTGATTCTGAGGGCTTCGACTTCTTTAATTTCTTCGGGCGGGGTTGCCTGTATCAGGTTCTGTGGGCCAAGGCTGACTGGTTTAAGTCAATCTTGGCAAGTCCACTATTGGGTCCAACTCCGGTTTGGTCCGGCCGGGCACGCCGATGACGTCATTGGTGGGTGATGGCGTTTGATGAGTTGAGCCATCAACTTCGAACATGATTGGCGACTGACTCATGAGCGGTTGGCCCTGGTCATGTGCCTTTGGACCAGGCTTTTGGCATTGGTCCTGCGCCTCGTCTCCCCCTTTGGTCATCGTTGGTGCCCCAGGTTGGATCCGGTCCAGACCCGGTAGAGTTGGACTTGTTATCGAATCCTGGGCGACAAGGTTGGCCCGGGCCAGATTCTCGGCACCGTGTCCCCGTCTCGTGTTCTGTCCGTTGGTTACCGTTGGTGCCTCAGATTGGGCTTGGCCCGGATCATGTATAGCCGGTTGGCGCGCCGAAACCCGGGGGACACTGTTGGCCTGGGCCGGCAACTCGGCGCCAGGCTGGTTGTCTTGAGGCTGGTTGGCCTCAGGCAGCCCTTCGGACGCCTCCAGGAATGTATCGTCCTGGGTGGCGTTAACAACTTTCCTAACTTGTGTCCTAGTCGGCAGGATTTGGTTTTGTCCCGCCTGGCTTTGGCCTCGACCTAACTCGTGGAGCCGGTCAAGTTTGGTTCGTCCGGGTCAGAACTAGTCCGCCTTGCGCCACGAAAACCGTATGGCCCCGTTGGTTCGCGCGTGGCGTAGGTATTCCCGCAAGGTTTGGCGTACTCATTGGTTTGGCGCCTGTAAATAGGACTGAGCAATCTCCGTTGGAGTTGCTCACGGCTGGTGTATGGCATCACCTTGGCCAAGGCACTGTGAGTTTGGCCCATGGTACTGGAACATAGTAAAATCTTTGGTCTTGGTCTGAATCGGAATTTGTTTCGTGTCTGGACCGGATCTGAATCGCGGGTCGATGCTGGTCAGGTGCGTTAGAGCTGAGGTTTAGCACTAGCTCCCTATGGCCCTATGCTACGTTACCGACCAGTGTGACGTCACGTACTTCGTGGCCTTGCGATTAGCTCTACGTCACGAGTTGCGCGTCGCCACCTTCGTGCGGGCGACAGAGCAGTCCACAAGAGGTGTCTACCGCCTCGAGTGTGCGGTCTCTGAAATTAGCAACACTTATAGTGGTCTTTTTTGTCCCAGCGCTTTGGTCGGCTTAATGACGAACACGTCCGCCGGACGTGTTTGCTTGCCCAGACGTTTTGGCCGGGTGCACACGCAAGACGCCGTTCACACGGACTGCCGCTTTTATTGCTTGACCACAGACCGGTGACCATATGCACGTTTCGTAGCAATACTCCCTACATCTGTTTTTCGCGCTCTTTTGGTGCCGCTGTTAACTGTTTGTGTGAGTTTTCGGCAAAAGTCCGGCATTGCGTTCTTTGTAGTTGTTGTCGCCCTGGCTGGTAAATGGCGAATTGTGGTATGAATGAATATAATTGTGATGTACAATTTTCGTTCCCCGGTTGCACCAGTGATGCGCTTAAAGGTGATTTCTGGCAATAGCTTACACGCGGGAAGATGTTTCGGCCCCCGGACTTGCTTCCTTGCATTTGCCAGAGTGCGGCAAAATAGCTGACGCGCTATTTTAACGCAGTGTGCGGTAAAATAGCCAAGAAGCTATTTCATCCACCACAGTGCGGCAAAATAGCCAACTGGCTATTCTGACGCAGTGTGCGGCAAAATAGCCTGAGGGCTATTTAGATCCTTATTGTCATACTGCGGCAAAATAGCCATAGCCTTAAGAAAACTACATCAAGTTGAAAATTAGGGAAATGCATTAGCGAAAAATGAAAAACTGTAATGAAGCGGACTACCAGTATGGTGATATAAGTGATTTTCTCTGAACATCCGATTACACTTACTAAATTTTTGTGTTGGTGAAAAGTTTGGTATAATTAATTGGTGCAAAAAATTGATACAGAAATTTTTGCCGATCTCACGAGCGAGCCGATTTGCCAAAATAAAATTACGAGCGAGTTGAGCGAGCGGCAGCAAAGAAAAATTGGAAAACGAGCGAGTCGAGCGAGCGGCGGTTGGGGCGCGAGCGAGCTGAGCGAGCAGGAAGTTTCAGAAAGCTGAAACGAGCGAGCTGAGCAGCACTTTTGCTGCTCGTGCAGGGCTCTAGCTGCTTATGACTGGGCAGCCGCAGCGCGCTTCTTGCGAGGATTTGTCCGGTATAACGTGGACACATGGGCTAATTATGACTGGGCAGCCGCGTCGCGCCGCTTGCAGCGTTTTGTCCCGTTCGACCTGGATTTCTGGAAAGGGAACAATAACCGCCAGCCGCTGAGGATCCGCACTCCGTCGCCGCCTCCTGTTCATGATCCGGCAGCGCTCGACCGCCTCCTCACGTTCCGGGATATATTGTGTCCTCTCTTCGCTCTTTTCTTCGTCTCAGTCGTCTGTATGTTTCGTGAAGCACCCGAAAAGGGGCGTAAATATGATTATCAGTAGATATCGGTTGCATTTTCGCCGAGGATGAAGAATGTTTGTACGATTTATACCATTCGGAAAGCACCTTAATCCCATTTGCAAGAATTTGTTTCATCACTTCGTTCTGATTTTTTTTGTATATGAAACAGGCTTCAGTGTGCCTTAACACAAATCTCTTGCATAAATCTGCAGATATGTAATTCTGGAGGATATAATTGTAATACTTTTTTGAAATTGCCATTCAAGTTATGATTGTGTTTATTCTACAACTGTTGTATTTTTTTAATGTCTATATACGGTATCTACGAATGTGCGACTGCTTGCGTTAAGGCTTAAGACAGCTACCCTGGGTTATGCAACGCGATTGCGGTACGTACAGTTCTTACTGCAACCGTAAATCGTAAAATTAATTATTACAGTATTCGTTTCCATGTTCGGATTGAAAGACGACGTCTAGTCTGTCGGCGTTACCCAGTATCGTTGCATTGATTACCGTAGCATAGTTGACACAATTACAATATTGTTTTATTGCCATGTTGCCTATCTTCCGAAGAATAAAAGACACGATAACCCTGTACACAAGTCGTCGTCTCAGTTACCAGTTTTGTCCCCAATGGAAACCGTACTGGGGTAAAGACTAGATAGCACTCTCAACAACAGCGAACTTTGCCGCGGGGGCACACATCACCACGTTGACATAACACTATCGGCACGTTCTACGTATACGAATCTACACAGTAATCAGAAGGTGTTTGATTTAGAAGCACTTGCGGTGCACAATCGACGGGCCGGACTCATCATATTCGGCTTTGCTGATCCACATTTGCTGGAAGGTAGATAACGAAGCCAAAATGGAGCCACCGATCCAAACGGAGTATTTGCGTTCCGGCGGCGCGATAATCTTAATCTTCATGGTCTGGGGCGCCAGTGCGGTGATTTCACGCTGCATACGATCAGCAATACCCGGGTACATGGTCGTACCGCCTGACAGAACAATGTTGCTGTACAGGTCTTTACGGATATCGATATCGCACTTCATGATGGAGTTGTAGGTGGTTTCGTGAATGCCGACAGCTTCCATACCTGTTATATATTTCCGCCAATTAAGCACCGTTACTTTCGCATTAGAAGTTATTGAAAAATGTACCAATAAAGCTAGGCTGGAACAAGGCCTCCGGGCAGCGGAATCGCTCGTTGCCGATGGTGATGACTTGTCCGTCGGGTAATTCGTAGCTCTTTTCCAAGGAAGAGGAGGCAGCAGCAGCAGCCATCTCTTGGTCGAAATCCAGGGCAACATAGCAGAGTTTCTCCTTGATGTCACGAACGATTTCACGTTCGGCTGTAATCAAATATTCACTTAGTAATGTATACACATTTTTCAATGTTATCATAAAAGTTGCCCGATAAATTAGCGAAAGAAATGTTTTCTTGGTTGTAATTAAAATATGTAAAAGGTCACGTACCGGTGGTGACGAAGCTGTAACCTCGCTCGGTCAGGATGGTCATGAGATAGTCGGTCAAATCACGTCCAGCCAAATCCAGACGGAGAATGGCATGGGGCAGGGCATAGCCTTCATAGATGGGCACACAGTGGCTGACACCGTCACCGGAATCCATGACGATACCGGTGGTACGACCGGACGCGTACAGGGACAGCACGGCCTGGATGGCGACGTACATGGCCGGGACGTTGAAGGTCTCGAACATGATCTGCGTCATCTTCTCGCGGTTGCCCTTGGGGTTCAGCGGGGCCTCGGTGAGGAGGACGGGGTGTTCCTCGGGGGCAATGCGCAGTTCGTTGTAGAAGGTGTGATGCCAGATCTTCTCCATGTCGTCCCAGTTCGTCACGATGCCGTGCTCGATGGGGTAGCGCAGGGTCAGGATGCCACGCTTGCTCTGAGCCTCATCACCGACATAAGTGTCCTTGTTGCCCATACCGACCATGATGTTCTGTAAGAAACCGGTAAGGTCATTATCCAGTTGCAACGCCCACCAGTTTTGAAAAATTCTTAATTTATTTCGATTCTCATTTTAAAAAATAATTAAATTTTTCTTCAGCTAAGTAAAGAAGTTATTTGATTAACCAAAATGTTGAATTAATAAAATACTATAAGTAAATGGTTAAACGAATAAATCCGTTACTAAATAACTGAGCAAAGCAATATGCAGACGCAGGAGACTTGTTGTTTAAATAAAAACGAATTGAATACTTCCATTATTTGTTTGTGTTTGGTTTGGTATACATTGAGAGTAATAATATTCGAAATTTGTAAATGCATTATTGTGAATATATATTTAAATCCGGACGTACAGCATGGCGGGGGCGTCCCACGATGGACGGGAAGACTGAGCGGGGTGCATCGTCACCGGCAAAGCCGGCTTTGCACATACCGGATCCATTGTCAACGACCAAAGCAGCAACGTCACCGTCCATTTTGGTAGATCACAGTTACAAGCGTTAAAAAAACTCGTTAAATAAAAACCTGAACAGCAAAACTCCTTTAATCGTCAACTAAATTCGGCATATGCAGACTGATAGGCAGACCGGTGTACTGTCTTGTGTTAATATATTTAAGCAAGCACCAGCTGAATCAATATTTGTTATCGGTACAGATGAGTTGCATGGTTGTTAGCAAGTCTTACAATATTAAATAGGTTGTGATAACAAAAAGCATGGGAACAGTACAGTCAGTACTGATAACAATAATATGAAATTTTATGCCCATATAAGGAAATTCTCCTAATTAAGACAGATAGTTTACACAGGTACGGACTACTTTGAGCTCCAAACAGTGCTTATCAGTTCGATGATAACGTTGATTTTGTTGGCTTATTCAGCATGCAAGGCTTGCAAGCTGTACAATCCTACAATACAGCTATACTATGCACTATGCAGTAGAAAGTTGCAGTTTTTATCGGAAGAAGGTGCAGTAATAAATGTTAACTAAATGCATCGTAAATTAATCACCTGTAAATTTTAATTACTCATACAGCCTTACAAAGAACTGTTCGTAATGGTGTACATGGTTTTGTGTTACATAAGGTGGGTAGGTGGTATTAGGTGGGGCAAGTTTAATGACCGGAAATTTTAAAGTTGTAGCAAGCAACACGTATATTATTTTCATCCAGTTATATGTGTACCGAAATCATTTGAGCTTTGCCAGCTACGAGTGTTATAGTGGCACTGGCAGACACATCATTCCAAGCAAATGTTTACGCGCAGTTACTCATCCTGTCTAAGCGGGTACTTATGTGTATTATATTAATTGTACATGCAATAACACGGATGGATGATAATAAGTAAAATGCAGTTTGTTAAATCAATCAATTCAACACCTGCTCAGAAAGGTGGAATATATTTACCAAGCTCGTTAAAGTAATAATAAATCCGGCCTACATTAATTCATTACCGATTACTAATGTACGGAAACCGGTTCAACGATAATATTATGCTGCCGACTGGAAAGAAATAAAAAATTCTGTGTACTTCTTATTCCTGTAACAGGTTGCGCAATACTATGAAATTGTAGTTTGAGCCTGCTTTGAGTCTTTTGTACCCGCATATGTGTCGTAAATTCGACTGACAAAATGACCTCGGGCGATTGTCACTCGAAAGGATAAAATCTGATGCGGCCAGTTGACCGAAATTAATTAGATTGTTTTGAGAAAACTGATACACAAATCTACCAACCATGCAGAATAAAAGCTGCTCTGTATACTTGTTAACTGTAACGATTATATTGGTCGGATGCAAGTCCATCACCGCTGCTCCACCTGGTGATGGGCCGTCACGAGATTCCCGTTACATTGCGTCGGATAATAACCAGTACAATTATGTAAGTGTCCGAATAAGAAACGGGCAAATAATACTGTATTAATTTTATGTAAACGCATTACTTCCCAGAAATCAAATGAAGGAGAGTTTGCATATCATAGTTAATCTGTGATTTTATGAAAGGGGAAACATTTTTTTCCAAATTAAACGATAAGTATACAAACGATACATATGTATCTGTGTTCACCAAATACGGTGCAATTACGTATATTGCTATTATAAAATATCTGTTAGTCATTAAAAATTTTCGCAAGCCGAACTTGAACTTTAGATATTATGCTAATATTATGTAATTATTAGCATAATATGCAATCATGTGGCGGTAATGACATACTCGTATACAGGAATAAATACCGTGATAAATGTGTAAGTGTTGAGTACACAATAATATAGTGTTGGGTCTAATACTGTAACAATTATGCTTTTAAAATCACAATGTCTTGGTAATGTTCCCAAGCAGTGTTCAACCTGATGATTTACTTTAGTGTAATATTAGTGCCATTTTCGGTGCTAATATGTACAGATGGTTCGCACGGAATACTTATACCAAATTTAATGAAATGGCAGTGCTTTAATTTTAACTTATTGCTATGATATTGTTGTAGATTACAGGTTTTCTCTTGGACACTCTTGTACGGCAAGCACGACGTTCAAACAACGGGCAAAACAAGCAAACATGTTGTTCTTGATTTTGCAGCTCGGCAACAGCCGTACAGCCAACTTCTCGGTCGACACCTTCCAGTCTCCGACCGGCCTGGGCCTGGATGCCCATATTCCTCCCCTCCCCAACGACGTCATGCAAGAAACGGGGAAGACGATCGCGGAGGGCATGGACGTGTTCCAGGATGCTCTGACTAAGTTCCTCGGCACCCTTTTCGGAACCGTGAAGGCGCTGAGTAAGAATCCACAAAAGAGTATCAACGTTATCAACTCCGTCATCGGGGCGGTTAATGCCGCCAGTGATGACTATCTCACCGCCGGCACCAGCATTGTGAATGGTTTCGATCAAGCTGTCATTAAAAACCGCAACATAAGCAACTTGTTTGATCCTGCACGTCCCTAAAATTGTTATACTTGGTTTTAATTTGCGCGTGAAGATGCTGGAATTTATTATGAATAAACAAATGGCTGGTTGCTAAAACTGTTCAAGCGCCGTCGGTACTGTCGATTACAGACACAGTCATAACACCGGTATAAAGGTTCAAGATGGGCTTAAAAAGTACTTGTTAGCATGTGGTTTTAACCGCGCTAGTCCTATGCGTCCTTCACATGGTCATTTTTTTCTCTTTGAACTACTAACACCGCAGAATTATATTACACTGCTGAGTTCCCAACAAACGATCAAACGATTAGGCAGAACATCTTGTATTTTGTTCTCGTAAAGACGTTTGAACACCTTTTCCGTTTGCGTTCCGCCAGCAATTTCCACCGACACAACCATGAAATTATTACTTTTTCTCTTTGTCAGCACTATTCAACGAATGGCTTGCCTTGTGCACGGTAGCAAATCACTAGGTGGGTTACAAGATATATAGGTTCAAAAAAAGAAGTGCTTCATTTTAACGCATGTTGCGCTAACAAATGCTTCGCAGTTTGAATTCATGCTGGCGATTCATGCACATTGGATTCGTTCTTGATGCACACTGATTGTCTATTTTGTTAATTAAATTTCTGAACCGACTGGCTGATGTCCCCATTTTGCATCCCTACATCAAGTGAAATGATTACAGTACAATGAAAATTATAACAGTACTATAACTTTTTTGTATATTATCGATGCTTTTGCAGACGAGCATCCGGTACTGGAAACCGAGTGCAATACGCCGCCACCGGTTATCCAAGCAGCCGCTGTAGAGTTACCCACGTTTTCCTTCCGCACCGACCAGTTTTCACGAGATGAATGCCTGGCGCACGCGGAAATGAGAAAAATGGAGACTCTATGGTGCAACCCCGTTTTTTGGCCACAGGACTGTGATCGGTCGAAACCGCAAACGTTTATGGCAGTGACCTACGCCTACGTGTCGTGTTATGACAGGAGCCGAGTCGAACTGGTATAAACATCACGCGGGGTATAAGTTTAATTAGCCCCTATCGGGCTGTTGACATGACGCTAAGAGAAGGAGACGGTCCCGCCGATCAACTCCATTCTGACGTAGTCGAACCAATCCGCCACCAGATCATCGACTTACGCGTGTACGTAATGGCACTCTCCCCAAGGTTAACCACAGCCAAGATTTTCGACGCTGGGATGCTATTGAATCTGTTACTCTTGAAAATTATATCCGGTAGCCGTTTGCAGATTCAGAAGAAGCATTTCTCGCGGATGCCGCAGATCCGACGGATAGCGTTCAAGCAGTGCATCATCGCCGTACTGGAACCGTACACCATTACTGACTTGCCTCATTTACAGAGCTTGTCACTGGAAGACGGAGTCGGTCTGCATCTTCACAGCATATCTGAAAGGAGCGATTGGGCCATAGTACGTTTCAGTGACGAGGAGTACTTGGAGTTACTTCGGAAACTACACAGTGACTGTGCGTATGCCTGGTACCGCAATTTTCTCAAGAAATACCCACGTCTTATTGCTTGCAAGGAGACAGGGGAATTGGGGGTTATAGGAAATTACCGATCACCAGCTGTTGATGTGGTAAACTTTTCAGGTGTGAGGAGTGTGGACTGCGCGCAAAATTTGACTGATTTTCAGATAAACAATATTGCCGGCCACGAGTATTCCTACAACACTTCTTGCTATGGCCGTCAATGCGAATGAGAATTTTCCTTTAACTGTGCATCAGTCCTGTCTGAGGCAATGTCTTTAATGATCAAAATTTAACTGAAATGTTTGATGAGTGTTTCGGCAAGTTCCTTTTTTGTTTTAAAATTAGACATCGAAATGTATGCCGCATTAGCCTAGTTCCGCATGGAAAGTTTTTATGATGCTGAGTAAACCACTTTTGCACGCCGTTTGATAATATTGTTGATCCATACATGTACATGTACCCCGTAATACGAGCATGCATGAATAGGGCTTACTGCTTACATTATTTTCTGACAATCATGTCCCAGAAAAGCGCACCACAGCTTATTATGTAGCGTAATTAATGTCGAGAGCACTTTGCCATGAATACGGTAGATTAAACACCATTCACCGGCTGATATTCTCACGCGATAACCATACGACGAAGTACGAACGATATGGATCTGTCAGCATAAATGGACTGGGGTTTTAAGTTTGGTTTTCAAGCGCAGTAACTTCTTTGTTGTATGTTCAGTATCGGTAAAACAATATAAACATGTGGACGAAGTATAAACCGTTATTTCAGTCGAAACATCATTCAACTCAAACAGCTGTTCCGCACGCCCAGATGGTGGCACGGTTTCTCAGATTCTCCGATTAACTCGAATTGCTGTTACATTAATCACACCATGTTACTGATCCTTAAGACCATAACAACAGTCCTTTTGCTTCCAGGCTGCTTTACGCACGGTGGGTCTCAAGCCTCCCATGATAATAAATTCTGCTTTGAAATTTCCTCTGTATGAAACAATGCACTATACCACATCTGCAGATGAACGGCCGGATCTAGAAATCGACTGTAATCCTGCACCAGCGACCACGACAGCAGCGCCTGCAGAGCCGACCGCGTTTCCATTTCGGACCGATCTGTTAACGCGAGAAGAATGCCTTGCATATGCACAACTGCATACCCACCGGAATATGTGCAGTCCGGTTCTCTCACCGCAACAGTGTGAGCCCTCAAAGTATGATCAGTACACGATAACACCACCATCCAGAACTTACATCGATGCCTCCTGTTCATGGGCGAATCGAACAGCGCTGACAGAAGTTATGCGGAGTATCAACATTATTAGTCCGAATCGGGCGGCTATCGTAACCTTTGCGGAACAAAACGACACCACCTGTCCGATTCATTCGGACGTCATCAATCCAATCCGTAACCAGATTATCGAGTTGTACGTCTTAGGATGCCGCACGACGCGTACCACCGCCAAGATTTATGAAGCTGGAATTTTCCCAAATTTGATACTGTATAAGCTCCAGTCCGGGCTGCGCTTGGAGATTCAGAAGAAGCACTTCACACGGATGCCACAGATACGAAGTATTCGACTGGTGTACTGCACTATCGCTGCGCTAGAGCCGTACACGTTTACCGATCTACCACACTTGCAGAGCTTGGAACTGGAGGGCAACGTGGGCTATCATCTGTACCGCGTGCACGAAACTCCCGATCGGCGCATCTGGGATCCCGAGATATTCAGCGACGAAGATTTCGAGATGATTCGGAAACTGCACTGTGATTGCTCGTACGCGTGGTACCGCAACTTTCTAAGAGAGAAGCCGTATTTAACATTCGGCAAGGTCAAAGGAGAAATTGGCGTTATTGGAAACTATGCGACGCCGTTTGTTGACGCTTCATTTCTCTCGGGTGCGCTTAGCGTTAATTGTACGCAAAAGTTGACGTACAACAATAGTAACGTCGGAAGCGAGTACTCGTACAATGTACCATGCTTTAACCTGCGCTGCTGATGAAAAGTGCACCTTGAATTAATGGCAGTCGATTGCCTCAGCCGTGCATGCCATCCGCGGCTTGCAAACCAGCCTGTAATGGTGTCAATATGTACTGTATTATGCGGTAAATTTCTTGGGTCACCTTGTTCCTGTACGGGTATTAAGCGGTGCAAGTTGCAACAAAGGTGGGATTTCCACTTTTGAAGTTGAACGTCGACCAGCTGGATAAGGTCATTTCTTTTACTTGTTGCACGTTTATGGGTAGGAGCGCTCATGTGCAGCAACGGTAAAGGGCCGCCTAATGACGACAAGGAGTAAAACCTGAGACTGACAAGCGGCATTTTCTGTTTGACAAACGAAACAGCCAGCAACCAACAGGAATGTTACCCGTGGCTGGGCCGTAGACGATACTGAAAATTAACGGCAATGGCTTCGGTAGTAATCTGTACAAGCCGGTGCTAACTGGCATAAAGTATGGCTGCGAACTGCGACAAAAACTTCGGAACTACCAGCCTGTGCGCAGTTCGGGTAGCACGGCATCACCAAAAGGCAAGAAAGACTTTGAGAGGGTAGAAAATTCTCTAACAATACCAGTAGTGCCAAAGGGCGTACCAAACGTAACTTTCCGTGTTTTGTACCTCTCTTCACAGATTCATTCAGCAGTTCATACAGATATTTTTATTAACCACCTTTTATTCAAAGTAAATTTAAACTAGTCTAACTGCGATTTTGCCGCAGAGCATTTGGCTAAGTATTTTTATTCGCAAGCTTTTCAGAGCGTTTTAAAAACGTTATATTAGCACGCTAGGACACCATAAGCATTTTCTATTAAAATACCCTGTTCAAAGCGTTAAGGAAGGAGAGAAGTGACAAACAAAGTTACAAAAGCCAGTTTTCAAAATGACCGTGATTAGGGAGCCAAAAGTAATATCAGCTGATTAATTTTTTGTTTCTGTAGTTCTTCGTTGAACCTTCTAATTTTTATTTTCTATAATTATTAGCTTATGAATTTTTATTTTTTATATTAGCTTAGGAAACAATTCATGTGAATAAAATATAATGAGTTCCATATTTCTTCAAATGGCGTGGGGACATAATAGGGAAAGTTACTTTTGGGACGCCCTTTGTATGATACAGCGGTAGCTCGTGTTGCTCTCAGTCAGATTACATCACCAGAATGAAACAATAATTTGACTTTCTCAAGCGATCGGTTTGCGACTGACCGATAAGGATCCTCTGAGTTGAAGATAAAATCAATGTTCAGAAAATGGCGAGTCTCCTTGAATTGGCTCGTTAGTCCTTACATTATTACATATATATGAAAAAAGGCATACATGCGTAAAGCATAAGGCATTGCTGTAATAATAACTGATACAAACAGAAGATACCCTTTTCACCAGAGAAATCATAATTATTCCAATTAAAAATTTACGCCGTACGTCCGGTTTCACCTTATTGGTTATGGAGACTTTAAAAATCAGCGCCCTGAAATTACTGCAGGCATTGCTGATCAACATCATTTTGCTGCCGCCCTGCCTTATGCACAGTAAGCATATTACGTATTTACTCACTCGCCCATAACTTTTAGCACGGTAAATATATTCTACCCCACTTATATTCCACTTTTACCAGCTATTTATTGTCTTTTTTTTGTGGTTAATTATTTTGTGGTTAATTATTAATTTTGTGGTAATGTTCGGTATTCCTACGGATGAAAGTCCGGGAGTCGCTGCAATGTTCACTGGGCCTTGAACGACACTACTTGGGGGGAACTTTTGTGAACCCCAGGTAATCGGGTATGTCGTTTCTCGCTGGTCGATGTCATATTTCTATTTTTGTGGAGCTGTTTTTCTGGGCTTTTAACACATTTGTAGCTCTTGGGTCCTGGTGAAATGGCGAAAGATCAACGATGTCAGTACTGCCAGAACCTGTTCGCCAAAGGCGCAGGGTTCGCCAACCACGTCAAGGCCTGCAGCAAGAAAGTTCATGCCCGACAGCCCTCGCTTGTTCCCCAGTCCGACTCTGACCAACACCCCCTTCGGTTTCTCCTGTCCGGGACACATTATACCCTCCCGAAGAGAGTGCCAAAAACAGTCCGACGCTCGTGTGCACAGGCCCTGACCCAACTCCTCCGTAAATGTGTACGTGATAACTCTTCCGCGTCTTGGATAGATTTGCTGCTTTTTGGTTCAAGAGCGCTATCTTTACCTGCCACGAAGTCACTCCGAAAGGAATCGCTGCCTTCCATTATTCAGAGGAACCTGACCGATCTATCTCGCCACCATCATCCTCCCCGCACACGTCCTAGCGGTGATACAACCCGTAAACGCGAATTGAATGAAGAGCGATTGACGGCTTTGGCCACATCCCTGTTGCAAAACAATAATGTGCGACGGGCTGTTGGAGTAGTAATGGGTGAAGACGCTCTTGCCCCGATGAATGCGGACACTCTGGAAGCCCTACGCGATAAGCATCCTCCGGAGCCCGAAGACAGTGATTATCCTCCGCCGCCTGAGCAGTTACAGAAGCCTCCTTTTGTCACCCCTGCTGAAGTTTTGCAGGCCGTTCTAAGCTTTCCTTCTGGATCTGCTGGTGGTTGCTCGGACTTACGGCCACAACACCTTAAAGATATGTTGTGTGGGCCTGGAGCGGTGGAAAGTGAACTGTGCTCTGCTTTGACTGATTTTGTTAACCATGTACTGCACAACGACATCCCCGAAGATATCAGGCCTTTCTTTTTTGGCGCCAATCTAATCCCATTGGCTAAGAAAGACGGAGGTATACGTCCCATCGCCGTCGGAGAAACCTTCAGACGTTTAGTCTCGAAAATGGTGAGCCAGAGGTGCACGGATAAGATGAAGGAGCTGTGCAACCGAGTCCAGTTTGGTTTTGGGACTAAGGGCGGAGCCGAGGCCATTATTCACGGGATGCGGGCCTATTTGGAAACTCCCCATACGGAAGCTCGGGTCATTGTTAAACTATATTTTAAAAACGCTTTCAATATGTTGAGACGGGACGCACTGTTAAGAGCTGTTCGTGAACATTTCCCCGCATACTACAGCTTTTTTTGGCAGTCCTATCGCTTCAGCAGTCATTTGGTGTGTGGAGAAGAAGCGTTGTTGTCCGCCCGGGGAGTGCAGCAAGGTGAGTTAGGTGACCCATCTGGCCCGCTTGGATATAGCCTAGCCACGTTACCGTTGTTCCCTGACTTGGACTGCGAATTGTATTTTGCCTTTCTTGATGATGTTACGCTGGCCGGGACCGTAGAAAAAGTGATGTCAGCCATTAAGCGGATACAGGAAAAAGCGGCGAAATTGGGTCTGGAGTTGAATTTCAGGAAATGCGAATTCTTTCCAGTCGTAACGAGCGATGCTGAAGAAGCGCATATCCGTAGATCTCTGCTAAGCTGCTGGCCGGAGATGTTACAACTAAGTGCCGAGAATTTCTCTCTGTTGGGAGCACGGATGACATCTTCTGCATGCGCGGGATTTTTGGCTGGAAAAACGAAGCAACTCCAAAATTTCGTCCAGCGTCTGAAAAAGCTACCGGCACACTACAGTCTCTTTCTTCTAAAAAACTGCCTCAGCATTCTAAAAGTTTTATACGGGTTGCGAACTTCACGTAGTTATGAACACGCGCAACTGTTGAAAGAATATGACGAAATGTTGCGGTTGGGGGTGGAGCAGCTGGTCAACGTAAAAATTTCCGAAGCTCAGTGGACGCAGATATCTCTTCCAGTACGGCGTGGGGGTTTGGGAACGCGACGCATAGAGACATTAGCTGTTTGTGCCTATTTGGCATCGGTGTACTCTGTGCAACACATCGTTTCCGAACTTTATCAGCCAACTGAGGAGTGTCTGACGAAAACAGCTCAGGAAACCTGGGTACAGCTGACAGAAGGTGAGATTCCGGCAGAATTCCTTCGAAAGTTTCAGTTTGCATGGGACAGCCCAGTGATTGATCGGGATATTTCCATCCTGATGTCATCCACTGAAGGCAACGACCGCGCTAGGGCAGTCTTGCTGGCTGCCTTAAACAAAGATTCGAGAGCGTGGTTAAATGCGTTGCCTGCGCCATGTTTGGGCACCTTCCTAAGGGACGACGATGTGAGAATTGGTGTAGCCCTGCGCTTTGGATTACCGGTAGTGGTGGCACACAATTGCATCGCGTGCGGTACACAAGTCGAAACCAATGGTCATCACGGGCTATCATGCAATAAATCAACCAAAGGACGATGGGCGCGGCATAAGGAAATGAACAGCATCGCAAAGAATTGTTGCGAAAGCGCTGGTTTTCCTTGTCAGCTGGAACCGACTGGGCTATCCAGCACAGACGGGAAAAGACCCGACGGGATGACGCTGATACCTGTTCGCCAAGGCAGACCGCTTGTTTGGGATGTAACAAGCTGGTGTACTGTTGCAGATTCCCACGTCGCCGCAAGCTCGAAAAATCCGGAAGTGTGTCCCAACTGGCAGAAAATTCCAAGCGCCGGACGTATTCTTTTTTTGAATACGGTTACCTCTTTTATCCCCTGGTTATTGAGACACTGGGAGTTTTTGGCCCTGCCTTCAGTGAAATGCTGCATTTCATGGGCCGCAAGATTCGGGACATAACGGGCGAAGCGCGTTCTACTGCTTTTCTCAAGCAGCGTTTTAGTTTAGCTGTTGTTAAGGGAAATGCTACGGCTGTTTTGAGTACATTGCCTTTTAATCCGAGAGAGGATAAGGATTTTGGTTGTTTTTTTAATGTTTAATTTTTAACTATTAAGTAGTGTACCAGCGCTTGCAATTATTGCTATTTGGGTTGCTATTGCCAATAAAGGTATTTATTCTACCCCTATTAATATCTATGCTCACCTTGATTTATGTTTCTAGAACAATTTCGCCTGGTTTTTGCTTATACGTATGTACTTTATAGTACATTCTTAATAGATGGGCATACGGATCTGGAAACCGATTGCAATATCCCTCCAAACATGTCTCAAACGAATGTTGTGGACCCAATAGCATTTCCGTTTCGAAGCGATCTGTTGACACGAGAGGAATGCCTGCTTTATGCCAACTTGAGTCATAACGGTGCAATCTGCAGTCCGGTTTTCAGCGTCCAAGAATGCGAGAAGTCATCGAACGATGAACATCTGTTGACACCACCCTCTCGAACATACATCGATATTAGATGTTCTTGGGAGAATCGTACTCTTCTGAGCGATACTACGAAGAATATCCATTTAATCAGCCCAACACGAGCTATCATCATCAAATTGAAGGAGCGCAACGATTCTGTCGATCCAGTCCATCCGGAGGTCATTAGCCCGATTCGAAACCAGCTCATCGAGTTCCGCGTCAGAAGTCCGCACAACATTCATCAGTGCCAAGATATACGACACCGGGATGCTGCCGAATTTAATACTGCTCAGGATTGAATCTGGGTTGCGTTTAGAGATCCAAAAGAAACATTTCTCGAGGATGCCCCACATACGAAGCATTACATTCGCGGACTGCACTATTGCAGCGCTGGAGCCGTACACTTTCACTGATTTACAACAGTTGCAGAGCTTATCGCTCGAAGACCGCGTCGGTTACAATCTATATCAAATCGAGCACTATGATGCCTGGGCGCAACCTGACTTCTATCCGGACACACTAACTCACTAAGTAACGCGAGTTTGGAAGTTTTCCGACAGTTGCACTGTGATTGCTCCTACGCCTGGTATCGCAATTTCCTCAAGCGGAAACCCGATCTAATTTCCAGCAAGAGACAGGGCGAAGTTGCGAAAATAGGTAACTATATGACACCTTCTGTTAATATGGTTTTTACAATTTCGGCAGCTGTGCTCCGAGTTGATTACGCGCAAAACCTGACTTTCAGCAATGTGGGTCGTAATATGGGTGGTAGCCAGTATTCTTATAACACATCTTGCTATAATTTGAAGCGTTGATGAGAACTTGAGCTTTTACGGTATTATCTGTCTAGAGCATTTTCTAAGTCGTTGTTTCTCGTTGCTTTTCTAAGTCGCAAGCTTTGGTGGCAATCGGAAAACGGTGTGCGGTAAGATTGGAATCGAGTTCTTAGCGCTTGCAAGTTGCAATGATTACTGTACATCACGATCACAAAGTTGTGTGCCAGTAGAGCCTCTTATTTTAATTTTGCAGAATCAGTTGATACAAAATTTCAGGGTTAGAATTGTTTAATATTATGAACACTGAACTCAGTAAAAGTATTGTGATGCCACATCAATTGCAGACAGTTTCCCGCGCCATCTGACATAGAACATAAGTAAGTATTACAATAAAAATGTGGCAGTCCTTACTTTTGCGGTGAATTCACTGTTATTACAGTATATGATTGCCTACTGTCTACATGGAGCATTCGTGTAATTCAGTGTAGAACATAAGTACGAGGTAGATTTCTCAATTTACTGTTTAAATGGGCGATGGAGCGATTTGAATTTCTTGCAAGTTGAAGACAATTTCTAGGTATGCTCGCGAGCCACTTTTTGTGTTTTTTTATTGATATTTCGTAGTCCTCACACAATTATAATATTGTAGCCAAACTAGCATTAGCTTCGGTTACTGCACAGCACTTAGCTTGCGCATGTACTGGAAAAAGTATGTGCGCAAGTACTGTGCAATAACCGAAGCCACACAGGCTGTGCAGACCTCTACTTACTACTTAACATTCCATAAAACAGCTAATTCCGTTCCGTTCTCAGTTTGTTTTATTAGCGACATTTCTGTCAGCAATACCATGAAATTACTGTTGACATTTTTCATCAGCGTCATCGTGCTCCAAGCCTTTCCTGCGAATGGTAAATGTATATTCTCATTCCTTATGCTGCAAATCAAAATAATTTTGCTGGAATTAAATAATTACGATCAAGTGATTGCTTTATGCACCAAGATTAAAGAGCAGTAGCGTCACTGATCAATCCGATATTTCTTTTAACGTTTTTCTAGCGATATTAATTTCAAATTATAGTCCAGTCTTCCTGCTCGACTTCCCTACATAATGCAGGGATGCAAGTGGACCTGGTAACCGACTGTAATACACCACAAACGTCCCACAACCGACTGCTCTGGAGCCGATAACATTTCAATTTCAGAAAGATTCGTTAACACGAGGTGAATGTCTGATATGTGCCACCTTGAGACAAAATGGCACCATCCGCAGTCCGGTTTTCGCCCACGAATGTGAGCGTTCATCGGATAACCAGTATCTACTGAAACCACTCTCTAGAATATATATCGATGTCAGATGTTCATGGGAGCATCGAACCCTTTTAACTGCGTAATAGTACACAGAAGATTCGCCTAATCAGCCGAACACGCGCTGCCATCATCAGCAGCAGGAGCGCAGCGATTGTCTCGATCCCGTCCACCCGGAGGTCATCAACCCAGTTCAAAACCAGCTCATCCAACTCATGCTCGTCCAGCTCATGTCTCAGAAGTGCGTACAACGCAAATCTGCGCAAAGATGTGCGACATTGGAATGCTGTCAAGCCTGATATTTCTCGGAATTCAGTCTGCGCTGGGCTTAGAGATCCAGAAGAAACATTTTTCGCGGATGCCACAAATACGCAACAATGGAGCGTCACATTCGCGCACTGCACTATTGCAGCGTTGGGGTCGTACATTTTCAGTGACTTACCACACGTGCAGAGCTTATCACTGGAAGATGGTTGCAGCTCAGATCTGTCTCTGATCGACGACTTTCCCAATGCGTCTAAAAAGCGCCGCCGGCTCTATCTGTACATGTTCAGTGATAAAGGTCGAGAAATGATCCGGAAGCCGCATGGTGAGTGCTCGTATGCATGATACCGTTAGTTTCTCAAGAAAAACCCAGGTCTTATTGCACGTAAGGAGAGAGGAGAAATTGACGTTACAGGAAGTTACCAATCACCCCTTGTTTATACAGGGGTGCATTTCGGGTGTGCTGAGTGTGGATTGCGCGCAAAATTTTGACTGCCACTGTATTTCAGATAAACAATATTGCCGGCCACGAGTATTCGTAGGACACTTCTTGCTATGGCCTACAATGCCGATAAGAATTTTCGCTTTTTTGTGCATTTGAGGCAAAACGTGAGGCCGAGTATGCGCCGTATATTATCAAAATTAGATCGGAGTGTTACATTAAATGTTTTGGTAAATGTTCTGGTTTTGTGTTTAAAGGCCATCGCGCAGCGAATTAATATAATCCGCATTGGCCATGCTCTGTTTGAGAAGTGTTGCGTATGTAGTAACAATACCCAAATGGCAAATACATTGGTTTTGCCCGCCATTTATATTCTTGATCAAGGCAACAATCTGGTCTACAGTACATGCGGGAACAGCTACATAGGCAGCTACAACTACGGTACATGCGGGAATATGAATGTGCTGCCAGTGTAATTATGCATGTACATTTCTTGACATGTCCCAAAAAAGGGCACCACAATTAGAGGGCATAACCGATAATTATTAGCAACATTGCGATGACTACTGTACATATAGCACCAGCAGATATTCTCTCGCGATAACCATGCGAGGGACGATAATAATCAGTCCAAAAAATGAAGTGAGGTTTTAAGTGTGGCCTTCGAAAGCTGTAAGCATGCGAGTTCCTTGTTCGTTAGATTTTCTTGGATTCTCAACATACCAGTACTGGCAGTACAGACTAAATAAGCATACCAGCGGAGTATAGCCGGCTACCTCGGCCAAAAGATTATTCCACTCGAACAGCTGCTTCGTACCCCAGACGGCACCATCGTACAGTGTGAAACCAATAATAGGGAATGTCTTCTTGAATTCGCGCGCCAGTTCTTATTCTGTACATAAAAACATTCTTATTCTGTACATACATTCGGTTCTTATTCTGTACATTCTTATTCTGTACATATAAACGAGTCGAATATATTACTCGTACGAGTATAGTATAACTCGCAGAACATACTGGAAAAGCGTCTGCACTCTATGGACCGATACCATTCCGGCATTCTGTGCAGTATGCATTAGTTAATCATGCTTTTACGTGGAAGGTTAAGTAACCAGGTACGTTTCTGAAATCTCTGAAAAAAACGAATGTTATGCTCAGGAAACGGACGGAGTCCAAATCACAGACCACTTCACGTTTGCTTCACAGAAACTTTTTTAAAATGTTTAAACCACATGTTTTTTAGAATGTTTAAACCACCAGCACAGTTGAACAAATGATTTTAACGCCAATATGTTTAAGTCATCGTGTGGTACAGTATCATAAACAGTACAAGAATTTCTTTGCGCACGAAAATTACGACAGGTGTTAGTTCACAAACGGGTACCATGTACCAGATAACCAGATAATTTAATTCTGGGCAGCGCGTTGAACACCACCACGAACCTTTGGCAGCACTGCACTAGTGCCGGTGACTTCGGTAATAGTCTGTGCGATCCAAGTGCCAGCTAACCTGCAGGATGACTGCGGCATAGCTCTTGCGTCTGAAAATCCTGAATGGTGAATGACAGTACACAGAAGTGACAGCCACGGGTGCGGTTGGTGTCGCCATTTACAGTCAAACATCGAACCCACTAACGTCTTCTTTGACTAAACGCACGTTATTCCGAGATTAATTATCCTGAAACGGATCTGCATGTTAAAAATCTACGGAACTTGCACTGCTGTCTCCCATCCAACATGGCTGCAGCAAAAAGCTGCTCGTTTGACAACGGCAGTTCGCGTTGTTGTCAATGTGAATAAAATTAATCACCGAAACTTAATTGATTTTCTCAAGCGATCGGTTTGCGATTGATCGATAAGAACCCCTCGCGAAGTTTAGATCATATCAGTGTTCACAATATGGCTTGTCTCCTTGAACTGGCTCCTTAGTCCTTAAGTATAAAACATCAGGCATACGAGCTTCGGTTGCTGTATCGGTAAACAATAGTAACTGATACAAACACGTACCTTTCATCAGTGAAATAATAATTATTTCACTAAAAACTTATTCTATACTTCCGGTCCCATCTTATCTTGTTATACATATTTCCAATAGCAGCACCATGAAATTACTGCAGACGTTGCTAATAAACATTATTCTGTTCCCGGCCTGTCTTATGCACGGTAAATATATTCTATGCTCATCTTTAACTATTTCCCTGAAAGAGTAATTGATAGCTTATCCCGTCTTAACAGATGGTCATACGGATCTGGAAACCGATTGCAACACCTTTCCAAACATCGCTCAAACGACTGCCGTGGAACCGATAGCGTTTCCGTTTCGGACTGATTTGTTGACACGAGAAGAATGCCTGCTCTATGCCGAACTGAGCCAGAATGGCGCTATTTGTAGTCCAGTTTTTGATGTCGAAGAATGCGAGAAGACATCGAATGACGAGTTCTTGTTGACACCACCCTCTCGGTCATACATCGATGTAAGATGCTCATGGGAAAATCGTACCATTCTGAGCAATATTACAAAGAACATCCATTTGATCAGTCCAACACGAGCGGCTATCATCATGTTGAAGGAGCGCAGCGATTCTTTCGATCCAGTCCACGCGGAGGTCATTGGACCGATTCGAAAACAGCTCGTCGAATTACGCGTCCCGGAAATCCGCACCACAATTATCAGTGCAAAGATATACGACATTGGGATGCTACCGAATCTAATACTGCTGGGAATTGGATCTGGACTGCGCTTAGAGATCCAAAAGAAACATTTCTCGCGGATGCCACAGATACGCAGCATTACATTCTCGGGCTGCACTATTGCAGCGCTCGAGCCGTACACTTTCACTGATTTACCGCACTTGCAGAGCTTATCGCTCGAAGACGGCGTCGGTTATAATCTATACCAAATCGAGAAATACGATGCCGCGATGCGCCGCGTCCATTCGGGCATGCTGAGTGACGAGGATTTAGAGATGTTCCGGAAACTGCACTGTGATTGTTCCTACGCTTGGTATCGCAATTTTCTCAAGCAGAAACCCGATCTGATTTCCGATAAGAGAAAAGGAGAAGTTGCGATTGTAGGAAACTATATGACACCATCTGTTGACATGATTTTTGCATTTTTGGCTGCGGTGCTCAGAGTTGACTGCGCGCAAAATCTAACTTATACCAATGTTGAGCGTACCATGGGTGGTAGCCAGTATTCCTACAACACATCTTGCTATAATTTACAGTGCTGAGAAAAATTAGAATTTCGAAAATTAGAATTTCGGTGTTTTGTCAGGCATCTTTATCCCACATTAAATTTTATCTTTGCAGACCAGAATGAGGTATCTCCGACCGTGGTTACCGTGGTATGAGAACGTGGTATCTCCGACTTTGACAGTGATCTGATTTTGCCGAAATCGTTTAATTAAAAACGTTTAAGAACAAAATCTCGTTAACGGGAATCTTAAATCGCTTTTAAAGATTCTTGCGGCAAAAAGATTATCAAGTACTAGAAAAACGCACCAAATGATTCAATGGAAGGTCAGTCTACCATTCCGGCATTCTATACACTGTTCATCTGTAATGCAGAGCCTCGAATTTTGTGGCTAAGTACCCCCAAGATAAATTTCTGAATCTCTGAAATGCTTCATGTAGTGGTCAGGATATTGATGAAGTCGAAATATTAGACCGCCTCTCGTTTGGTGGACAGCGATGGTTTTAGAAAGTTCCTTTTATTATGGCACACGTCAGCAACCGGTTGTTGAGGCACAAATCATTTGTGCCAGTGCGCCGATACATTTAAATTATGTTACGTCGGCATATGTAAATTCAGTCATTGGGCTGTAGAATATTAATACTATAATACGATATACAACCTTTGCGTGCGAACGTTCCGGTGATGTACGTTCTGGAAATTGGTGCCATGTACCGGATAATCTAATTCTGGGCAATCGTGTAGTCACTAAATGAACAAGCATCAGTATTACGTCCGGGGAAACACAGTGTCCAGACCCTTTACTGCACACATGACTGTTACCATTCTCAAAAAATACACCACAGCCTCACCTGTGGCACGTTTCGCACCAAAGGAAAAAACTGGGTCGTTTTTTTTCTTCCTGTAGGCACGGTAGACATCTGCATACAGGCTGTAGACACCATATAGTCATGCCGGTAGTCACCTGATGTCTGCAGCAGTGACACCAGTCGGGAACAAAAACTTGACAGTGTCTACATGGTGTCTAGTTCTACAGGTTGTCTACAGATGTCAGATGACTACAGTGACTACAAGAAGAAAAAACACGTTTTTGGTTTTTTCTTTGGTACGAAACGTTCCAAGTTTAATGCATGTACACCGCACCAATCGATGGAAAGTTAGAGTTGGCAACGCCTGGGGCCAGCACTTTGCATCTACTGAAAAACAACTCAAAATGGTGCATTTCGGAAAATATAGCGTCATGCATTTTTGTTAATTACGATGGCGTCATAACAATGTATGCCGTTAAAGTCCTACGGAAGCTGGACTACTTTTCTTCCCATTCGAGTATTCGACCATCCTGCAGGATGATTGACGCTGCCAGTTTGATAGCGGTAGTTCGTATTTAACTGGTAAAAGATTAAAAAATGCTCTGATTTTCCCAAGTGACAACCTTACGATCGAACGATATGAATTTCCCCAAAGCTGGAGATAATATCTCAGTTGGCCATGTCGTATAAGGAAAGACGGCTTCTAGCCTTCTAGGTCCTTATACCGTATGTATTGTCCTGTATATTATAATAATTATTATAAGGCACACTTTAAGCACTGTAGCACATACAGAGTAATTGCTAGTGACTCTTCCACTCCCTGGTACTGAAGTAGTGCACCACTCCGAAAAGTGCTCCGCATATCCGGACCCTCGCCTCATTCTTTTACCGAGACGTGTATTAGTTTCGCCATGAAATCGCTGTTGGCAGTGTTAGTAAGCATCCTTTTGCTGCCAGCCTGCCTTATGCACGGTAAACAAACAATATGGTTACTGCTTACAGAAGGTTATTTGCCGAAGACTCCGGTAGCAGTACCTGTGCAGTTATCGTCAGGATATGTTCTTCTTTAATAGGTGGGAATATGGATCTGGAAACAGACTGTAACATAGCTCCAACGGACACCCACATGACGGCATTGGACCCCCCAGCGCTTTCATTTCGGACTGATCGCTTGACTCGAGAAGAATGTCTGACCTATGTTAACTTAAAACAAGATGGCGTCACCTGCAGTCCCATTTTTGGCGTCGACGACTGCAAGCCAAAATCGAATGACAAGTATCTGCTAAAGCCACTTTCGAGAACTTACATTGACGTCCGATGTTCATGAGAGAATCGCACCGTTTTAACGAATATTACAAAGAATATCAACCTAATAAGCCCAACCCGAGCTGTCATCATGACTTTAAAAGAGCGAAACGATTCTTTCGATCCAGTCCACCATGCAGTCATCAACCCGATTCGCAACCAACTTATTGAACTCTCCGTTTCAGAAGTTGTCACGCCGTTTATTTACAAAAAGATATACGACACTGGGATACTACCAAATGTGGTGCTACTCAAAATTCAGTCCGGCCTGGGCTTGGAGAGCCAGAAGAAACATTTCTCGCGGATGCCAAAAATACACAGCATAACATTTTCGCACTGCACTATTGCTTCGCTGGAGCCGTACACTTTCACCGATTTACCGCTTTTGCAGAGCTTGTCGCTTGAAGACGGCGTTGGTTATGATCTGTACCGAATAGCGGAATATGAACGTTCGTTGCGCCTTCTCACTCCGGACATGTTCAGTGACGAGGATTTGGAAATGTTCCGGAAATTGCACTGCGATTGCCAGTACGCTTGGTATCGCAATTTCCTGAAGCACAAGCCCGAGCTAATTTCCGGCAAGAGACAAGGGGAAGTTGCGATTGTAGGGAACTATATGACACCATTTGTCGACATGCTGTCCGCGATTTCGGCTGCGGTTCTCAGAATTGATTGCGCGGCAAATCTGACTTACAGTAATGTTGAAAATGTCGAAAACGGGAGTCAATATTCGTACAATACAACTTGTTATAATTTGCAGTGCTAATAAGCAAGAGAATTAATTTTAAAAATCCGGTTTTGCTTGAAAAATGATTTTTTCGTCGCAAATAAAATGTAATAACTGAACACAAGTGACACAGCGATGTGAATGCCGTTTTTTTTGCTCAGTCTTCAGCACTGCATCTGAATGGTATCAGAGTGTTACAATGAAAAGATGACAATCCTATAGCTCTTGCAACGGATTCATTGCTATTATAAGCTTGACTGCTGTCTACAATTACAGCTGTTGTAATTTAATCTGTACCGGTTCGCGTTAAAATGTTGAGGGCGATACTATTCCATGACGATATTAATTGCCCGGAAAGTACAGACAGAACAAGTGTTCTGGACCTTGAAAGTAATTAAGTGGTGCAAACTGTATTACCATTTTTCAACGACAGTGCAAACTCGTTAAATACTGTACATAGTACATAGTACATACTGTGTTGTGTATGCAGTATGCGAACCAGAACAAGCTTCTATTTACCGCTGCTTTTATTAAGAAATTTTTTCATTATTTAAGCAGTAACTGTCCATGTAGCGATCTCCCGATACGTGCACAATGAGACGAAGTTGTTCTAAAATCTTTTCTTTGCGATAACACTGCAGCGTAGTTGTTGTTGATGTTGATCAGGATAAAATAAATAAATAAAGTAAGTAGCGGAAATGAAAATTGACAGTATGTAAGTAGATTTTCTCAAGCGATATGAGCGATGGCATGGAACGATATGAATTTCTAGCAAGGAGAAGATAATCTCCATGTATACTCGAGAGCCATCTTTTGGCTTGCTTTATTGATAGGATTTCGTAGTTAATAGGTATTACATTCTTATATCATAGCCTTACTTGCATTTTAAACATACTAGGACAAGTATATTTTGCGTAAATAGTAAAATAACATACAACTACTAATGCCATAATTTTTCATAAAACAACCAATTCGCATTGACTGTGTATCCGTTCTCAGTTTGTTTTACGAGTATCATCGAGATTTCCGTCAGCAACACCATGAAATTACTGCTGATATTTTCCATCAGCATCATCGTGCTCCAAGCCTTTCCTGCAAAGGGTAAATGTGTAAAAGTATCTTCATTCCTTAGGCTAAGCTACATGATGACTTTGTGGAGATAAAATTAGAACGAGAGTGACTGCATAATGTTAAAAGGCTGAAGTGCGATAGCCGCCCCTAATCGAAAGCCGATATAGATTCCTTTTAACACTCTTAAGCGTTATTAATTTCACATAAAGTGCCAGGCGTCGTACTCTGTTTTCCTACATACATAAAGTGAAACCTTTATTCATAAAGTCTGTAGTTAAACGAGTGTCGTTATATGTGCAGGGGGGCAAGTGGATCTGGAAACCGACTGCAACACCGTCCCGAACGTCACACAACCGACTGCTCTGGAGCCGATAACGTTTTCGTTTCGAAACGATCTGTTAACACGAGGCGAATGTCTTATGTATGCCAACTTGAGCCAAAATGGCAAAATATGCAGTCCGATTTTCGGCGTCCACGAATGCGAGGGTTCATCGGATGACCAGTATCTGCTAAAACCACTCTCTAGAACTTACATCGATGTCAGATGTTCATGGGAGAATCGAACGCTTCTGACCAATATCACAAAGAATATCCATCTAATCAGCCCCACACGAGCGGTTATCATCAAGCTGAAAGAGCGCAACGATTCTCTCGATCCGGTCCACCTTGAGGTCATCAATCCGATTCGGAACCAGCTCATCCAACTGCATGTCTCAGAAGTGCGTACAACGCTAATTTGCGCAAAGATATACGACATTGGGGTGCTGCCAAATCTGATATTTCTCGGGATTCAGTCTGGATTGGGCTTAGAGATCCAGAAGAAACATTTCTCGCGGATGCCTCAGATACGCAGCATCATATTCGCGCACTGCACTATTGCAGCGCTGGAGCCGTACACTTTTACTGATTTACCACACTTGCAGAGCCTATCGCTCGAAGACGGCGCCGCTTCCGATCTGTCTCTGCTCGACGACCATCCCGATCCGGCCACAAAGCGCCGTCTCTATCCGTACATGTTCAGTGAAGACGGTTTAGAAAGTATCCGGAAGTTGCATTGTGATTGCTCGTACGCTTGGTATCGCAATTTCCTCAAACAGAAGCCCAGTCTAATCTTCGGCAGGGGACAGGGTGAAATTGCTATGGTGGGAAACTACATGACGCCATTCATTAACATGATGGACGCGTTTTCGGCTGCCGTGCTCAAAATAGACTGTGCGCAGAACATTACTTATCACAATGTGCAGAGAAACCTTCGCGGTAGTCACTATTCCTACAACACATCTTGTTATGACTTACAGTGCTGATGCGAAACAAAATTCTAAAAGCGCGTTCATGTCTAGAATAATCGTCGGTAAAGCAAATGAAATTTAATGACTGCAGTTTGCGATGGTAAATTTCAGTTCATCGGTAATGTTTGATAACGGACGATGAATGTCTTGAATACCGAGTTATTATTAACAGTTGTTGACACTTCATTGCCTTTTTATGTTTATATATCACAATTACAAGGATTCTAGCAAAGGCTTTTTAAGTTTTACATCTGTCGGTTCATTTCAGAATTTCAAGGGTAATGACTTTTCTAGTCCACTTACCTATTTTAATTCAATAAAAGTTTGTTATTTATCGGCAACCGCAATAAGCTTTCGGCACATGGCGGTATCGAAACATTATATCTATTTGACCAGTCTCCATTGCCGTTTTTAATAACTCTGCCTGGCAACATTTGACTGATGTACCGTTCGACTAACACCGTGATACAGATACTTTTATATCTAATTCTGTTTGATTTTCCCAGTCATGCTACGATCACGGGAAGTTGGGCAGAACCTTATCTTTATTTCCGGATGGGCATATATGAACCTACTATACCTGAATATTACTAGTGCCTTCTACAAGCATTGCGACAGGATAATCGTTAAAAACGCTACAGACACCTCGATGGAACGCTTGATTTTCTCATACGATAAGGATGCAATAAACGATACAGCTGGAAATGTAAAAGATGTGTATTAATGTTAACGCAGTGCCAGTATTTTACGGCCGTTTGGTACGGCTCTTATCTTGATTGCTATACACTCACTACTAAATCTCTATACCTTTTATAACAGGTCCCTGGAACTTCCGGTCCCAGCTTTTTACTAGCTTATTACTCCCGTTTCTGTCTTACAACACAATGAAGTTACTGCGCGCAGTATGGGTGTCCATGGTGCTATTTGTTCTTCCATCTGGTTTTTTGCAAGGTATTTTAATGAACAAACGGTGTATGTGGGGTGTTTCTAAAGCGTGGTCACCACGGTCGTGGTCGTGGTCGCTGTGGGCGTGGTCGGGGGGGGTGTTATAATTTTTGAAAAGAGTTATGTTAGTTAAGTGGAATAAAAAAGGGTGCGAGGGAATAACTGTAAGCATAATCATGAAACTTTCAGTCTTCTCTAATTATTCGACAGTAGCGTATGAACTAACAGTGCAATAGTTAAATACTGAACAGTGAACAGTGAATCGGAGACTTCCGCCCACCCTCGACCACAACCACATTATCCCACACTCGACCACTAACGACCACGACCACTACCCCCCACGACCACGCCCACAGCGACCACGACCACGACCGTGGTGACCACGTTTTAGAAACACCCGTATATGTGCACGCATTGCTGGACATAATTTCGTATACCGCCTTTTCTGTGTAAAAATTACTTAGTACTGAGTGATGCTTTGTGCAGACGCACCTACTGATTTGGAAATCGATTGCAACACCCCGCCAACGGCCACACAGATCTCAGCGGTGCAGCTGGATCCCAATCCATTTCGGACGGATCTGTTGACAAGAGAAGAATGCCTGGGATACGTTAGCCTGCACGAAAGCCGGAGCATATGCAGCCCTGTGCAGTCGCGAAAGGACTGTGAACCTTCGAGCAATGATCAGTATACGATAACGCCAATATCACGAACCTACATCGAGGTGTTGTGCTCATGGGAAAATCGCACCTCGTTCGCCGAAATCACGCAGAGTGTCAGCACAATTAGTCAACGTCGAGCTGTCACCATAAGACTCAAGGAACGCAACGACTCAACCGATCCGATTCACTCTGATGTCGTTAATCCCATCCGTGAGCAGATCATCGAGCTGTCCATCTTAGAATGCCGTACAACGCGCACAACCGCCAAGGTTTATGACGCCGGGATGCTCCCAAACGTGATAAGGTTTACGATGCAATCCGGGTTGCGTTTGGAGATTCAGAAGAAGGATTTCTCGCGGATGCCAAAAGTACGAATGATCAGCTTGTCATCCTGTACCGTTGCCGTCCTGGAACCGTACACTTTTACCGACCTACCGCACCTGCAGAGCTTGTCGCTGGAGGACGGCGTTGGTTTCCATCTGCGTCGCTTGCAGATGCATCCAAACCGGAGCGAATGGGATCCCGAGACTTTCGGTGAAGATGATTTAGCGATGGTCTGGAAACTACACTGCGACTGCTCGTATGCGTGGTATCGCAATTTTCTCAAGAAAATACCGAGCCTTATTACCGGCAAGAATATCGGAGAAATTGGCAGTATTGGCAACTATAAGACACCTTATGTGGGCGGGGTGTCGTCGTTATCTGGCCTGCTTAGCGTAAACTGCACACACAAGCTGACTCCCGATAATAGTGATATTGGCAGCAAGTATTCCTACAATGTACCTTGCTATAACATACAGTGCTGATACAAAATGGCGTTAATTTTCAAATGCATTGCGGTCAATGCCCTTCATTGATAAACTGCTACCTTGCGTCAATACTTTAGTCTTTTGTTACTGTACATAGGTTTCAAAAGCAGCCTTGTCGTTAACAAATTATTATTGTTACGGTTACTTATGCCAGCAACATTCAAAGATCCACGCCTCTTTGCGTCGGGACTTGTTTTGGTAATCCAAGAATGTAAAAGAAATGGTCAATAAAAATTGTTACGAGCAGCGCGTTAGTGTGAACTGTCAAGTGCTCTGTTGCGATATTTTTATTAGCTTGGTACTATTATTAATATTTGCATATTGACGTACATTTTGACCGTTCCCTGCAGCCAACGGTTGTCGAACCTAAATCTGTGTATAAGGGCAGCAAAAGCTGTGACGAACGCGAATAATATTTAAGCGACGCAGCAGGAATTTTTGTCGCTTTTCAGCTGGGATATCCTGTAACAATCATGTACATGTGTTCAATATGATTATATGACTAATTTCTCAAGTGCACAATTCTGCTGTTCTTGTAAAAACTGAGGCCGTACCACTTCATCATGCTCAACAAGCAGCGGAAAAATTTATTTTTCGTAAAAACTGGACAAGAAGTTCGTACATCAGTATTGTACACGCTTTGGAATCTGCCAAAAGATATTACCGAGGTTAACACGGCAAAAATGCATCCCGCACTTTTATCAGCCATGACCCTGCTGCTGGGGTTTGTGCTTGTAGCTGGCGCACCACCATTTGGCTTCCTTCCATCTCAGCTGAATACCGGTCAGGCCCAGATTAAACCAGTAAGTAATAATAATTTTAATGTTAATGTTATCAGGAAACTAAGGTATGAAACTGATTCTAATTATTTATAGAAACAGTGCATGAACGTTTATCTTGTGGCTTTCCCTGTTCGATGCATTTGAAGTAGTACAGCTTTCTATAATTTAACAGACGAATTGGAAAAGAGACAAATACCGTTAAAAATAAAAAGACTTGTGTTGAGATCAGTTTTTTGATTGCGCAGTTTGAAAGCGGTAGTAGCAATGTCGTTGCGGTCAATCCGGCTATCGGCAACCCGGCCCCGGTCTTTGCTCAACAACCCGGCCCCACCCATTTCCAGATTCCCACATTGAACATTCCAAAAGAAACCATGCAGCAATATCAACAGGTCGCGGTAAACGGTGTGACGGCCATTCAGAATGCCGTACAGAATTTCCTCACTGGAGTGTTCGGAACCTTCAAGAAAATCTATGAGAAGAATCCCGATAAAATTATTAACGCTGCTAATGCAGCGGTGCAGGCTGTCAACACGTACCAAGCAGAATACGCTCCCTTTGATAAAGAAATCAGCGATGCCTTCAGCCAGTCTTTTCTAAACAACCGTAACCTGACGTATCTGTTCGGTAAAATGCCGGATACACCTACGAACGGAAATGGTGCTTATCAACCTTATCACTAACGAGATCAGCCATTTTTCTTGCCAGCAGCAAAATAATTTTCCCACGCAAATACAGCGGTCGTGAAATGAAAAGTGTAGTTCGATGTTAGTTATTTTGTCAATCTTTGGCTGTTAATTGTGGTATTTGGGCGTAACTGCTCGCCTATAAAATTAATACGTACATAATAATGAGATGACGTGCGTTTGATAAGACCAATTTAATTGTCAAAACAAATGACGTGAAAATGCATCAGGGATATATTCAAGGCACGGTACAAGCGTACGCTGAAAAGCAATTTACGCGCTTTGCAATAGTCGTCATCAAAACAAAATTATTATCACAAAAAGCAACGAAATCCCGAGCACGACAATAAGCCGTTTACAAAAAATGCACAAAGCACCAATACAGCAAACGAACAGAACTGAAAATACCAATAAACACAATACACTGTGCAATTGTGTATGCTGTACACTGTACAGTTTGCGATTAATGTACAGTAATTAAATTTTATCTACAGGTTTATTAATACTAATAGTAACAGACACTAACACTAATAGAAGATTCTTTAACCATGGTAATGCATGTACAAGTACTCGTACAAGTTTAGTGAGCAGGAAACAGAATTTTAGTTTGGAGTGTGGCAGCACCACAAATATTGCAGTTTCTCGTAATTACATTTCCGTCTTCGTTTCCGGAGTTGCGACATTCGACAGCTCTTCCTGCGCATCGCTAGGTTTTGCATCAGAATTATTAGCTTCCACAAAATCACGCATATATCCCACTTTATGTTGTGCCACATATTCCGCGCTCATATGCGGTTCGAAGACATTATCCGGAGTTGCATTCCCTTCGCCACCTGGAAGACATGTTTTCCGCTCCAAATTTAGCGGCTTTTCGTTGTTGATGAACTCGCTGTCCGAACCCAGGCGCTCGCCTTCGTAGTCTCCTTCGTACTTTTGCGAAGGCATAATGTGGGCAAATGGTTCTTGTTGCAAGTGAGTGAGCGGATCGCTCGAGAGGGGAGCATCCAGCGCTTCATCCATTTGTGTCACGGAAGAGGCTTTCATTCGCTCCAGCTCTTCGTCCGTTTGCAAATCTCCGAACTCGGTTATGGTGAAAGGACGGTCCGACATGATCGCACACTGAAAGGCTCTTCAGGGTCCCGGTGATCTATGCGCACATCAAAACTGTCTACACCGCGTAAAAAAAGGAGAATACATTGCTAATCAGTGGAAAAAGCTTGCAAGTATTTTGGAAACTCACCGCGTTATCTAATGGCACCAAACGGACCCAAATTGGCGTTTATACTGCGCAGTATCCCATGCCAGACACTCTACTATAAACATACAAACAAATCAGTGCAGCTCAAATCAGTGTGGTACGTGGTGCTCGCTTAAACGCTTGCGCAACTTTCGCTCGACTGTTCAGCGGTGAAAGCTTTGCAAATCGATGGTCGACCATGTGCAGTGCATGTAAAGATGGTAAACTGCCCAAAATCTGCATTCTCCATCAGGCGCATGAGCCATGTAGAGTGTGAGTGCACTCACTGCACTTGCCGTCAGTGCGTGCAACACACAATGAAATTGTGTGTACCGGTATTGGATTGCCGGTATGTATGCAGATAGCTACAGTATAATCCACTTTATACAGCTGCGCTGTGTACATATTTTTTGAGTTTATAAAATACTTCTGGTTGTTGAAAGGGTTTTGTGCATATGCGATAACTAATTACCCGCAGAAACAGCAAAACCATTTTCTATTATAATTCGTAATTCTCGCACATGCTTAAATCTTACATACTTGTACTGTAAGAAATCAGTCCCTCTTAATTAACAGAGAATTTTATACGGCAGCGTCTCAATAAGGATAGTGATGCGGTACATGGTGCCGGGTGTAACTGTACAGATATGTACATCTACCGATCGGTACATGCACTCTCCCGAACTCCAAAGACAACAGCGGCCGAATGATTTGTGTATACTGGACGAAAACCGTTTGTGCGCAAAATATCCAGCTGTAGAGTCATGGCAGGTTAGATTCTGGGACGTTTATAGTATGCAAAAAGGTGTACAACGTAATAAAAAGTCACATCATGTGCCGACACTTCGAATGTAGCATTTAATCGCAGAACATAGGTATGCAGCCCAGAAGCTCGGTTCTAAACTTCTAGCATTCTTTTCGAATTTTAAATCAATGCATTTCATTTGATTCGAGAGTTTTTTTTAAATAATTGTTGAATTCTGGTTCGGAGTAAGAACGATTTACAAAATAATCAAGATGCAGTTATGAAGTACTATCATCAGTATTATAAGACTAATGACAGTACATATGTAACTCTCACACGCACGATCATGCGCGAAGCCGTAATGATTAACCAAACAGAAATAAACAGCGGTAGCGCTGCGGGAAATAATTCGACTGTTACAAACCACAAAATTAAATTTTTATTTCTTACAGGCTTCTGGTAATCGTCTAGCGAAGTGTGTCTTGTTGCCATGCGCAGACGTGAGTACTTTATTTACGAGTATTTTACTGAAAACACCTCCAGTACTAAGTACTTACTCCATGGCACTGAACGTATGTTAATCAATGCATACAATATGTACATCATGACACAATGTGTACACTGTACAGGGCACACACATACATACTTATTGTAGTTCTGGCTGTAATATTATGACTTATCCATCTGAAGCGCTCGCGTGGTATTTACCGTTTCACGGTACATTGTACTCTGTAGTTCGTAACTTCGTATCATAAAAATCAGTTTAAGTAATTTTATCCATAGGTTGATGGGTTTCGGTCTATTGTTTATCTGCATTCCGACCATGCTCTCTGAACACCTTATAATGCAGGGAGTGAATATCACGTGTGTTGTGCGCTCGTCGAGTTGCGATTAGGCAACAAAGTAATAATTTTGCGCTAACTTTTGCCACTGGATGCGCTGTATCAGCCTGTGTTTTACTGATGGCTTATACGAGTAAGAAAACAACAAGGAGCATCAAACCTTGCAAAGCTTCGACGAAACTGATCTCGACGAAGAAAGCTGATGTCGCTACCGCCGGTGACCCCTACGATTCTTTGGACGATACCGTTGATTCGTCGACTACACCGACAAAGCCGGGAAGATTCTCCAGCTCGCCGCCTCCAGGTTTCGAGTGCGCTAAAGTGTCACGGATTCCGGAAGCATCGGCAACAAGCAATACTGACGTTCCCGAAATCACCAGAACACCACTTCCAAATGCGAAACAACAAGGAAATTCCGCGCTACCCAGTGTACACAGACGCTCTCCCCAGTTTTCTCAACCACAACTGGTCTGTCGACACGCCTCTCCAATACGTTCTAAAAAGGTCGCCCCCCTTCGACCGTACAGCTTATCTGATTACAAGCAGCTGAATTTGAATGTGAAGCTGGGCGGACTGGGCCCTAATACGGGGCCGGAACAAGAACGAATTCGAAGCGTCCAGAAACGATTACGCGATTTGGCTAAGCAGTGGCATACGAAGAACAAGGAGAAAGAAAGTGTGGCATTAGCGGCAAGAGAAGCTCGAGCTACTAGCAACCCGAGCGAAGTCACGACGCCGTCGGCGCGAGATAGTACCATCGACCGCGCTGCTGTGTCCAGTCACGGACATCTAAAACGAGAACGACTTGTGAATCCGATGCGCTACTTGAGGAAACAAAGTCCGCCATGTCGACCTATTGTCCTTCCCGTATTACGACTGAATCGTTTCATGAAAGAAAGTATTCCCGTGGAAACATCATCTAGATCGGCATCGACGACTCAGTCAGAAAAAAAGATACGTACGGAATTGAAAGTCCTCAGAAAATCAAAAGAAATGGACAAGTTAGCGGAAAACCAACTGGCCGTCTTGGGGAAGCTTTTGGATGATCAGGCTAATTTAGGTTGAGTTTCCTGTTTTCCATGAACTGCAAACTAAGAAACCTGGATGGCGACATTAGTTAAGACCAATAAATCGCTAAATATACCTCGTATTAGCGTTCTTTTTTTCACAGTCGCTTCATTGATACAATTTCGCTCCCTCGTTCTGATACTCATGCACCTTTATAATTTTCCTCTTGCATATGTGCCTCTTATTAAAAAATGAACATTAGTCCGTCCCTGACCTATGTGCGTTTCAACTGCGCTAGCTTGTTAGTGTTGAGAAAAAAATTTCCCAGGACTTTTGACAAGGCTGGACGTTGTACCTACTCGCTAGGACCACGTGTCGCAAGTTGTGACTAGGTGATCATGACATCAGCAATCAGCATGTTGTCACTTGTCACTGTAGACCGGACGAGTGCAATGCAGCCAAGCGATTATCATTATCACTCTCAAAGACGACTCGATAGAATACATCATGCTAATATGGAGAAAATAGTCTACGGCGTTTTCGAAAATTATTTCAGTCATTTTCAACCCGTTATCAAGTCTGATAGTCAGTACTCAGGATCGTACATCGTCTATATTAATTTTACATATAATATTTAAAGTAGATACTAAACCGATAAGACCGTCTCATTGATGACAGTACCGCGCTGTGTCTCGGCATTCGGCGGCAGTTTTATCAACCACATGCGAGTTATTCATTACTTTCATCAGCTAGCACGTGAGCGCTATTATTGACTGCATTGCTACACTTCATTATAAATTTTCTAAGTACCGGTAAGTAGCGATTTATATTACGAGCAATACGTTTTCCAAGCAGCCAAGAAGTTTTAAAGACCGGTATCGTGCGAAAATTTTATTCGACCGGGTTTTACTTGCGTTGAAAAGCAGTTCACGAAGACATAATGAACCAGTTCCTGCAACCTGTGCTGGTTGTCCGGGATCGTACGAGCCGCGACACCAGACGTCGTTTCCAGCTGCAATGGACAATTGAAGATTTCTCGTCATACCGTAAGATTACGGCGTATCAGTACAGTGCCGGTGTGACAATGGCTGAACTGGGAATGGAGGCGTATGCCGGACGATGGCGTGTCTGTGTTGTGCCGCTTCATAAACCCGTGACCCCGAAAACCGAACCACCGGTAATGGATACCAAAGGATCCGCACAGCCAGCTTCAAGCGTCCTGGCTCCTCCAACTTATTACGTAAGTTTCTAGAACGTTTCTTTAACGATCACGGATGCCGGTCCTTATTTTCACAAATTATTTACTGCTCACGGTTTTTAAAAAAAACTTAAAAAACTACGTAATCAAAAATAAGTAGTTTCCAGACCTATTAGGTATATAGATGAGCTTAATAATCACGCAAAAAAAAAACTGTGTGCAACAGATTTATATTTTGTCGTTACTGTAAAACATCTTTCGAAAGAAAGGCTTACATATCCGAGAATATGGAATATACAATTTGTACGTCGGTATCACCAACTTGGCTTATCATTCATTTTACGGTACGACGCACAAACTCAACGAAATAGCTACTTATTGGTATTGCTGAAACGAGGTTTGGTCACGATTTCTGCTTTGTAAATCGAATTGCTTTTATAAGTACACAGTACATAATTTTTCAGGTTTGGTGGTTTTTCTAGGAGGCAGTCCTTCAGCCGGAGGATCTGCAAGGAACTGATAACTCTAAAAGCCTGAACCCCCGAGAACAGCGCTTCCGCCAACGGAACCAGTGGAACCGGAATCCGAAACCCAGGAACAGAAATACGTTTCAGTTTATCTCTGCTTCAGCGACCCGAAAACAGCCTACAAGAAGTACAGCGGCGAACTCGGTTGTTTCGTACAATATAAAACAAGGTGCGCATAGAAGAAGTGCTTGACTTTGCGAACAATTATTTATTGCGGTAATTTATTCTGCAGTGTGTTTACTGGAAAATTAATGGAAACGCCCGTTGCGTCTTGTCCGGTGTCCAGGCCCGTAAAATTCACCAATACTACCACCCTCTGGGGCTCCACAAAGGTGGTGACCCATGACCGTCTTTTCGGTGTCGATAAAGTGCCGGGGATTATCAAAAACGACTGCATCACCGTCATCATCGATGTCACATTATTCGAAGAGCCGGAAACTGTGCGTGTATCGGAGACGACCAACAAACAGTCACCGGCGATTTACGAAGCGTTCCTCCAACGTCAATTACAGATGCTGTGCTCCGAACAACATCGGCAAGCGGCGGACTTCACCTTGTATTCCAATGACGGTAATGATTTTCATGTGAATCGCTTCTTCCTCATGGCGCATTCACCGTTCTTCGCGGCCTTACTGACGGGTGATTCACCGGAAAAGCGTCAGGCCAAATATGAGTTTCCGGATCTGGATGGGAATAGTGTGGAGATTATGTTGGGTTATTTGTACGGCAGTTATGTGGACAAGATTCATAGCGGCAATGCGGAGAAAGTGCTGGATATGGCGGACAAATATCAGGTTACCGGTCTGCGTGTAGTATGTGAAAAAGCCATGGCGGAGAATATTAATGCGGGGAATGTTGTCGAGTATCAAGTGCTGGCGCGACAGAAAAATCTAGATGTGCTGATGAATGCTGCCTTCCAGTTCATTGCGAATTACCAGTCTGTGCACTCGAAGGGCAGCAAATAAACAGCGCCGGTTTTCGATAGTGCAGTACGATGGCTTTGTTTTATAAATGTGTTTGCGTTCAAGCACTTGTCTTACTAATTACTGTTGGCAAATTAGCATGATTAAGAAGCTATGCAAATGACCAATAATTATTTAAAAAACAGTTTACGAGCAATGGTCATTCTATTCAGAATTGGCTTACGAGCAATTTAATCGGTGGCAAAGCGCTAGGTGTAAACCACCGCGTTCAGTTATTTAGGAATTAGGATCATTATTTGGGAGGCCTTTCAGTTGATTTGCGGATAATAAATTCGCCTCTACATTTCCGAATAAGCAGGAAGTCTTCACTGAGTCACGGACGAACGTACGAGTATTATATATTACAGCACATGATTATGTCGAATATTTTAGAGTACATTCTTATAATATGCCGCATATTGCGCGTATTAGTCAAGTATCAGTGTATCACCGATTCACCCTTGCACTTAAACTTTGAAGAGAGTATTGGATTTTGCCCTCTGTACAGATAGAGCTGTGTACAATAATACTTGGAACTTTTAAGTGCTATTGTTTTAAATAAATATTCACAAAATAACACCAAATCCTGGCAGAGACGACGGAGCAAAGCATTGAATAATACTGAATAAGCCGGATGTGTATCGATTGTCTCACACATAGGGTAGGCTATAAAGATAGAAGAGCCTAATATATCAGACCTACAGAGTACTCTAGGTTTTGTAGCAAACGAACATTTGACAGATCTCTCCATATTAAATTTTGGCACGACGTATTAAGCGGCTTTCGATCCTTCGTCTGATCACGTCTAGAATAACCAGGTTGACAATTCCGTTTAGTTTCTACCTTGGCACAGAGAGTATTACCCAGTGCTGCAATTAATCGAATTTTAGAAATGGCAGTTTCTCGTTCCGGCAACCGGATCGTCGTGAAGGACCGTGCCCACCGCGAAAGCGTCCAGCTCACCTTGGAATGCGCTTTTCACAATTTCACTTCGTATATGAAAACCTCCTTGTATATCTACAGCAGGGGCGCCACTCTAGCCGAGCTTGGATTTCCTAACATGGGCGGTCGCTGGCGCATCGCAATTCTCCCTTGCCGAAAAAACGCCACCGACAACGAAAATTATGTGTGCGTGTATCTGTATCTGTGTGAAGTTGATCTGTTATCCACGGAGCCTTACAGCGGAACAGGCACACTGAATGTTTCTGGCCACATAAGGTAAACTTTTTGCAGTTGCACTTCGTTCTCAAATCACTGCCAAGGTATTTTCGGAATTTTAAGGAAAGACCGTCGTAAGATATACTGCTATTCTACGTAAAGTCTCCTAAATAAAATAGTACGTCATATTACGCTAAAATTTTGTTGTAATTAGTGTGATACTGGCGATAATGTCACAGTGACTGGTTACACTTTGTTCTTTTAGTGCAGCGACGGGCAGTGCTAAGAATATTTCCGTTGGCGAATCACTGGATATTCCCGAAATCGAATTTTGCTACGATCGTACTAACTTCGGATCCGAGACGCTGATAAACCATCGCCAGCTGCTGGGCGCAAACGGCGAGGCTGGCCTGATACAAGATGACGTCGTCACCATAAGAATCGATGTCTCCATGTACAGGAGCAAACCATCCGAACCGGAAGTGGTGCGGGTGCCGGAAGTAGCGCCACCAGCAACCGTGTGCCCCCTCGAGTTCCACCGCCGTCAGATGCAGCAAATGCAGCAGAATAATTTCACCGATTTCCGTCTGCGTTCCAACGATGACCGTGAGTTCGCCGTACATCGCTTTCTTCTGGCGGCCCATTCGCCGGTCTTCTTGGCCATGTTGACGCATTACTCACAGGAGAAGGTCCAGTCATACTGTGATTTAGCGGATACGGACGGGGAAAGTGTGGAGATCCTGCTGGATTATTTGTACGGATGCACCAGCGACCGCATAACCGGCGCTAATGTGGAAAAGACACTGATTATGGCAGATAAATACCAAATTATGGATTTGCGCGCAGTCTGCGAAGGAAAGATGGCGGGCGATGTTGATGTTAACAATGCGATGCACCGTTTCCACTTGGCCAGTCAACGGGGACTCCAGGTGTTAAAAGCTGCTGCATTGGATGTCATCGCTCAGAATATGCGGGTGGTCGGCAAAGACAACGAACTGAAGGCAGTCATAAAATCCGATCCCGATCTGTTTGAGATTATCATGCATTACTGCGCCAAATAAAATCAACCGCTACCCAAACTGAGCACTATGCTTACTGTTTTGGATTTCTAACCTTTGGATTGTATAAATCGGCCTAGGAGTTGGATGTTTTCATGCTTTTAACCGTTCCGTTCATGCGTTCTGTTAATAAAAAACATACCGTACTCCTTCAAAAATTAATATCTATACTATATCGTAATGGTTCAGATTGTGCGGCACAGAGGCAGTATTAATTGTAAAGCAGTTCTTGAAGTACCGATAATTATTTGGCATTATACGTGATGTATCGAATGGTACAATGAATAGAAGCAGAACAGCACTACGTAAGAATATCTATACACCATGCACGTAAATAATAACTGCTACGAACACCACACCACGTAATGGTGTCGTATACGTCCACGTAATTATGTAGTATGCAAAAGTGTTTGCAAGTACGGTTGGGAAATACATCTGATTTTCGAGTCCAAAAGCTCAGCATTAATTAGCAGGATAAAATACATACGTATACTTGCGTACCAGTTTATTACAGTCTTCAATGATGCTTTAGTCATAATTTAATTATTAATTTAAAGAACAGACTACAAGTATAGAAGATGCTCCTTGTTATGTCATCCTTAATTTATGGGCTGTGTATGTGCGCTGCAGTGTTTTTCATGGAACTGTGAAACCGCTTTTGTGTGATGTACGTACTTGTACATTTAATTTTATATGTTGACGATGAGCAAACTGTATCATTCTGTACATGATGCATTGACATGCTTTGTACTTATAGTAATCTTTTACCAGTTTAACCATACAGTTCTGTGTATTGTACGCAACGCGAATACCAGCATTCGTTGCGCAAATTGAAATCCTGTTGGCATCACGTTCTGTGAAGTCAGAATAAGGACAACTGAATGTTGCGTTGTCTCCAGGATGTTCGTCTGATTTTACAGCTCACCCTAAGTCTGTTTCTTGAGAATTTAAAATCAGTACAAAGTCGGATTTTCGAACCTCCATTAGTGCGTAATGGTTATTGCGAACCAGTACGAGTTTTTTTATCAGTGCCTTTTGATTCCGTGATAATTTCGTGTTGGTCACTCGGCCAAAACTGTGAACGTCGCTTGCTCCTTCTGACTACTTTTGACTAATTAATTTTAAAACACACAAAAGGTACCACTAGATTCAAACAAGTCTGTTTGTTGCAATACTCCACTGCCTATAATTTTTCTGTCTTGGTATTTTTGAAGCAGTTGGCGTAGTCATGTCAGCAAAACGTCTTCGGACATCTGGGGAGTTCTCTGCAGTGAAGAGCCACCCCGAGAAGTCGACCATTGTCAAGGATCGGACGAGCCACAACAGTATCCCCTTCAGCCTGGAATGGACGATACAAGATTTTAATCTGTATAGAACTACCTGCACGCTTCTGCACAGTCCGGGCATCACAGCATCCGAACTCGGCATCAACAGTTTTGCCGGACGCTTTCGCATCGGCATTTGTCCATGCGTCACGGTGGAAACGGGGAGATATGTGAGCGCTTTCCTAACGCTCACGGATGCGGACGCGAAATCCAAGGCTTATACCGGAACAACCGAGGTTAATGTGACGTTCACGATAAGGTGCGGTGGTTAGAATCAGTCTGCTAAAACTTTCATCCATAGAATACCGTTGACTGCAAATCAGAATTTAAGTTTATGAGATTTTATTACTTTTTTTGAAAATACGAATTGTTTCCAACCTGTTCTTATTTATTAACTGTTTTACATATTGTAAAAAAAAATGCACTGCAAAAGACCATTATGAAATCAGAGCTCCTCCATCCATACAACGTAAACTGAAAGCATGGAAGTCGACACGCAGTTAAAAAAATTATCAAGAAAAGAAAATCCACAACTGGAAACAAGTCAAGTGCACACAAATCGCCACCACTCGTTTGAATAGAGAAGCGTTAGTTCATAATTTACCTTTTTCGTTACAGTGCAACAACTGGAAATGCTATGGATGTACACATCGGCGCGCCGCCGACTCCTCCAACTATATGCAGTTTCTATTCACCTGGCTCCTCGTATGGACATCACACGTTCGTCAGCCATGCTCAGCTGTTCGGTACAAGCACCGCCGTCGGCCTGCTTAAAGACGATGTCGTGACTTTCCGCATTGAAGTTACCATCTACGGTACCGACCCGACCGGAGCACCGGAAGCGAAAACCGTTCGGCTGTCGAAAGTCGAGTCACCTGTCAGTCTTTGCTACGGCGATTTCCGTCGCCGTCAAATGGACGAATACCGCGCAGCACCCAGTCTGTACACCGATTTTATATTGCGTACCAGTGATGGTCAGGAATTTCCTGTTAATCGTTTCCTGCTGGCGGCTCATTCGCCGGTCTTTTCGGCCATGCTCACGCATGATTCCCAGGAGAATCAACAGGCACATTGCGATCTGACGGATGTGGATGAAGAAAACGTGGGAATTCTGTTGGATTATTTGTACGGATGTGACACGGACCAACTAAACACGGATAATGTGGAGAAGGTGCTGTTTATGGCCGATAAATACCAGATTATGGACCTGCGTTCCGTGTGCGAGGGGATGATGGCGGAAAGTGTTACTGTCGATAACGTCGTTAACCGGTTCCTTATGGCCAGGCAGCGTGGTCTAGACGTTTTAAAGGATAGCGCATTGCGAATCATGGCACAGAATAAGCTGGTGGTCCTTAAGGATAAAGTACTGAAAGCAGCAATCCAGTCGGACCCCGACCTGCTGGAAATCATCATGGAATACTGTGCCAAATAAATTTATTTGCAGTTTCTCGTATTCGGCATCGTTTGGTTTCTGTTTCATTTTTTTCAGTACTGTATTTCAGTACTGTATTCAGTTAACCTTAGTACCATTTTGCTCAATGCCTATAAGTTCACGATTATTTAGCGTTTTTTTAATGACATGCGTTGTTGGCTGGTGTTCAAATAGATGAGGCTAATTTAGAAAGGCACTGGCAGTATCCTTGTGATGTAATCTAGTTCTATCATACTAAACTCTTGTATTCTAAAAATTTAACATCATTACTAATCATAAAACCCATAATTTATGGGATCTCAATTAGAAACTCGTAATATTTTGGGCCGCAAACATGTGAAAAGCAACGATTCAGGACAGGTGCGGATACGCCGATATTGATGTACTGGGCAGTCAAAAAAGGAATTCGCAGCTGTTCACTGCGTTGCGACCAAGATAACGACTCATTATTTGCTAAAAAGCAAATACTTTAATGCATAATATGGAGTCATATGCTGCAAATACTGGGAAAAGACAAATTTTGCCAAATGGCGTATATGGGAAGTTAAACGGCTTGAGAAAAGTTTCCGCTAATCTGGCCTTTCACTATACGGCATATTGAACTTTGCTCGGTAAAATTTTCAACCTGTTCCTATCGCTTCCATTGGGAAATCGTCTAGTTTTGGACCATTTTGACCCGTTTCACACAAATCAGTTCCATTTTATTCTGATACCGGTCGTCAGAAATCAACGTGCTGCTGTACCTTATGATTAACCAGCAAAAATTTGCACAGCTTACCCTAAAGGCCAACGACTCCTATCAGCTCAGGAATCAATCCACAAGCATTGGACAGCGGGAGCAATAAAAGCAGCCAGTAACGTGGTGACCTTGTCGACGTATTTCCATTTAATTGGCCATGACAAAGGCCAGGAAGAACTGTATGCCTCCGGTCTTACTACTTACACTAAGCCACTCGGGAATTTAATCGCCCAAAAAGAAGCCAACAAGACATGGTCCGTAAGTTAATGAAGCGTAAGTTAATGAAAATATATATCCACTTACAGTAAAGTTATTCGTCAAAACCTTGCCCTGACCAATCGACTAACTAAAAAAATTAAAATTTTGATATAAAAATTTTAAAATGAAAGAATATATACTGTCATACGGCTAATGTGCTGGTTAGCAGTTGTAATACTCAATAAAATAAAAGCAGCCAGTAACGTGGTGACCTTGTCGACGTATTTCCATTTAATTGGCCATGACAAAGGCCAGGAAGAACTGTATGCCTCCGGTCTTACTACTAACACTAAGCCACTCGGGAATTTAATCGCCCAGAAAGAAGCCAACAAGACATGGTCCGTAAGTTAACGAAGCGTAAGTTAATGAAAATATATATCCACTTACAGTAAAGTTATTCGTCAAAACCTTGCCCTGACCAATCGACTAACTAAAAAAAGTAAAATTTTGATATAAAAATTTTAAAATGAAAGAATATATACTGTCATACGGCTAATGTGCTGGTTAGCAGTTGTAATACTCAGTTCCGGTTTATCAAAACCTTTAATTTTTGAAAAATTCATCACCGATGTCGACGTTCAAAATTCTCCTTTTTGAGTTTATGATTTCTTTAGGTGTTCAAGTACTCGTACTGCTAGTCAGTCTGCAGCTGGTACAAAGATACGGACGGTATAACACACCGGCAAAAATGGTCACAACGCTGATGCCGCTTCCGGCAAACACTGCAGAAAACTTTTGCCACTATACTAATGAGTCTATATAGGATTTCGAACGTCCGATAGCTCGTCGCAATTTTTCTTTTCTTATTTCTCACCGTAGGTTGTCTTATGTGACCTGTGTAGCAACGTAAATTGATGTACAGACATACATAAATGAACCTGGGGTGCCCGCAGAATTTCTGCATGGCATGGCGTAAAGCGCACGTTCTGAACATATTGCATGTCCAGTCGCATTCCCTCGCGGTATTATGAGTGCTGTAGAACTGTAGAAGTAGTGGTAATAGCAAAAGCACTGCTCGGTAGGGTTTCAACGAATGCGCCTTACACACAGAGCGCACGCAATGGTTCAATAAGCAGGGCGCTATCCACTGGAAACCGAGAAACGGCTGAAAAAGGCGCCGATGGGGGAATCGAACCACGGCTACGTCGTTAGATCCGCATAGGCAGTACCACGGCACGTTGAAATCATTTGAAAGAATTTGTCGCTGTACGTGTGCCGCTTCTCTCCTCACACCCCCTTTGCAGCTTTCGCTACGTCCTCGTAGCAAGACTAAGCGATCCTTTAAGCGGCGGTTCCGGCTCACCGCATCCTCCATTCTTTTTATCGTTTTATTCGTTTTTGCTCTGTTCCTCCCGTTCGAGGTTAGCACACCAGTCTCATAGGCGAAGTGGACGTACCGAACCACGATCTGCTACCATCTAAGCAGGGCGCAATCCGAGGGAAACCGAGAAACGGCTGAAAAAGGCACCGATGGGGGAATCGAACCCCGGCTACGTCGTTAGATTAGATCCGCGTAGGCAGCACCAATGCACCACGGCGCAATACGTTGAAATCATTTGAAAGATTTTGTCGCTGTACGTGAGCCGCTTCTCCGCTCACAGTTCTTTACGCCGAACTTTGCAGGAATTATTCAGGTTTGTTTTCCCCTACCAAAAGCCGCTTCGCCACCACAGACAGTCTGATGCTGCAAGGACGACGGTGTCCCAAAACCTTTTTCCAATTTTTTTTCAGAAAAATAGTCGTAACTGTCAACAAGAAATTTTCGGTTCAAACCAGCGGTCAGGAGCCCTTAGCCGCCTTGAAGGCCTATTAATCTGCCGTTTTTTCCCAGATGTGTGTGACTGTGAGCTATAGCATTTTATTTCTTTTAGCTACTTTGCTATTATTTCTTTCCTACTTTTTATTTCTTTATTTTATTGCTATTATTTCTTTGTAATATTCTGTACATTCCTGTGCAGAAAAGAAAAGGATGGTTTTAGCAGTAAATGGCACAATCAGAAAGCTCATTACGTTAATCAACCTCCGGGATATCCGAAGTTTTATTCGCCCTCTCCGGTGACACTAGCGTATTCTCTGTATTCTTTAAAAAAAAAGGCAGTGCAAAACTTGAAATTCATGCTACCCGTCATCGGCATACCATACCACATCATCAAAGCTCAGCTTTGATTAAGCTTAGGCATCGTGTTGGTCTGCATTTATTTAGCGGTTCAGTTATTATAATCGGCAACGAAGACCAGGCATAAATGAAACGTGTCTGAGAGAACTGCAAGTGTGATAGAATTCGTTCCGTAATTGTGTGGATTTATTTGTTTTAGGCAGCTCGATAACCCGCAGTTTTGTGCAATGGATAAGAAGCCGATCGTTGTGAAAGACTGCTCAAGTCACGACGCTGTGCACTTCGTGTTGCATTGGACAATTCGGGATTTTACACTGTACAAAGGTACCCAGAAGTGGATTAACAGTCCAGGCATCACGTTACTGGAACTGGGTGTCAAGAGCTTTACAGGGCGCTTTCGGATCTCTGTCAATCCCTGCGTTAAAGCCGACAACAATAGTCAGTATGTGGGAGTTTATCTGAAACTGACGGACGCTGAAGAGAATTCCACCGCTTACAACGGCCCAGCCAAGGTGTATGTGGCTTCCAGAATAAGGTGCGATTTGACTAGACTACTTAACATTGTGCTTCGGAGTGCTTGGCCGCCTTGGCGTGTCGTGCCAACGGCCATGTTCATGCGCTTGAAGTGCAGCCATGTTGGCTCGAGATTAAGCAAAGGCCTTCTTGATCATGAGCGGATGCACTGCGCTTTGTGTATAATGAGTTTCAAAATAAATTGCAGCACCGTTACATCATTCTGATAGCAAACTACTGATTGCAGATCTAGAAAACTCAGATTAGTAAAGATTCTTCTTGTTGCGTTCTGAAAAATGTTTTAAGGGAAGTGAGCTGGTGCATGGCGCCAGTTATAGGTGTAAAGTGTACTTGTACGAAAACTTTCGCGCACGTGTGAGCACTTTTTTGGAATCTTATATAACGTTTTATAGCCTGGTGACAAGTATAATACATACATGGGCGTAAGTATAATACAAGTATAATACATACATGCACATATATGGGCGTAAAAACCGTTTTTGCGCGCCACGTCTAAATTTTAAAATAATTTTTAAAATTTTTAAATTCATTTTAAGATATCAAAAACATGGAAATTTGGTTCGGGGTACAAACGATCTTCATTCAAATATTACATGTTGTGCACAATTTGAAAAGATTGCGTAGTAATGAGACCTGATACAACTCAATTCGGCTGAACTATTAGAATTTAGAATTTTATTGCACCCACTCCCCAACCGGATGTTGTCGTACAAACGATTTTCACGCCACTATATGTTATGGAATATTCTCTTGTTTTAGTGGAACCACTGGCAATGCCATGGATGTAGAGATTAACCAACCAGTAAAAACACCACTACGCTACTTGTATTCACCCGGAAGCAGCTCGGGATGGGAGACGTTTGTTAGTTACGCTCAGCTGTTTGGCACTGCCACTGAGCCTGGTCTGCTTAAAGACGACGTGGTTGCCTTCAAAATTGAAGCGACCATGTACGGCAGCGGCACCGCCGAGGTACCGGAAGTGAAAAACGTTCGCCTGTCCAAAATCGAACCTCCAGCCACGCTCTGCTATCAAGACTTCCGTCGTCGCCAGATGGAGATGTATCGTGCGGAAATACAACTGTTCTGCGACTTTCTGTTGCGATCCAGTGACGGTCGGGAATTTCGCGTTCATCGTTTTCTGTTAGCGGCGCATTCGCCGGTCTTTTTGGCCATGTTGACGCATGATTCCCAGGAGAAACAGCAGTCGCACTGCGAAGTGACGGATTTGGATGGAGAGTGTGTGGAGATCCTGGTGGATTATCTGTATGGATGTGAGACGAATAAACTGAATGCGGATAATGTGGAGAAGGCGTTGATCATGGCCGATAAGTACCAGATTATGGATCTGCGCTCCGTTTGCGAGGGAATGATCGCGGAGAGTGTTACCGTGGAAAACGCTGTGGACCGCCTCATCATGGCCCGACAGCGTGGGCTGGATGTTTTAAAGGACACGGCGTTGCGGATTATGGCGCAGAATAAGCTAGTGGTTCTGAAGGATAAAGTTCTGAAAGCTGCTATCCAGTCGGATCCGGACCTGCTGGAAATCATCATGGAATACTGTGCCACATAAATCACCTCATGCGCCAAACGTGGTAAGTTTTTTTTCTAATTTAACCTATTTTAATGTTATTTCTGCTTTGCATTTGGATACACGTTGCGTTTACAGTAATTTTTATATTCAGGTTGCCATCCAAGCGCCAGGCGGAAATCATGGAGGTAATAATATTCCACCGTTCATTTTCTTCAGAGTTGTGTAAATTAAAAATCTAACTTTACGAGCAGGATTGCAAATGTTTAGTACACGTATAACAGTCGTATTCATTTGACTGCGAGGGCTGCCGCTTCTGTGAACTTACGCTTATATGTGTAAAAATTATAAATTAACGGATGAATGTCCATTGTACATTACTTTCTCATTGCTTGCTTTACTCTTATGGTTATTAAAGGGTAATAATTAGTTTAAGGTTAGTTAACGATATTACTGACCACAAAAGACCAAGCCCACAAGTTGAAGAGCTATTACACCAGAAAATAAGCTTAAAACTTTAAACGCTGCAATAATGAAAATTGGTTGAGAAACTTCGCCAGTCGTGAATACGCGTAACCGGTTATACCACACACAATGCATCCAACATAATCAATGCACACAACTTCAAGAAAATACCATAACTGTCAGAAAACATTTTCTTCCACCAAGTGCGTACTGGAATAATTTTTCAATTTGTACATTTTGTTTATTTTAAAAACAAGCAACGTAAATTTTATTGTGGCCCCCGAAACGCAACCAAGAAGGCCATTGTGACCTTTTCTGCTCATTCGGACCATTTTTGCCACCTGATACGGAGATACTAATCCCTTTGCTTCTAGTACATTGGGGAGAGCTTGCACTCGTGCGGTCCGTATTAAGAACATACAAGGCCGCCTTCCTCAGTGCGTCTAGTTCGCGCCGTTCCGCTAGGGTGAGATAACTCACCGCCTTCTCCGGAGTGATGTTGTTAACCAGCACTGATTCGCAAAAAGAACGGAGATCCGTAATATCGTACTTATCCGCCATGATCACAGCCTTGTCCGGATTATCGCGATTAACCTTTCCCATTTCACACGCGTAGACATAATCGGGCAATATGGTGACACTTTCCCCATCAACGTCATCCAGTTCGCAAAGTGCGTGTTGCGTTTCCTTGAAATCGTTTTTAGGCATGGCAGCAAAGACCGGTGAATGCGCAATGAGCAGGCAGCGATGAACAGGGAAGTCGTGGCCGTCGCTGGAACGGAGAACAAAATCTGCAAAATGCGTATTACCATCTCCAGGAAGCACGCCGGCAAGCCGCTGACGAAACTGCTCACGATAAGCTTCTTGGTATGGTGGCACGGTGCATATGCGAAAGGTTTCCGATTTTCGCTCGACGAGGACTTTCATGATGATAGTTATGGAGTCGTCGCGCATTCTCTTGAACAAGTCCGAGTGCCTAATGATGTTATTAGTTCCCCATCCGGTAATGTAAGTGCAGATGGTTTGCGTTAATTTGAAGCTTTTGGGGACAATTTTTGTCATGGTTCGTCAGGTACGTAAGCTAAACACTGTAATGCGGAAGAAGCGAACAGCAAATTTAGTAACAGGCAACTGAATTTGAATTAGTTTTAAGGAACATAATCCCCAACAGTTCCTGCAGTTTGGAGCAGAAGCTGCCGGAATCTTAACCTTGTATGTAAATATAAACTGGATTTTTATTTTAGCGCCTAGAACACCTTATTCCAAATCCTGTAAGGAAGCGCTCTGATCCTGTGTACGACCTCTAATCCTGGTTGACATCCGTAAAATATAAACACCTCTAGACTGTGCTTCTCTGCACTTGAATCTACGGGGTCCGCGCGGCATGGTTTAACTCCCATGCGCCAACGCCCTTTGCAGTTCTTGACTCCCGTTTCTTCCATGGTAATACCGTCATTGAATATCATAGTCCTATCATAACGGTGTAGTTGAAAGCCATCAATTGTCCATCGTAATGTAAACTTGAGCTGATCACGGTTGGTATGCTCGCGCACAATGATTTGGGATTGTGGGCGCATCGTCAGCGTAGCAGGTGTCACAGCGTACAAAGATAATACACACATCAGGAAATTGTACGAATACACTTAAATTCCACCCAGCTCCTCTTTATCAAAAATGGAGCATTTAAAATGCATTTAGCATATACACCGTTCTCCTGCGGTGGTAGATAATTGGTATAAATGTAATCTATTAATACGTAGAACTGGGTTTTATCAGAAAACCCTATCTACAGTCTAAACATACTTTTTTAACGCATCACATGACTGGGCGGATAAAAATGTAGGTAAGAGAAAAAACAGTTCTCGAACCTTCTGTGCAAAGAAAGCAGCATTTCCGCAGGCTGCTGCTGATGCAAACATTCGCGTTCTTGCATATGCGCGGGAGTAAACCTGCTACCTAGATTGTGGCACATCAAAGTGCGTAAGTTAAATTCCGGAATTAACTCACCTAAGGCGGCTGGATTTGCGTGTTGTTTGCTTTTTTATCTAGGTACAGTGAAATTTTGATTTCATTGCAAATTGCTGCAGTATACGTAATCTACACGAGCTACTTCATAGGTTCTTATAATCTACGTATGGAAACGTGTTAATGATGGGCGTCAACGTCACAGAAATTACATTAGATGACGACCGGAAACTATTACTTTACAATGGCATATTTAATAATGTAGCCGGTTACAGTTGAAAGAACTGTTAGCAAACTTCAACACCACAAACCACATGTAGAAAAAAAAAACTTTGGTACAGTCTCCAGTTTTACCACTTGAATGCAGTATTCCACAATATTATGGTAAGTAACAGTGGAAAAATTCTCGCAGATCTTCGCAGCAAAACATAAGTACTCGTCTGGTGCTAGAAGAAATAAAATTGGTTGAACGTTCCGCCAACTGGCAGTGGACGATAATCAATGCAGTGAGATTGGGTCAACAACATAATTATAAGCATTACTGTAAATGGAGTTTCCTTTAATAAGTTAATAAGGTGTGTGTCGATGCAAAATACAGATCAAAAAGATCTCTACCGCGATCCCCGGATACGCAGTCGCGGAAACCATCGTGACCTTTTTTTCTCTTTTGCAACATTTTCTTGAGAGGAAGTTGAAATATTGTCGACTGGTGCACTGGCCGCATTTTGCGCCAGTGGGCGGTCTGTATCGAGAAGATATAACGCTTCCTCCTTCAGCGTGCCCAGATCCCGTTGTTCTGCGAGAGCAAGGTATGTATCTGGCTGCATTATCCACAGTGAGCATGCTGGCTAGCATCAGTTCGCAGAAACAGCGCAAATCAGCAACAGCATATTTGTCCGCCAGAATTAAAATCTTTTCCACATTATCGCCGTTGATTTTTTCCATGCCACAGGCGTAGATGTAGTCACACAGAATGCCCACACTTTCCGCATCCATGTCATCCAGTTCGCACCGCGAATTCTCCTTTTCTTTGGTATCGTGCGCTGACATAGCGGCGAAAACCGGTGAATGCCCCATTAGCAAACAGCGATGAACAGGAAATTCGTGGCCATCATTCGAGCGGAGGAGAAAATCCGCGGAATGCCGGTCATCTTTAACTGGAAGCATCTCGGCAAGGCGCCGGCAAAACTGCTGACGATAGTATTCTTTATCCAGGTGCCTGCTGCATATGCGAAATGTATCGGATTTTATTTCCAGAAGCACATCCGCCATGACAGTGATCGAATTGTCCTGTAGTTTTTCATACAGTTCCCTGTGGCTGATCATTTGATAGGTGCCCCACGATGAAGTCGAACTACCAAACTCATAGGTCAGGATATCGTAAAGCGGAACAAGTGTTACCAACGACCGTCCCGTATATAAGCTAAAAAACACCAGAAAGCGAATGTTTACAAATACTTATTATAAACATTAAAACTTAAAACTTATTATAGCTTATTATCAAAACTTATTATAAACACATTATAAACATTTACAATACGCATTAAAATTTTTTATTTATCTCTTATTATTACCGTATTAATACTAATTAGTAATTATAATTGTTTATTTATGTCTATTATTAGCGCATTATAGAGCCGAGTCAAGATGGCAACGAAACAGCTAAATCACCAATATCGTTATAGAATAAATTTGAATGACGTTTCGTGTTCCAGAATTCCCGTGCACCAAATTCCGATTTGAAAATGAAAATAGTGAAGAATAAACTGTAATTTTAAGACACAAAGAGATCCTGCTTTTGAACGCATAGCATACCTTAGTTGGCATCCTACCAAGAATCTGCGTTCGCCTGTGTAGGATCTCGACGCGAGATCCGTATCAGTCAGGTACAAATACACCCCAAGTTTATGCTTTTCTGTATCCGGATCATCCTGATCACCAATGCATGGCATAATCCCCAGGCGCCAGCGTGCATTGCAGTCGTTGATTCCCAGTTCTTCCATGGTGATGCCGGCATTGTACATGGTTACTCGATCGTAACGATGTATGGAAAACCCAGCGATTGTCCATCGTAGCGTAAACTGGATATGCTGTAGATCAGTGTACTCACGTACAATAAATTTTGAATGCGAGAACATTGCCGGTGAAGACGGAGTTAAAGAGTTGCGATACAAAATCTGGATATGACTATATGAGCACCATTGGAGTGTATATTTAACTCATTAAAATTTCTGTTTCGCCAGTCACATAATAAAAGGTAACAGTAGAAACTGATTTATAACTGATCAGCAGCCGGTGTATCATGTTAATGGGGCATTTTAATTTAAAAGTACGGTATGTTAGGTGTAAGTTTCTTAGATTGACCTTGAATCCTTGATCCTGTTGCGTCTTTGCCACAGCAAAAAAACGGATACCAGCCAAATGAGACATCCTGTACGAGAAGCAGTAGGTCATTCAGGATTGCGAAATGCGACTGAAGCTATTAACATTTACATCATAATTAGATCAGCTTTTGGATCACGGAAGCCCTTCAGACACTCCAGTTTTACTGAACATTGGTGACTGGATTTATTTCGTTTCTGCTTTGATTTAATTGAGCCCTGCCTTATTTTAATTGGGTAGGTATTGTGTGTGAAAATAAAAACTGCAGTATGGGCGCGTGGTAGAGGTGGCTGGCGACCGCCCCTTCGTCGACTTTTTCTGCGCCAACCGGTGCCCTGAAATCATCTTCTTCAACCGGTGCATCTCCACGTTTGTACCACGGTTTATATGCATACTCTGATCTGAAAGTGTTTCGCACAATCCTGCTGCTACTTCCAGTAAACAATGCACAAAAATGCCATTAATTTTATGTTGTCTCCGCAATTAGTTCTTGGCCATATAACTTACCATTAGATGTCTACACTGTCTACACAATATTATTATGTAATGTTTGTGAAATTCCCAGGATTACGGTGCGAGAAATAAATCGCCATTTTTTTTCCACTTTTGTTCGAGAACGTGAAAAGCGAGAAGGGGGGAATGTTACTTGAGGTAGCGCTGAGGATTATGAAAAGAGTTGCAGAGTTTGCGAAACAGAGTTCACCTAAATTAAACAGTCAGAGGTTTTCTCAACTACCAATGGAAATGAAAAAGGGTGTTGAAATCAGTTCGCATCCGCTTTTTTTGTAGCTACCTTAATGTTCGACATACTCAGACGGAACAGGATCACGATCAAATAAAACCCTGGTACCTGTACACCTGCCATGAATAATCAAAAGACCGCAATAAATTTATGCGCCACACAACCAATACAATCGATACCAGCGACCTCTAGTGTTGGTTATTTCTTTGAAGTTTCCTAGTGCACAAGAAAAAATAAAAATTTCACAAAAGGGCGTAATTGTTTCCATATTCTGTATCAAACTTTTGGGCTTTGCTACGATGCCCCGCAATAAAAAATCGTTGTACGTCAGTATACGCGTACTGATCCGCAGCGGATCCAGTTTACTCTACGATGGACCATCGCTGGTTTTCTTTCTACCGCTATGATGAGGGGAATCAACGATTGCAAAGGACGATGGCGTTTAGGAGTTCAGCCGTATTATGTGGATCCTGATGGCCCAAATCCAGCGGAGGCCCCCCTGGCGGCGTACTGATGCGGACCTAGCGTCCAGATCATACACAGGCGATCGCAGTTTTGTTGTCGGAAGCCGCATAAGGTTCGTAAGTGTTGCTTAAAATTGTTAAACAAGGTCCGTAAGAATCCGTAAGAACGTTTCCCGTAAGAATACAAAGTGCCAGTGGTTACTCATAATGCTGAATTCGATATACTCATACAGAAATTTCTGAACTACAAAAGTATGCATCTCGTTGTTGAACCATTGTGGAATGGCACTTTATAAGCTATTTCTGGTGTTCGCTAAATTCCGTGTCAATCACCTCAGTACTAATAACGTTACCTTTCTGTTATACTTTAGTGTATATACGAGACGATCAGTGGCGCCCTTGGTTGCCCACGATCTAAGGACGGGTGAGTTCAAGTGTTCAACAGCTCGGGTGATTCATGGGGCGACGATGAGATTTGCAGCCACGAAGAACTGTTCGAGAATCTCCAAAACGATTCCTTTACTCTGCTATGAATGTGACCGTGGAGACAAAATCCGACACTTTCCGCATATGCAGCAGGCACCCGGATAAAGAAGACTATCATCAGCAGTTTTATCACCGCCTTGCGACATGCTTCCGTGTGAGTTCCGTCTATAAACGACCAGCATGCCGCGGATTTGGTTTTCCGTCCTAGTGATGGTCAGGGCTTTTCCGTGCACCGTTGTCTGCTCATTCACCGGTTGTTGCTGCTTGCTAACGCACAATACCAAAGAAAAGAAAACTGCATTGTGCGAACTGGATGACATTGCTGCGGAAAGTGCCACCTCCCTGTATGACTACATCTACGATTGTGGCTTGGAAAAGATCAATGGAGATAATGTGGAGACAATTTTAAGTATGGCAGATAAATAGGCTGTTGCCGATTTGCGCTCTTTCTGCAAGCGAATTATGGTCGGCAAATTGCCGACCTTAATATTGCCGACGGCAATATTATTGTGAAGAATGTAGCCAGGTATCTCGTCCTCGTGGAACAACATGGAGTGGACACACTGAAGGATGAAGTATCGTATTTTCTCAATACTGACCGTACAGTCGTAAACAGTACAGCCGGCCCGGGCCAGTCATTACACAGCATCGGTAAAAAATTGGTTCGTAAAAAACTAACGAAAAAGCAAGAAATTTGCACTTGCTTTCTTGTCTGTGATTCTGGTATTCTTTATAGAAGTGCTATTGGTTTATATTTGATAGTAGGAACATGTGTAATTAAATTATGTGCAACTGTTTGAAGGAATGCCGGCGCTACATTCAAAGTTGTCCATATTATAATATTAATCGACTGACTGCTACTATTTAATAATCTTATCATTTCCGGCTGCGGAAATTGTCCTTAATTACAGTTGTTAACAAATATTTTTGCAAAACATCAAGTAAGAAGTATCGTTTAAAAATGTCTTATGTGTATCCATGCGAGTGTCTTTTTTCATTTTCGCAGATTCGCAATTGCTATTACGGCTTTTTTTACTACCTTTCTGGAATTCGCCATAGAGATGGTAATGTTTTGTGTTTAACATTAAGAGCATGTGTTCCGGGTATGTCAGATTTTTGAAGGGAAATTAGCGCTTCACACAAAGGTTATTGATTGTGGTACTTAATTAACTCATATGAGCCGAAAAACTATTTTGGCTAGCGGACGAAACGCTTAAATCTTATGCTAGGTCCATACTTCAGTTGTAATTCGGAATACAGTAGAAATCTTACAACAATCGTAGAAAAAGTATGCACGATAGTCGAGTTTGTTGTAGCATTTTTTGTTGTAATTCTCAAAAGTATGGACGCTACAAGTTGTAATAAAAATGTTGTACAACAAAAAATTTGTTGAAAATCGATGTTACAGGAGGGAGGGGCTTCTCTTCCTTTCTGCAACGTTGTAGAAAACTGGCCAATGGCTAGTTTTCTCAGAATCACCATATGCATACTGTGCGTGCAACGCTTGCAATGATACTTATTTAAAATAATAATACTCATTACTTGATATCATTATGATGTTATGAACTGATTATCATAATCTGAGAATAAGCACCTAAAACAATTTTATGCGCGACATTACCCAGGCGGGATCGCGACGGTACGCTCCTGCCGGGATGTTCCCGCCGGGTTCGTGATGCCGAGCAGGAAAACGGTAAATTTACTAAAGGGCGTTGGGCCGTAAAAGGCTTCCAATTAAAAGCCGTTAATAGTCTGCAGGTTATGCGGCATTTTTTATTACAGACCTCTGCGCTCTTTAGTAACATCAAAACTATGTTTCTCACACTGTATTTTTATAACTATGGCGATACATTTTCAGAAACTCGATTTACTGTAGAAACTACAGTGAAACCTCATCGTACGTACACACCGAAGAAACGTACACCCCTCTATTACGTACGAAAAATTCTGTACCGAATTACGTCGTAGACTAAAGTACAGGGGGGAACCTCTACGTAATGTACACCTCAGCGTTGCGTACACGTACACTTAATCTCTGTACCGCATAAGCATTTCACTGTACGCAATCACCTCGTGAACTCGTACACCGTTGTTTCGGAACTGAAGATTTTATACTTTTTGATGGTAAATTTGTGAAAATCCACAGAAGGAAAGAAAACTATACACGAAATTGCTAGATTTTTGTATCCTGAGTAAGGATTTAAGGGGTATTACTAAAGTCTGTGACTGTGACTGGGTGGGACTGGGTGGGACTGTGAGTCTATGTGACTGGGACCTTATGTGACTGTGACCGTCTGTGACTGTGCCACACTGGGCCTGGGAATGATTGGGACTGTGACCTTTTGGGAGTGGGGCTTGAGGTTGTAGCAATCCGCTAACCAACTGACAGGGCACTTCCGGTCAAATTTTTTAACTGGCTTTTTGTGTTAAAAGGCAGTACTTGCAAGCTTCTTCTGTAAGGCAGTACTTCGTAAGGCACACTTTTATCTTGCTAGGCAACGACTCAGACATATATCTCAACTACTCTCTAGCGCTGGCTGCCCATGGATCTTTTTTGTGTTCTCAAACCGCCTGCCGCCAGAAGGTTGGTCACGCTCCAGTCAGCGAAAAACCAAATTCTTTTGTTGGACTTATTTTTTTCAACACGCGCTTTTTTAACACACCGCTTTTTGGTTGAAACACTAGTTTCAATATATTTCACTGAATCGCCAAATTTTACTGAATCGCCAAGTCAAGATAGTATTTTTTTGGTAAAAAAAGATTTTTGTGGTACCCAATTATGTCTGTGGAACCGGAAGCATCGCAGACCCAGAACCCTTTGAACAAACGTAAACGGCATTTGTGGACCCATGAAGAAGAATGTGGAGTCTTGCGTTCCTATCGTTTTCACGAAGGGTACTCGGTTCCAGCGAACAAACGTGGGCAAATGTGGGAAGACATCTTCGAAGAATCCAAAAAAGATGGCGTGGACCTGAATTCCCCACGGGCTGTACGTGATCATGTTACCATAATGATCACCAAGTTCAAGAAGGACAATCCGAACTGGGAAAAGTTAACGGGTGATCCAGAGGATGGAAACTTTACAGAAAAAGAAGTTCTCCTTCTGGAAATCTGTCAACTGGAAAAGGAACATGCGCGCGCACAAGATAAAGAGAAATCCGAAGCAGATCAGCGAAGAGATCGCCACGAACAGAAGCTGATGTGTGCTGCCAAGAACAGCCGTAAAAAAAGAAAACTACGTAAGTTCCATTGCTAAATAAACCAGAAAAATATAGGGAAAAAATGACGTAGATAAACTTCAAGAATAATGTGTAATTGCAGAAGAACAAGAGAAAGACGAGGAGCCCAACACCGATGACGAATACAATGCGGGAACGAGCCTACAAAAACCAACGGGATCAGCGTTGAAGCCTACAAAGGGTAGGAAAAACTGGCAGTCAGCAATAGCGGGCTATTTTTCGGACAAGCGCGAAGAGAAGCTAGCTGATCGCAAATTGGAGGAGAGCAAACTGGAAATCGAACGCGAAAAGCTTCGCCTGGAAGAGAAAAGACTCGAACTGGAGACGCGAAAACTGGATCAGGCAGCACGAGACCGAGAAGCGCTGTACGAAAACAACCGCATGCTTGGGCAAATGGTCACGCGTTTCACGGAGAAAAATACTGGGTAAAAGCACAGCTACAATTTTGGGCACTGTGAATAATTTTGATGGAGGTATAATGAATATCGATGTACGTTTTGTATTGGGTTCTATCCAGAAAACTTTCTGACTTCCGGTTTGGTGTTGTGGTAATTCTGATGGATCTGTTTTTGATATTCCCAGTTACTTTAATTTTTGTCAGAACGCACTGTTTAACTGCACTTTAATAGCAATTCTCAATATGGATACAGAAATTTCATGACAGCAGCACAGATCTTTTTTGCTTTCAATTATCATTAAATTTTGCATTCCTTAAATATTCCTTTAAAGATGGAGGATCTACTCCGAAGTACGATCCCGTCTGACTACCATAAAGTGTGGTATGACAATTTGTTAGCAGAGCAGCAACCAAAAAGAATTTACCTACTGGCTGCATTAACACTTTCAAGTTTTTTGAAAAATCAACGAATGCAAAATATTGAACAATTTTATCAAATCCCCATTCCACGCATATTCTGCACCTGCTCATGTCTTCATTAAACTGTTGCTGATCATCGGGCAATGGAGCCATGCGCCTTCGAAATGGAGCTTCGATGTACTGATTTGACGGGTATGCCGGATCTCCGTACAAAATGAATTTCTTCCCAATTTCTGCCATTTTATCTCGTAATTTATCCATCAGTTTGCTGTCAGCAAGAATCCCGGCATCGTGCCTCCTCCCCGGCCAGGGGCCATCCAAGTTTACGATCATTCCATTGGGGCCACAACAGACTGAAATACCATGCTATGCATACGATAATGTGCGTTCCAAACTACTCGCTGCCCCTCTGAAGGTTTGCAAATTGGTCGCACTGTACCATCGATATATGCCCAAACATTCTCCAGGGGGGCTCCCTTGGAACGCCCTGCCTCAGCGAACTCCTCAAGGTCCTGCCGTGTCAGCCAGCATAAATCAAGAGTCGTTAACAGGTGAATAAATTCGCTATAGATGTGTTCAATAGCCCAGTGAAAGGCAATGGATAGTTCCGCTATGGATCTATGGAATATGATTGTTAAGTCCGTATAACGACAAGGATACGCCAGGCGACGAAGAAGGATGCACAAAGCTTCAGTTCCTTCAAATACGGATCATGTTTCACGGCGCACAACATCCGGGATGTGAAGCTCCTTGCGCAACTCATCAATATCCTCGCGGTGGAATCTGAACCACGCAATACAGTCCTCATCGCTGATATCATTAAGGTTGAACCTTTTTCTGTTTTCTTTTTCCTGGGATTTTTGATCGTGATAGAGGGACAGGAATAGTGCGAGTTCTTCTGGTTCGAATTCATCCAGGGCGATAACTGTTTGAAGAAATTGTGTGAAGGAATTAGCCATGATCCCTTGAACAGGAAACGGTGAATATCTCAGATGAATCCCCAGAGGACAGGTATTTTAGAAAACTTTGTATTTAATAAGATTCTAAAAGCAGCAAAACTAAAACCCAGTCTGAATTTTGTGGAATTTATTTGAATTTATTCTCGAGATGATTAAAATTTTTCGCATTTATTTGGCTTTTGTTTGTCGCGACAGTGAAAATTTTGCTATGTGTACGTCACTGCAGCCGTATGGCAATCTAAAGCGCTTCCGGTTCGCCGTCGTACAGCCTATGTTACGTCGTAGTTTCTCATGTACGTGGGCCCAACTACGTGTAAATCTAAAATTCCCTACTGTATTTCTGTATGTTTTCGTGTGGTCAGTGGTATTATAAAATTAATAAAAGGGTTTCTTCCGCTTGTTAATGGAAATAAGCGGAATTATCTCCCCCAATCGCGTCTGTGCTGGGTTGGCTTAAATTTTAGTTGTGGTTGAAGTATGGTCGGAAAGTGTTGCAGAAAGTAAAAATTGCACAACATTGCTACAACATCCTGGTAACTGCAACTACGAATGTTGTAATCGTAGTTCCCATTTTAAGACTACGATTTGTTGTACAACTTTTTCTTACAACTGAAGTATGGACCTAGCACCTGAAGAATGGACCTAGTCTTTTTCGGGATTTTGTTCGAAGATGCACATGCTAAAGACGAGGTCGGTACAAGGTGCGACCAGGAAACAAGCAGGATATTATTACCACCATAACCCGTCAAAAAATGCAAGAAAAATTGAAAATAAGCTCGGTAGTTACTGAAACGAAGCAAACAATGTTTATCGTTTTATGTAGTTAATAATAAACCATTTTTCCAAACATTTCCCAAGTTTTTTTTTCCGACTTGCGCTTAAAGGCGGCCCCATAGTCAACCGTTTTCTGAGACGGAGAAAAAGTTTCTCGACGGGACGGCACTGACGGAGTTTCCGTGGTCACGGATTTCCCACGACACGGTCACTCCGACTTACCGTCCCGTCGTTGTGTCCGAAAGATGTGTTCCTCATAGTTGTCCGTGCTTCGGCTATATTCATTTGACAGGAAGTAGGCAACCGCCCGTTGCAACGGTTGGAAGTCACCGCCCAGGGCGGTTGAAGGCTGCATTATGGCAAGCCGGCATTAGGCTAATGGCAAGCCGAGTATTATAGTATGGTTTGGTAATAAGTACTGTCCAGTACATGTCGATTACGAGTAGGATGAGTGAGTAAAGGCTTTGCAATAGGTCAAACAACATTTCAACAAGTAAGTAACTATGCACTTTATACTGCATAATTTGCCAAATCTGAGAAACTAAATTTTTCATAAACTTTCAATTTGGCAATCTACCCACTCACGGTACTTTTTGACACAAAATACCTCATTAGTAGCTTTTTATATTTACTGTTATCTCCAAATGCCTTGCAATGCTTCACACAGCTGCTCTAAATTCCGAGTTATTCGGTATTAATTTTTTTATGCTGCTAATGTTTTACGAGGCATTTTGCTACAATTTAATAAGCAGATGTAAAACTTACGTAAACTTTCCAAACGGCTTACAGATGGAAAACATGTATAATATGTACTAACTTTCAGATATGGAAAAATGTACGTACAGATGTAACTATTTAAGTAATTAAAATGTCTGTTTAACAAAAAGGGCTTGTGTTAGATGTGGATTCATGTAACAATTAGTAACATATGTATAGGTACAATACAGGATATAAGTGTATTAATAATCTGGGCGTCCAGGTGGGCAGTGGCCGCTTTGGGCAAACGTATGTATGATTGGGCGAAAAAAAACGGAGACTGTATTAGGGAGGAGCCATCCTCTCCTACACCGAAGTCGTCGAAAACACGAATTTCGACGACTCGGTTTCAACACGATCATGTTCCCTCATAGTCATCCGTAAAAATGGGACGGAGAGTCGGGGAATGGTGTCCTCATAGTTATTCGAAGTTCGGACACCTTTTAGTCGAAACTGCCGTTTTCGGTGAACTATGAGGCGGCCTTAAATCATGCTGATGTACATTTTAATACATCAACCACTATGAAACTGTCAAAATGGTTTCTGCTGACAGTCAGCGTGGTGGCCTGCTTGCAAAGCAGTGAAATCCTGCTTGCGCGTGAACTTGGCCTGTGCACTTCCAAATTCCAATCCGCGTGCAGAAGACAAAATGCCAGTCACAAACTTAACACACATTCAATCTGCCATTTATGCAAATGCAGCAACAAGAATAGGCCATCCTCCACTGAAACCAATAGGAACCAGGCAGGCCGTCGATGAAGGAGCAGGGTAGCTGTTGCTGGAAAGCAGGGCAGCTAGAACGGTCGCATGCAGAAAAGAGACAGGCGATCCGCTGGCAAACAGGTGCAGAGTATATTCCACGGCAATAGAGGAAAGGCAGTAGACCGCGCAAAGTCCAGCCGTAGTCTAGCTGAACCTGCTTGCTCTGTTTCTACTCTACCTCTCTGTCTGTTCAGCTAGACTGCCGGGTCCAGCGTGCTACATTGTTTACCCGTCGCAGAATAAGAGATCAGTCGTGTCGGTGTTTCTCTTATGTCGTTAACAAGTTAACGATTAGACGTCTTATACTCTTAACTTCAATTTTTAATATCCTGGCGAATTCCAAGATATTACTTATACAAAGTATTTTCAACAGCTCCGACCTACTCTGAATCGGAAGATGCGCCCACAGTCTCAGATTGTTGTGCGCGAGCATACTGATCGTGATCAGATAAAGTTTACGCTACGATGGACTATCGAAGGCTTTGCAATACACCGTAATGACAATTTCACCGTGTATAATTCCGGCATTACCATGGAGGAACTGGGAATTAAGGATTGCAAGGGCCGTTGGCGAATCGGAGTCCTGCCGTGCCGGGTGGATCACCATGATCCAAGTGTATCGAAGCAGACTTTGACAGTTTATTTATTTTTTACGGATACAAACCTCGATTCCAAGTCGTACACAGGACCAGAAAACTTCCTTGCAGGATATCAAATACGGTGTGTTATGCATATGCAGGGACTTGAGCTGTGCGAGATGCACTACACGTAAATATCATGCTTTCTTTATTTGAATCTAGGGTATTTCAAATACCCTAGATTGTGCTTGCGAGTTGCGACCACTTTGCAAGTGACCAGTTTGCGAGCGGAATCTACATACGTGCTGATTACGCCTACATAAGTACGAGTATTGATTGAGCGAGCCTTGTATCAAAACGCATGATTTTAGTTTGGTCTTGCTGTTTCAAGATTGTTCGAATCAATCGCCGTAAATAGTTTTCACCGGTAGCAGTTTATTAGCAACTGATATTTCTTATATCTTTTAGCCTCTGCACGGGACGATCAATGACCGAAATTGGCCCCAAAGCCACATTGTACACTAAAAAATTCTGCAGTTCAACTGAGCCGAGGGGAGGCCTTAAAATTATCAGCCATCGAGATCTACTTGAAAAGATTCAGGACGATACAATAACTGTCATCATGGACGTCGTCGTTGAGCTGAAATCCGAAACTTTCCGCTCCTACACCATACAACCGGATGCGGAAGTCTATCGTCAGCGGTTCTGCCAGCGACTTGCCAGCGTGGTTTCTGGAGACGCTGCACAGCGCACCACCGACTTTGTTATTCGTTCCAACGACGGCCAAGACTTCCGTGTTCATCGCTGTCTGCTCATGGTGCATTCACCGGTCTTTGCCGCCATGTTAACCCATGATTCCGAAGAAAACCAAGATGGCTTGTGTGAACTGAATGATATTGACGGGGAAAGTATTTCCATTCTGCGTGACTATGTTTACGGGTGTGAAATGGAGAAGATTAATCTCGGTAATGTCGAAAGGGTTTTAATTATGGCGGATAAATATGCGGTTGAGGATCTCCGCTCATTCTGTGAGTCAATGCTGGCCAAGAACATCAGCCCGGAGAACGCGACAAAGTATCTTGCTCTCGCCGAACAGCGGGGTTTGGAAACCCTGAAGATGGAGGTTCAGTATGCGCTCAATACAGAGCACGCACAAGTGCAAAATGCCGCCAATGAGCTACTAGACAATATCTCGGGGGAAAATGTTGCGGAAGAGCAGGAAAAGTCCGGATGGTTTTCTTGGCTGCGTTACTGGGGATCGTGAATCCGTGATGATAAACCAACTTGAAATTTTTACTGACTTCTTAAATCAATTATTTGTTTTTGGCACCGGCACGCGCTGGGTGTACTTTATGGTGACAATGTTAGAAAGTTACGACGAGTTTTGACATCATACTTTTTGCCTTTTCAACTGACAGCTGGAGAAGTTGTTCATTCATTCAGCCGAAGCGTTTTCATTATTGCAGTTTCTCGGAAAATTTGTGTGACCTTTTAACTTACCTTACAGAAATAACGGAGCAACTTTCGCATTTGTTTTATCGTTTGTATGTTTCTGTATAAGCTGTGCCTGTTAATATTGTATGCTATCAAGCGTCAACTTGTCAAGCATCGCTACCAAAAATACTATCATGTTTTAAACCTGAGATCGTGATGTTCAATAAAAACTTAAATCAGGCAGGACTTTATTATAAATATGTAGAATAGGTACCTTCCTAACCGCCTTCCGCTACCTTTCAAATGCAGACTGCACGTTAAACTCTTTTAGTGCCGTGTATTTTTCCGGATAAACATCAGAAATGGCACTTTCATATGTCATGTCATAGCGTTCGCTGATTGCGTGCCTTATACTTCTGCGCGCTAATCTGGGCATGCGCTTAAAACAAAATCATTATGCACGAACATATTGTTCGTTACCATATCTATTCGAATTTTAACGTACTGCTAACGGTGTTTTGCTACACCCTTCTGATGGAACTTCAACGTACAGCGCCGATGATACCATCCGGAAACTGCTTCAGCAGCGGTAATGGCCGCTGGCGTTTAGCCATTAGGCTGTGCCCTCCGAATCCCAGTGATCTAATGCCAACGAACAAAAAATAGATGTTTATTAAGGTATGCTTGCCAGAAGCGGACCCGAGCTCTTTATTTAGCATAAAACAACAGCAAACAAATATTGCTTGATGGGTGCGTTGGGCAAATGGAAAGTAACACATGCGCCTCGTATAAATAGGCATTCTAATTAAGTTAAACAATGTAAATAATATAATAGTAGTTTAAGTGCGTTTTTCAAAATATGGATTTCTGAGTTTAAGGGCAGTGCATAGGGTTAAATGATGTCTTTGGAATGGTGCTTTCGTTAATCTAGCTTGCTCTGTCCCATTTTTGTACCCTTGTACTAAGCAATGATTATATCAATTTCAGAACAATATTGATTGGTTGTTCGTGCAACGGTATGCCCCTCTTGACTTCAAATGATAATGCCTGAAACGCATGCGTGATATCCAAAAAAAACACAAGAGAAAACCAAGCCGGTAGGTAGGAGTCAAAAACAAACATTCAACGCACAAATTCTGAGTCTTGACCTAGATAGTAGTCCCAAAATGATTAACCGCTGGGAATCTCGCAACGGTTCTGAGCGTTTCGGTGAAGGATTTCAAGATCGTGTAATACACTCTACTGCATACTATATAACGCAGTTTACAGATTTTGGCCTTTGGATACATAGGTAAGCTCATTATGCACGGTAGTGAGATGCCAAAATTCATGGACGGCGGTCATCACCATTTTGCATGCAGTCGTCGGGTTCGGTCTTGCGAGACATAGCACCTGCTTGTCGTAGCTTCCGTACACAGATCGATTTTTGACACCAACAGTGTTACTGTAAGAATGTTGAATTTGGCAGTATCCGCTTTCTTGCTGGGTCTGTTATGGTGTTCGAAATGCAGAGACGCAATAGGATCAAGGTCTAATCGAAGTAACTTGCAATTGTAGTTTAAGTGATTGCAAACCCCCGTGCAAGGTTTAGGTAAAACAGACGACGAAGAAAAATTGTGACTGGGCAGCCTCTGTTGTTGAATGTTGAAAAGTTTTTTTCTGCGCATGGCAAATTTTTGATTTTAGAAAAAGTTTGGCCATCTTGATTGTTTCCTGGTGCTACATCGCAGCTCTGTGCTCGACTCTGCCAATGTTTTCGCATTCAAAATTTGTTGTACAGGAGTATACTGATTCGCAGCAGATCCAGTTTACACTTCGATGGACGATTACAGGCTTTTCGCTGCACCGTTATGATAGGAAAACGATGTTTAATGCCGGTATCACCATGGAAGAACTGGGAATCGCCAACTGCAATGGACGCTGGCGTTTGGGAGTTTTGCCGCGTTGTATTGATCCGGTTGGCACTGACTCAGAAGAGAGGTACATGGCGGTATATTTGTACCTTACTGACACGGACCTCGCGTCCAGATCATACACAGGCGATCGGAGTTTTTTGGCTGGGAGCCAATTAAGGTGTGTGATATGTGTCAAAGCATGAACTGTCTTAGGTGTTCTTATAGGGAGTATTCCAGTCATGAATCAAAATTATTTAACTTAGTAAACCTAATAAAATCCAAAACTATACCTAGTAAATTTAATAGAGACAGCGGCTTTGAAAGAAGCCTGTGCAAGCCCAGAACATTTGTCAACCTTGTACCTTGCCAGGTCCCCGAACACAGGCCGGATCCCAAATTTAGAAAAAGTCTCGGGTTTTCAGAAAGAGAATATGACAAAGTGTAGCTAAAAACTGAATTCATCTGTAATGATCAATAGGGCGTGACCCTCAAAAACTAAATAAATTATTTCATCACAAACTGGAAACTGCCGTTATACTGACTTGTACGTACAATATCTCTGTACAGATATTGCTAAGGGCAAACCTCAACTACGAAGTAGAGATTTTGCAATTCTTTATTGTCAAGTCATTCTTAAATAAAATTTCTCTGGAATCGCGTGAGCTTTTTTCGTATTCACGGCTTGTAATCTTAATTCAGTTCAGTGATCCAACATTAATATCAGCTTCTTGCTTTTTAGCGCTTGCTTGCTTGTATACGGGACGATCGATGGTGCCTATTGTTGCGCAATACGATCTAAGAGCGTGGGAGTTCAGCAGTTTGGATTTTATGTGTGGCGTCTATAAGATTTTCAGTCACAAGGAACTGTTTGAAAAGCTACAAGACAATTCCATAACCGTTCTCATGGATGTGCTTGTGGAGATTAAATCCTATACTTTTCGCATATGCAGCATCCGTCCCGATAAAGAAGCCTATCGTCAAGAGTTTTGCCAACGCCTTGCCGAGATTCTGCCATCCAAAGGCGACCAGCGTTCCGCGGATTTTGTTATCCGGTCCAGCGATGATCATGACTTCCCTATGCATCGCTGCCTGCTGATGGCGCATTCACCAGTGTTCGCCGCCATGCTCAAGCACGACACCAAAGAGAAAGAGAATGCACTCTGCAAATTGGACGATACTGATGCAGAAAGCGTCCGCGTTCTATGTGATTACTGTACATCTACGCATGTGACATGGGAAAGGTCAGTGCCGACAATGTGGAAAAGGTTTTGATTATGGCGGACAAGTATGCTGTTAAGGATCTGCGAACTGATGCTGGCTAGTACTGACACTGTGGAGAATGAGTCCAAATTTTTCGCCTTCGCCGAACAACGAGGACTGGAAACATTGAAGAAAAAAGCGTCGTACCTGCTCAACACGAACTGTACTTGTACATTATTGTAAGGTGCAGGCAATCAATAATACTAATATCAGTGATTATTGACGGATTGATATGAGATTAAGGATGCATATAGATAGGGGATATTGATATGGGATTAATATGGGTTTCGAATTTATCCTTCTCTTTGATTCTCCATGATCCATTTGTTTGCGCATTCTCTTTGATTCGTAAGCAACATTCTATGGCACTATGAAGTTATAAACTGCCAAAATAGGGTGAATGATAAATTGTAATAGGACATTAGCAGCAATATTGCTTTTGTTTGTCGATACGAGTATATGCAGCTTTGTTCCTGCTTATATCATGTGTCCCCTTTTGCTGCATTCTTGCTCCCACCCACCTTACGGCACTACGTATTCAGAAAAATCCAAATTACGTAAGTACGTGCAAATGCAAAGTGTGGGTAGTGCTGAAAACTTGTAAAATACAAGTACATAAGTGATTTCCAAACGATGCTTCTAAGAAAACCATGAGCTACGTTTTGTACCAGTATTTCCCTGGCGGACAATTGTTCAGTAAAAATTTATTCCGTGGTATTTTACTGCCGCTGTTTTTAGCTGTACCTTTTCACTTTCTTATTGTATGCAGCATCATATCGGAATCATTTTCAAATTCCTTAAACGCATTTCGACTTCTCTGACAATGCGCTCGCAGTCAAACATCGTTGTACGTGAATTTACTGATCACCAGTCACCACCAAACCAAGTTCACACTGCAATGAACCGTAGAAGGTTTCGTGCTGCATCGCCATGATACAGCCATGATGTTCAGTGCCGGCATCACCATGGAAGAACTGGGAGAAAGTAACTGCGAGGGACGCTGGCGCATCGGAATACGACCGTGCCACGTGGATCCCGACAGCGCAAGCCCGGAGAAATATTCTCTGTGTATTTATTTGGCCTTCACTGACACGCCCAACGAATCCACATCATACACGGGTGCAGCGAAGTTTTTCTGGCTGGATGGCCGAATAAGGTATGTTCGGATTACTCGGTATGCTGTTGAAATGAATTAAGTATTAGTAATAAATTTTTTTGTAGTTAGCTGTCAAATCCAACATGAAACCAGATCCAAAGTAGATAAGCAGCGAGATTCTTTGAATCCGTGCTGGATGGCAATCTAATTAGTCTTGCACGGTACCGGAAATGAACGAAACCACTATCGGAGCCTCAAAACTGCGTGAGGTCTTTAGTTTTGCGGTTTTAAATGCTCATGAAAACGGTAAAAAACCTGATTAAAGAATAGAAAATAAATTGCTGTTTTGTATGCTTTTCAGCTTATCTACGGGCGATCCATGTCGCAAATTGTTCCGCAGTGTGACCTCATACGGAGTCACTTCAAAGCTTCTGGACATATCTAAGGAAAACTGATCATTAACCATGGAGACCTATTTAGACAAATACAGGACGACTCCATGACTGTAGTCGTGGACGTACTTGTCGAGATAAAATCGGAAACCTTTCGCCTGTGCACAAGGCAACCAGATCCGGAAATGCATCGTCAACAGTTTTGTCAGCGGCTGGCTGACATGCTTCCTGGGGAAAGCTACCCAGACCCCTGAGGACTTCTTTATTCGTTCCAGTGACGGCCAAGACTTCCCTGTTCATCGCTGTCTGTTGATGGCGCATTCGCCAGTCTTTGCCGCCATGCTGACGCATGACACCAAAGAAAAGCAGGATGCGCTGTGTGAACTTGGTGATATCGATGGGGAAAGTGTTACCATTCTGCGTGACTACGTCTACGGATGCGAAATGGGCAAGATTAATCGCGATGATGCCGCAAAAGTTCTGATTATGGCGGATAAATCTGCGAGCTGATGCTGGCTAAGAATATTACTGCGCAGAATGCGGCCAAGTACAATGCAGGACAAAATGGTCGCATAGCCCCACACCCAGCATTCTGTACGCAGGCGGGGCAGTGCACTTGTACTAAACGGATATTTTGAGCTCAGTCGTACAGTGCACTGCGCTGCATTCGTACTGAATGTGGAGATGTTGGGTATGCGACCATTTTGTCCTAAGCCGTATCTTGACTTCGCCGAACAGCGCGAGTTGGATACGCTGAAGAAAGAAGTGCTGCATGTGCTCAATACGGACCGCATCCAATGAATAACCTGAAGTGGTGGACCACATGTCTAACTTCTCCGAAGATAGTTCCTGTACGAAGACCGACAGCTCCGAAGGCAATTGGAGGAAGACGTTACAACAATTGCGCCGGAATGGCCTCCCGTTCGGGGCGTGGACCATACGATGCTTTTCGAACACAGCTTGTGTGGTTTGTTGAACTAATAGTTTTTTTACTGAAATCGGTTAGGTGAAATATCGCCGGGTTATGGTAGGACTCCGCATATTATTGGTTGCTGCATTCAGGACACTATTGCAGTTGTGAAGTTTACAAATTACGAGGAATTGTGAGCAAATGTTTTTTTTGGAACTAAAGTGAATTTATCGTGATGTAAGGTAAATCACGAAACATGAGTTTAGAAAGTCTGGTGCCAGTAGCAATAACAACCTTAACATAGTCAACATATTCGTACATTTGTAAGCACAACACCACTTTTTTAACACAAATCTTTAGCATAAATTCTGAGACCCGCAAGGTCACTGTACAGGATGTTTTCGAGTGTTATTCGCTGTCTGTTGTCATGCGAAGGTTGTGCAACAGGGATCTTTGCAATGTGTTTGGCAGAGGTCAGACAGCTAGGATTTGCAACAGCACTTCGCAGTAGATAAATGAGCCAACTTCAAATCCGGGAGCTTCTTGTATGTAAAATGCACCGATTAATCTTAAGCTCGCCGTGCACAAATATTTTATGTATGCACATCCAGAGTTATACCTGACTTGACAGTTCCTTAAAAGTTCCTTCCTTATACTTCTAGACGTTCATCACATTTTCGGCACTTTAAAAGTTCTCTATTATTATGGCGCGCTCCGAATCCCAAATCGTTGTGCGCGAGCACACTGATTACGAACAGGTCAAGTTCACGTTGCGCTGGACTATGAAAGGCGTTTCGCTTCACCGCTATGATAAGAGAATGGCGTATAATGCCGGTATTACCATGGAGGAATTAACTGGGAGTTAAAAACTGTAACGGACGGTGGCGTATGGGCGTTCAACACTGCCGTGTGGACCCCAACGATTCAAGCGACCAGAAGCACACCGTGGCCGTTTATCTGTACTTTACGGATACAAATACTGATTCCAAGTCCTACACAGGACCGGCAAACTTCCTCGCAGGATGTCGATGAAGGTGCGTTGCGGGCTTGAAGGTGGTTTTACGTTGCGAGATTTATTAATCTTTAATATAAAGATATTTCCATCTAAATTAAATGTACGTGGTTAAGCCAGCCTCGTATTACAACATCGCATGAAAATTTTCGGCCATTGTCACTTAAAATTGATTGAGAATTCAAAAGCTCTACATAAAAATCATTTCAACCGTCATATAAATAAACAAATACATATGTATAAATCTGTATATATATACCGTAAATCAAACTATCTTCATAATCCATATAAATCAAACTTTACATATAAATTAATTCAACCTACATAAATCGTTTCTTCGCCATCTTTAGCGTGTGCACGGGACGATCGATGGCGGAAATTGTCCCTAAAACCGGCATATACAGTACACACAAATCTTCTGCAGTGACAATTCTTCTTGGGGTGGCCATAGCGTTATTAGCCATACGGCGCTACGGGAGAAAGTGCAGGATGACTCTATAACTGTAATCATGGATGTCACCGTTGAAATAAAATCCGAAACCTTTCGCATGTGCACGATACAGCCAGACCAAGAGATTTTTCGGCAGCAGTTCTGCCAGCGGCTTGCCGGGGTGCTTGCACGAAACGTTGCTCAGCATTCTGCGGACTTCTTTATTCGTTCCAGCGACGGCCAAAATTTCCCTGTTCATCGCTGCCTGCTGATGGCCCATTCACCGGTCTTCGCCGCCATGCTCACGCATAGCACCAAAGAAAAGCAGCATGCGTCCTGCGAAATGGACGATATCGATGGAGAAAGCGTCACCATTCTGCGCGACTATGTCTACGGATGCGAACTGGGAAATGTCAATCGCGATAACGCGGAAAAGATTTTGATTATGGCGGATAAATATGCGGTTGCGGATCTGCGCTCCTTTTGTGAATCAATGCTGGTGAACAATATCACTTCGGAGAATGCGGCTAAATATCTAAGCCTCGCCGAACAGCGGAATCTGGACACACTGAAGAAGGAAGTGTTGTACAGGCTCCAAACGGAAGGCACACGACAGCGCAATGCGGTCTACGATTCCGTACGCAGCAATGCACCATCCACCGAGAAAAAACCTGCAAAGAAGGAGAAAAGGTCACGATGGTTTTTCTGGCGGCGCGTTGGGATACCACAATAGAAATTATGTTGACTTGCATTTTCTTGTAGAGGTGCACAGTTGCTGCGGATTTATTGAGCAAATGTTCAAAGAAAGTCTGCTTTCGTGGTAAATCTGTTTGGTTTTTGAATCAGGTTAGCAATCTACCATGTGGCGCGTATATCTAACCCGCTCACCAGATCGCCCAGATTGGCATTCTTACGAGACGTGTTAATTACTCGTGTTGGGGCTGCTATTGATTTGATGTTTGTGCCGGTGTTTCCTGATTTTGCATGAGCTTTTCTTGATTCGAGCAAGACCCTCACAGCTGTACACTCGAGTTAGCTTCGTGGGCTGCATATTAAATATTCTACCAAACATATAAGACACCACACATAGAAGTATTCATATTCTACTTAAAGAGCACATATCGTAAGATTCGCAACTGTTGGTCTTCGCTGCAGCGGTAAACACCTACAGACTGGTGAAAAAATTGTTTATTGCCTCTTCAAGAATATTTTTATTTGTACGGCAATCAAACATGCAATCTGCATTGTCAGCGTAGTCACACACGTATGAAAATTGCCAGCAAAGCTGAAATTTATTTTACCTTCAAGTTTCCGCTTTTTTTTACCGGTATGTATCTGTTAATATAAATTGGCGGGCATTGTCCCTCTAATAATACGGATCCTATACGTATTATGGCGCGTTTGAACGAGGATATTGGAGTCCGAAAAATGGAAAGACCAGGATATCGTCATAAGTAGGCAGCCTATTACGTTACGTTCGGCCTCGCTAATCGCCAGGTTTCGCTGGTTTTGCTACCATTTGGTACCTGAACTGCACAAGAAAGTTTCGAGCTGCAGATATTCTGCCGGGCAAGCAGAGCATCAAACTTTAATAAAAGTCAGGTTATAAAGTTGCAAATTCTTTACCGCGTTTGCGCTCCGCACCAGTCTAATCAGGCAGGGTGTAAAACCTGGCACTGGCAAGTGCCTCTGGCGTTGCCACTGGCATGGCAAGGGATAAAACCTGGTATGGTATCCCTCTGGCACGCAATAAAATATGGCATATGCCGGAAAACTAGAATTATTAAAACTATAACTTTCAGTACGATGTTGTAGCTTTGGTTTCTTCTAGATAGCTTTACCGCACACTAATGGATTATTACAAGCAGTAATATTAAAAAGGACAAATTTTTCACATACCCCAATAAAAGACGAAAACGACAATGCTGTACGCAGTGCGAATGTGATTTCCGACAGAAAGGAACTCACTGTTAAACTGCTAAAATAAAAAAAGCGATTAAACTGCAACTTTTAAAACTAAATATAAAAATGATACATCGTACGGTAATTCGTCCCGGCGAATACGTAATAGACGTAGAAGTATTACTAAAACTGAATTTTCAAGACATTTCTCTGACATTGTGGTGATGATGCACTTGTTCAAGTCGATCTCTAACGACCGGCAAAATAGTGATGTCCGAGTACGGCTGATCTCCATGTCGACGATTTCCGGTGGGTGGAACGCTGATTGCACGAGCTCTCCCTTTGTACACACACTGCACCTGTATACGAGGTCATACTCGTATTAAGGGCATACACAGATTACACACACAATACGGTGAGGTATACGGCCGGGCACTGCAGCAATCTTAGTACAATTTTAGTACAATTTGCAAAATTATTGCATACAATGATTGCATTACAAAATTGCTTAATGGAATAACCGATACAAAAACAGGGGCAGTTCCTTCGATTAATGGGCAATTTATTATTCTAACGGGCACTAAAGACCTATTGAATTACTGTAATTTTATGGAAATTATTCTCATGCAACAAAAAAGTTAATTAAGGTCTTAATAGCTTAATATCTTACTATGTAGATCAGCCTGAATATTTACCACTGTCACTCTTTCTCTAGTGGTGATTGCAACCTACTCAGCACTTCACGATCATCGTTGCACCAACTAAATGTATGTATCAAGCCCGCTATTGAGAACTGGGATTCTAGAACGAGATAAAAATAACAAAAGTAATTTTCATCATTCAGCTTATTCACCAGTCACCGTAGGTTTAATCAAACTGCAACTTTACATAATTCTAACACTTCACAATATCGGTACTGATCAATATTTGTTATTATAATCCGTGTTGTGTACCACACAGCTCCGAACGCTCACCCAGTGTTCATCCAAAATGTCCAGCATCGGTAAATTTCCAAGCGTTACTCTTTTTCGACTGATTAACGCAAACACAATCAGTAATGTTTCGGAACGACAATTAATAAAATTGTTCGTAGTGTGTTTGCAATTGCAAGTGTCAGCGTGTCGTCTACGTAACAACGATGGCTCAAGGCAGAACAGCAATTTTAAGTTCAAAATGATTAGCGTTTGATGTCTGAATGGTAACTACCAAAATATGTAATGTTGTGTCTCTATGTGCACTGAACTTTGGTCCGGCGGAAGAGAAGGTCGATGCAGTAGCGAAGCTACACCGTTGCACGAAACAAGAGTGCCTTATACAAATTTTATAAACATACGCACACACTCATAATACAAGTACATGTGCCAGTTGCCTTTTTGTAAGCAACTGTTCTTATCATTGCATAATATTCTGTTTTCCAAACAACAGATAACCCAGACCTTTAATCATCAGTCATGTCAAGTTTAACATATGCAGTCAAAGACAGTCAATAAGCGTTGGATTTAAGTCGATATTTTCTGTTTTCGATGAGTGCCATTTCACTTTGTACCGGTTGTATCTGTAGTGAGCTTGCACATGTAAAGATTCATATTTCATACAAGATTTATTGAAATTTAAATGCTCCTTTGGAACATGTATAGTTAAAGCTTAAAGACAATTCGCATATACTGGTATGCAAATCATGCCGCTAATTACGAAAGTTAAATGATGATGATGACAACTAAAAGTTAAATTATTTTTTACAAGTCTGTTTGGTGTAGAATTACCGAATAACGGGTGTTTTTTGGATTTTCAGTGATCACATCACAGTCTTATCTTGAGCGTCTATTGCCGGAATATTTATCTGCATTTTTTATTTATGCAGCTGTGTAAAGAGAGGGGTCCCTTTCATCTGCTCTGTGTGGAAATGTTAGTGTGGTTGTACTTTTTATCGTGACCTGTACCATGTAAAGAGAGGGGTCCTTTTGATCTGCTCTGTGTGGAAATGTTAGTGTGGTTGTACTTTTTATCGTGACCTGTACCATCGCGTAAAGAACAGACGGCGCGGAATAAGCCCGATGGTAAAATAGAAGTTTTTACTACTCGTCATTATTGCAGTGAACTTTGTCTGGGCACCAACCGGCGCCCATTAGGCGATGAGGATTTTTGCATTACAGTATTAAGCCTACACCGTCCATGCCAAATGATTGCAGATCGAAACGCGGATGCAGTATATTCTTCGTGAATCGGCGTGGTTTGGAGCTTCCGAGCTTGACACAGTTTTCAAATTCATTCTTTTTGCAACACCATTACGCATTAATTGCTGATTGAACTATTCATGCCGGTGGGTGTAAGTCGTTGAGAAAATTAGTAAGGTCTTGTAACTCTTGTCCATGTACGGGTTTAAGCATCAGCAGCTATTAATGCAACTGATACCATCGCAGTTTTATTAATTTTTGCAACTTGTACAATGGAGGCACCGTCAATATTTTCTACTTATTTACGAGTATTAACCGCTGTGCCACTTGTTTTCTGGCATATGCCATATTTTATTGCGTGCCAGAAGGATAACATACCAGGTTTTATCCCTTGCCATGCCAGTGGCAACGCCAGAGGCACTTGCCAGTGCCAGGTTTTACACCCTGCCGTCTAATCATGCGTTCACAACCGAAAATCGTTGTGCAAGAGCATACTGATCACCAACAAATTCAATTCATAATGCGATGGACTATCGACTATCGAGGGTGTTTTGCTGCACCGTTCTGATGAGATACTGGTGCGGAACGCCGGTATCCCCATGGAAGAACTGGGCATCAGTAGCGGCGAAGGCCGCTGGCGTTTGGCTATTCGGATGTGTGTAGTGGATCCACATCCACATGATCCAACTCCAGCGAAAGATGCCGTGGGTGCTTATTTATGCTTGACCGACCTGGACCCCGCTTCCAAAACGTACACGGGGCAAGGTAGCTTTCTTGCGGGATGCCGAATAAGGTGCGTTAGAACTTAGAGCATAGAAGTGTAAAGTACAAGTTTGCCTGCTTTAAGTAGCATACTGACCACTGACACAAGCACAAAAACATCCACAAAACTTGTTTTGGTAGTTCCTAGAATAAATTCGAGTGCATAAGCCCTTCCAAGTCTTTTTGGAATAACTTTGCCCTTTCTCTCTTCAGCCTTTTTGTTTGTTGCAATCTTCTAGCCAATGATTATTGTGTAAATGAATTTTGCAGGTGTTTCCTCCTGTTTTAGCGTGCACACGGGACGATCGCTACTACAACTTGTCCCGCCAGGCAAGATGATTACGGAGCATTTCTCGAGTGCGGGCTTTTCGTTTGGCAGCAATGACATCCTTAAGCATGCGGATTTGTATGAGAAGATACAAGATGACTCAATAACTGTCATTATGGACGTGTACCTGGAGCTGAAATCCGAAACTTTTCGTGTCTGCCACATCCATACTAATCAAGAGCAGTATCGTCAGCAGTTTTGCCGACGTCAATCCGGCTTTCTTCAAAAAGGTGATCAAGATTCCGCCGACTTCGTTATTCATTCCAGCGATGGCCATGACTTTCCTATTCACCGTTGCCTTTTTGATGGCACATTCACCGGTATTTGCAGCCATGCTGACCCATGATTCGAAGGAAAAGCAAGAAGCGCAATGCACACTGGAGGATATCACCGGGGATACTGTGGCCATCCTTTGTGACTATATCTACGGATGTGAAATGGGAAAGGTCAGCCTGGACAATGCAGAAAAGGTTCTGATTATGGCGGATCGGTATGCTGTAGTAGATCTGCGATCGTACTGCGAACTCATGTTGGTCAGCAGCATCACTCCACAGAATGCTGAAAAGTATCTCGCCCTTGCCGAGCAGCGCGGACTGTATGCTCTGAAAAAAGCCCCTTCATTCAAGCTTAGCACACACCGTACAACATCAAACAGCACGGATATTGAAGTACTACAGGACTCCTCACGACCCACCGCTACAGCAGTCGCGATAGGCCGCAAAACATCCCGATGGCCTTCTTGGCTCTGTCTGTATAGACCGCGTTAAGATTCTGTGCATTATGTGTTTCGTTGCGTTGTGATTTTGTGTATGAATTTTGCGTATTATGTTTTTGTGTATTGCTTTGTGCTAAGATTTTGTGTTTGATTTGTCATTTGTGTATTCGGGGTTTGTATCTGTAATGCACGGCAAAATGTTTGTGTAGACTGTTATTAAACATAATCAAGAATATTAAAGTTAATACTTGGAACAACGTGTGGATTCACAACGGAAAACTATTCCATCGCGGCATAGCGCGGCGGCTGAACTAAGACACATTCGCGGTATTCTTACTACATCCGTGCCGGTACAGCTGTAACAGAAATGTTATAACATGTCATTACAATATTATAGCGGCATCTGTGTCAGTCGGATTTGTTTGCTGGTATGAATATGCGGAAACCGTGAAAGCACGAAATAAGTACAGTGGTTTTAGAAAAAGGATTACTGAGGCACACATTTTAAGCACCAGCAGCTGGGAAAATTGGAGCTACTTGGAGCATCCTGCTACGAAACGATATACAGTGTACAAGCCGGTCCGGATGATGAGCACGATAAAGAACAGCGAAAAATGTAAATTCATGGGGTACGCCAAACAACCAACAACGCCACGCTACGCCACACTGTTTAAACACGTAACAATAAGTAACATGCGTTTCGCTGGCTGGTGGCCTGCTGCGCACCTGATAATTTAATGAGAATATTTGTAATTGCCTGGCGGATGGTGGCTAGAAAATGGTCGGTGCAGTAAGGGACAATCTAACTGCGGAGCGCATTTACGCATTGTGGTAAACGTAGTGTAGTGGCCATCGTGCTCAGCGCTAATACCGCGCTAAATATGCATTAGCTGTACCTTTACGTGCTCATTACACGGACAGGCTTGTACACGGTGCAGTGCAGTGTAATGTTTTTGAGTGTAATGACGTGGCCGATAATCAAAGCAAAATAGTCAATAAAACCAAGTACGGTCCCTACATCAACATGTGCTAAACTAATGCAGTCAGCAGACTCGAAAATTTTACGAAAGCAAACCGCGATGATCGCGATCGATACCGGCTGATGTCATACATAATTATGATGGTCTCTATTGTTGCCCAAAACGGAAGCCTGCAGCTGCTTGTGTTGTGGTAGGCCTACGCGATTAGAGCCATTTCTCCAGGAACTCAACCAGTTACGGGCTGTATTGCGCAGCTTTCTATCATCATGTTCTCGAATATATTCCGCAAACGATCGGATGCTATCGTTGTCAAAGAGGAGACCTCTCGAAAGAGCGTCTCGTTTTCCTTGGAATGGACGGTGAAAAACTTCTCCTCATATCGCAATCAAACCCAGCCAATAATGAATACAGGGGTTACCATGGCGGAACTAGGGATTCACGACTACAAAGGTCTCTGGCGTGTTCGGATCATTCCGTGCAACATGGGCAAACTGGGAACTGGAACTGTTGCTGATTCGGAAAAATATGTTTCGGTGTTCCTGTATTTAACTGACGAAGATTTGGGATCCACGTCATACAGCGGCACGCATGGGATACTCGCCAAAAGCCAGGATCGGTATGTGCTGAAATTTGTGCTCGTTATGACGATAATATAAATTAATAATAAAAATAAATTAGCTTTCACCAAACTGTGCAAGCTCTAAGGTGCACCAGGTGCGGCCCCGGGCAGGAGATACAGCATCTGCTTAGCACGTTGTATAGGAATTACTTATATTATAACTATGAGAGCACGAGAAATACGCTTTTGCATTGTGCAAACAGTAAAACTTATATTCTTTATAAGTCATGAACAAGTTGGCAGTAAAGCATGCTGCAACTTGTTGCAAAAAAATGATAAAATTTCTTAATATCTGTATACGGGCACTAACTGAACTTTTGGCAAGGTTTGCCAAGTACATAATTATGTAATATGTAAGCAGTACTTGACGCTTAGGGTGGAAACCGGAAAATGGAAGATTTAAATTGTTCGTACCTCACCGGACACCAACATGTACCTCACAAATCACTCTTCATGGGGTCACGGAACTAATTCAGCACTCCGCCCTCTTTGGCAGCAATTGTCGCGATGGCCAACTGAAAGACGACTGCATTACTGTGACCATCAAGGTGACGATGTTTAAAGACCCCGAAACAATCTGCTGGCCATGTCGACACACATCCTCTTCGGAATACAACTGGGCCGAATTTGCCAAGGAAAGCGCTGGAAGGTTGCATCCAGGAGGATTTATATACAGTTGTGAGCCACCACAGTTTGGTAGCCAGTCATTCATGGTTCGCCTCGTTCTATCAGCTACATCTCCGGCTGGAAAGAAGACAAAGAAGGCCGGACGACCGAATTATTTGGGTAACTTCCAGGTGGCGGCGGTAGGTTTTGTGAAGCTCGCGGAAGATTACGGGCTGCCAGGCTGTAGTTCAGATAAGCAATCACGCGCTCGAAGCGAAATTGTGGGCATTGCAGGTACGATCGCGAGCTTTGTAGAACAAATTACGAGCTGTAAACACACTTCTTTTTAAAGAGATGCAGAGCCGACCTAACTGAGCACTATGGACACTGCAGTACGAGTGTCTTCACCACAGTTCAAGAGTAAATAAAATTTGTTCCACGGTTTTCGCCATTCTTCAAGAGTCAAGATGAACCAGCGTTCCTGTGAAGAAGATCATACGCCGTAGTTTATTTCTTGGCAATCAAATTCAAGCACTTTTGTGCCGGTCGTCCATACCGACAAATTGTATATACCGGGTTTTATAAACCAAAAAATTACCCGGATACTTAAAGGCGTATTTTTCCTTTGATATTGTGCATGACTGCATGTTAATTTAGTTTTAGTTAAAGTATACTAATTGTTACGTGCATCTGTATATTTATTTAATTTGTAATCGCTGCTTTTAAACTCTGCTATCCAACCAAAACCATGATCTAAGCACCATAAGAGGCTCTCGGTTAAGTGCCACTTGAACCTCTTTATGCCGATACAAATGATACTCGTATGATATCTACCGTTGTATCTCCTATCAGTGTGCTACTGGATCCATTAGACATGTGGCATAAGTTCAATGGAGTTCAGTCTTTGTAATTTTTATATGATGTAATCAAAATATGCGAGCCAGTACCAATGGTTTTCTTTGTATATTGAGTTTGCATGAGCATTTCGGCTTAGTACTTAGAAAATCCAGGTGCGAACACAGCAACAGCAGGTAAGCAATGCTATTAAAAAGTCCGTTAGCCGTTTTTCGTTTGTACCTAATAAAACTTCCGTATCACAGCAGCAGACAGATTTGATCTGCATAAACGAAGTGTTCGTTAATCTGTGCATTGGCGTTGACTTGTGTGAATATTCAGTCACTGCTTAGAGTCCATAAATCTTGTCTGACGGCTGGCTGAATCGTAATACATAATTCAAAAATAAACGCTTTTAAGGTTGCATAAACTAATTTGTACGTTATCACACTGCGATAATGCGCTCGCAGTCGAACATCGTTGCGCGTGAGGTTACCAATCAACATCAGGTTAGGTTCGTACTGTAGTGGACGGTGGAATGTTTCACGCTCCACCGGAATAATAAAACAATGATGTTCAACGCCGGAATCACCTTCAAAGAATTGGGAATCGGTAACTGCCCTGGCGTATCGGAATAAGACCGTGCCGTGTGGATCCATTGGATACCAGCCAGAACCCGTCTAAGAATTCTCTCTAAGTGTTTACCTGTATTGCACCAACACGCCAAAAAACTCCATTACGTACACTGGTCAAAAAAGTTTTCTTGCTGGATGTCGAATAAGGTAAAACTCTGGCGCACCGCGTGCTGGGTCATTGTCAATACGGAATAATTATTATTACTTTGTAAATTCGCGTGAACAAATAAAATCAGAGCACGTACCTATGTCGAACCTATCGTCGACTGTATGTTACAACACTGACTGATTAAATATGCTGTACAAGAGTTGTTAACCATATTCGCCAGAGCGACAAGAGTTGTTAACCATATTGTCGCTCCGCAGCTTTTTAAGTCTTTTAAGCTACAGAGGTAAAATGTTAAATAATGGCTTAATCAATGAAATATTTCTAACCGGTTTGAATTTATGTTTTCAGCTTATCTACGGGGCGATCCATGTCGCCAATTATTCCGCATTGCAAACTCATGACCCATCGCTTCAAGATTTCCGCCTCTGCTTGGGGCAAACAAAGCTTCATCAGTCACACGGATCTATTCAAACATACAAGATGGCTCCATTACTGTTATGATAAATGTCATCGTGGAGATAAAATCGGAAACCTTTCGCGTGTGCACCATGCAGCCGGATCCTAACGTCTATCGTCACCAATTCTGCCAGCGTCAAGCCGGTATTCTTGCAAAAGTCGATCAACACACCACCGATTTTGTTATCCGCTCCAGTGACGGTCAAGAGTTCCCGGTTCATCGCTGGCTGCTGATGGCACATTCGCCGGTCTTTGTCGCCATGCTATCGCGTAACACCAAAGAAAACCAGTGTGCGCTGTGTGAACTTGATGATATTGATGGGGAAAGTGCTGCCATTCTGCGGGACTATATCTGCGGGTGCGAAACGGGAAAGGTCAATCCTGAAAATGCCAAAGTGATTGTGATTATGGCGGATAAATATGCGATTGCGGATCTGCGCTTGTTCTGCGAATTGATGCTGGCCAGGAACGTTACGCCGGAGAATGCGACCAGATACCTCGCCGAGCAGCGGGAACTGACAACACTGAAGGAGGAAGGTGCTTTGTCAGCACAGATTGCACATCAGGGAATAACAAGGAGGATGAGGGATCGGAAACTAGCAAGGACTGTAACGGGATAGTTTACGTGTTCTGGGTTTTGGCATTAGCGCTTTATCTGTATATAGAGTTTTTAATAGTTTATATTTTATGCTTTTGCGACTAACCGTTCTGAGCTCTCCGGCAGGAGAAGGCTAAGTGGGTGCTTATTATTTACCTACTTACCATTCGTCTTTAGATGGCAGAAAAAGAAACTTATTAGCGATTAATATGGTGTTTTATTGATATTTTTGTTGTTTGGCTTTTCTCTCGGTCTGGAGCTGCTTCTATTTTCTTCGAGTGGACTTTCTGTCTCATTAAAATTAATTTCTCTTTGAGAAACTGAGACGTTATTTACATACTCACAAGTGAATGTGAATAGAATTTGTAGTATTGCGTGTCTTCTTTTGCTGATTCAGCTTATGGAAGTGAGAAAGAAAAACATTCGGACAACAGAAAATTTTGGAAACAAAAAATAAAATGCTATAGGTGTGCTATTGGGAATAATTTAATCTTTGTTCGTAGCCTAAGGGATTGTCTAAAGGGTTTAATAAGCTTTTAGGCCAGTTTACAAAGTTATTTTATTCTTACCTCTGTGTATAACGAAACTGTTGCAAAAACTATAACGGTAATTTCAAACTGGTTCTTGCTTGTGAAGTACAAAGAACCATCCTAAAACCCGTTGAATTATTATTCAGTGAATCAGTGTAGATTTTCTTGAAAGTCTCCTTAAAGAAATTTGCATTTCTAATTTTAAAACTACAAATTTGGATCATAAGTGGTTACTGCGTGACTGTTGTTGGAAAATACAATTTAAAATTGTAACTAGTAAGCTGAAGGCCGTCTGAAATCGAATTCTATTGATAGTATTTAAAGGGCACGGCACGCAACGCGGAGCCCAACTGCCAAATATTCCTGAAAGGCCTCGTAAAAGTCTGTTTTGAAAATTTTCTAACAATGCTTGTTCAGAATTATCTTTCTTATTTCATGCTGAAAAGCTATTTATTGTGTATTACTAGAAATTACCAATACGCTGCATTTAACTTCATTCGTGTTTTAAAAATGCTGTTAACAGAAGGGCACTGTTACGGGTCTGTTGCTCAACATTGTAAATTATAGCAAGAGGAATTGTAAGAATACTGGCTACCGCCGAGGTTGCGACCAACATTGCTATAAGTCAGATTTTGCGCGCAATCCACTTTAAGCACCGCAGCCGTAGTTAGCACCCCCACATCAACGAACGGGGTCATATAGTTTCCGACAATAGCAATTTCGCCTTTTCTTTTGCCGGAGATAAGATGGGGTTTTTGTTTCAGGAAATTTCGATACCAAGCGTACGAGCAATCACAGTGCAGCTTCTGGATCATGTCCAAATCGTCCTCACTGAGTAGGTTCGGAAACTGGCGCTTCGTGGAATATGCGTGTTGTCGGAACAAAACATAACCGGCGCCGTCCTCTAGCGACAAGCTATGCAAAAGTGGTAAATCGGCAAACGTGTACGGCTCCAGCATTTCAATAGTACAGTGCGAGAAAGTAATGCTGCGTATTTGTGACATCCGCGAAAAATGTTTCTTCTGGATCTCCAAGCGTGATCCGGATTGAATTTGGAGCAGTAATAAATATGGCATCACGCCCAAGTCGTATATCTTTGCGCTGACACCCGTTGTGCGGACATCGGATACACAGAGTTCGATGAGCTGGTTCCGAATGGGATTGATGACCTCAGGGTGGACTGGATCGGCAGAGTCGTTGCGCTCCTTTAAATCGATGATAGCCGCTCGAGTTGGGCTGATTAGGTGGATATTCGTTGTAACAGTAGTCAGAAGGGTTCGATTCCCCCATGAACACCTGACATTGATATAAGTTCTAGAGAGCACTTTCAGCAGATACTCATCATCCGATGGGCCCTCGCATTCTCGGACGCCGATAACTGGGCTGCAGATTTCGCCATTTTGGCTCAAGTTGGCATATGCCATACATTCGTCTCGTGTCAACAGATCTGTCCGAAATGGATACTCTACCGGCTCCGGAGTTATGGTTTGTGGGATGTTTGCACCAGAGTTGCAGTCGGTTTCAAGCTCCGTGAGTCCATCTGTGAAAGCGATACTACAGACTTTATAAAAAGTGATACTAAAGACCAGCTTAGTTTGCAATAGCTTTATCTGAAAGCGATACTAAAGACTTTCTAAAACATCAGCGTTTTTGTCTCCAGCAAGGTAATCCTTTTTAGTGAGGATGCGTAATTATTCGTATTTACCGTGCATAAAATAGGCTGGAAGCGCGATGATATTGAATAAAAAAGCTAACAGTAATTTCATGGCGTTTGCTAACGGAAATCTCGATAGTAGACTGAAATCGGGTTTGCGAAAAAACCGTTTGAGTGAAATGCTTTATATTGGCCAATGATAACTAAGGCACCGATGAATATCTCCAAAATTTCTTAAAACGGCTATCGTTTAATCGACAGCTATCGCCTGAGAATATCAAACTGTTATTCTAGTTTGATAAGTTACTCGTTTTGGCAGAAATTCGATTGCTTACGCTGCTTTAAAAATATACCTTTCTACGTTTCCCATTGTCCATTCTGTCTTCAGATAAAAAATTAAATTCGTTTAAAGGGTATGACCTTGATCGTAGTCAGTGCAGATCAGCGTCTATGAAAATCTCGGCAATCCACTTGCGTGTTTCGATACGCGTGGGGTTTTAGCTGCACGTTTTTGCAACGAGTGTAGCTTGAATAAAGACGGATGCTTAATAAAACTACATCAACGTTTGAGGCGACCGTCTGCAGTTAGATGGATGCAATTTTATTGAGCCTCCGTAATATACCCATCCACTTTCCTGTCGGCAACAAACGCCAGTCACTACGACATCCTGATGCAGCCGAGCAATCTGTTACCGAAAACCATGACCTCCCCGGTGGAACTGGCGGAATATGACGGCAATAGGGTGGAACGGCAACGACAGGTCCCAAAAGTAGTGCTGCCGGAGTGCTGGGACAGTCTATCCTTTTCCAGAGAGGGGACATCCGGTAAATTGAATGGCGTTTTGTTTCTGCTTATATACTGTATATAATGGGAAGTGCCGAAGTATTGTTGTCAGTTCGGGACGGTTGTACCTTGATGCAACGAGATTGTTCCGCGGGTCTTGTGACTCGTCACGAATTGTTGAATAAAATTCTGGTTTTGTGTTTTGATCTGTAGTTACATTTTCTGGTGAAAAGAGAACATATCGGAGAAACATTCGAAACAAAATATCGGTTTGTTGTCTGCCGATTTCGTCTTTGATTTTGTATTCGCTGTAGATTTTTTTGTAACTTAATCTATAAAATTTTAGACCTTCGCCTTTAAATTTTATTAGTATGGATCGTTATCGATTACTATTTGTTATTCGAATAACTCATAGCCAGCGATCGTAACCGGTTGTTAATTTATTATTGATTTGTTGTGCAGAGTTCGAAGAATTAGTAACCAACAGGCAACAAACTGGATTTTATTTGCAAGAGTCATAGAATCCTGGGAGGGAATTCCGTTACAACCTCGATCACCTGTTATTCAAACTTGAAATTCTGATATTAGAATTTTAGCAACATTGATTTAAAGGTATATCATTCTTATCTTACAGATCGTAACCGGTTACTGTGTACAGTCTGTACTGTTCGCAAATACTAGTAAACTCGATTTAATTTTGTAACCTGCCTAAAATCCTGGGAGCGAATTCCAATGGAGATACTTGAAACCACGTGCTGCGCAAGCTTTACAATAGGCACAGACAGCGTTACATAATGCAATGCCCGCGCGCCGATCCTGATTCGCAGAATAATGATGATTAATATTTGTATTTAATTTAAGTGTCTATACATTAGCACGTGCGCCGTACATACTGGTTTATCCCGCATGCAGAATTAAAAATTGACAATCATTGATATCCATGATTAAACCGGCAGCATGCTTCATGTAGTTAATTGCGTAATAACATAAAGCGCCGCAAACTTAAACCAAGCCGTTGATAAGCATATAAAAAGCCGCGTAGACCGGCACTCAAAATCGTATTCATACTCCCGTTGCAAAGCTTGTTAAATTGAGCACAGTCTGCACTGCTATTGTTCCGCGCCGATTATCTCTACTTTAAAGAAAAGTGGAATCTTCCTAGTCGTCATGAAATTCCTAATTGTGTTAGCCGTGGTTCTGGGCATCGTATCCTGCCAGAAAGGAGGTGCTCAGAAAACAGCGGGCAAGCAGAAGACCGCCGCCGTCGCCCCGAAAGCGGCCGCCAACAGCGCAGCCAAGCCCGCCCCAAAGTCGTCGCCGTCCTCTGCGGGAGACAGCAGCAGCAGCGGCAAGTATGTCTGGGACTACCTGAAGCCGGCTCTGGATGCCGCGGAAGTAGCCGCCATCCTGCAGGCCAAATCCGGCGACTATCCGACACTGGCCGAGATCCCAGATGACAGCAGCTTCGACTGCAGCAGCAAGAAGCAGCCGGGTTTCTACGCCGATGTGCCCAGCAAATGCCAAGTGTTCCATCGCTGCGATGTCAACGGGAACAAGACCAGCTATCTGTGCGTCAACAGCACCCTCTTCAACCAGATCACCCTCGTCTGCGATTACTTCTTCAACGTTGACTGCGAGAAGTAAGAAAAATTATTAATTATTCGCAATAACGACAATGTATTGTGTAAGTACGTACGATTACAACTGTAAATGTATGTATTGTAAAGATACCAAACTGTAGAACAAGTACAATTTGCACGTGTGCTACGGTTTGGGTTGGCACGGTGCAAATATTTAAGCGTTCGATATACCAAGCATAAAATTTAATATAATTATATAACTGTAATGTACAGAAATAAAAAAAACGTGTTAATAACGTGAAAGCATTTTGGCGGTTACCAAATGCAGATTCGCTGAACAAGAGGATTTCGCCAACTCCCGACTGTACACTGACAAGGATATCTTCGACACTCCCCCTGCTGATTACGTTGCTCCTCAAAGCAAACCAGCAAATGCCAGCGACAGCGGCGACCAGTCGCAGTCCAGTGCCACCACCAAGAAGGCGGCCGGCGGAGCGGCTGCCACAAAGAAGCCAGCTGGCGGTGCAGCTACGACGAAGAAGGCTGCTGGTGGGGCAGCCACCACCAAGAAAGTGGCCGGTGGCAAAGCAGCCACCACCGCTGCACCGGAAGAAGAAACTACCGCGGCGCAGAGCGAAGACACAACTTCTGCCGCCGCCAGCGAGGATACCACTTCCGCCGCTGGCGGAGAGGATACCACTTCTGCTGCAGGAGGTGAAGATACGACCGCCGCCGCCGAAGGGGACACAACGGCAGCTGCCAGCGAATAAATGATCAAAGATCTCCGATCTACACTGCCAAAGCGTGAAGCTGCTATACAGCAGTCGCGTTTTCAGGGGTAGAGGCGGGTGCGTTTCTCGGGTGGCTCAGTTTTGCGCCTTTGTTGCCTTATTTCCAGCTTGAATAGTTTCTGTTTTTTCACTCTGAATTTATTGTAAAAATTGAAATGTACAGCTTACACGCGTAATGCGCGAACTGACAAGAATAATGTCAATAAACAATCAGGATCAAGAACGATATCAAGGAATGAACTTTTGTAGCTATTGATATTAAGTTTTCCAGACAGCAAATAGGGAGCAAGAGCAGTAACATACAAATGAGTCTTTTTAAAAGGGAACTGAATAATTAATTTTTATGGTTCTTAACGCACATGTTACGTAAAGCTTTTTTGCCACAAACGTTACGTACAAATTTTTTGTTTTACAGTAGCACTAATATTGTTAATGCAGCAATCATTTAACACTGCCTTTCTACAGTATTCCGGTCAAAACGGGCTAGACCGGGACCTTTATCCAACAGTACGGGACCGATATCATGCTACTAAATGTCACTACAGAATACAGGTGTTGCCAAGTGTTGCGAGTGCCACGCCTATATGGAGTCCAACGCGTTGCCTCAGCTGATCTTTATCGTAAAACTTGTGGGATCCAGAAATCGCAGAAGTACAAGTACAACTGAGTTGTTCCAGAGCCGTACAGTAGAATATTTGGGTAAAACTGCCATTGCAGACCGTACAGTGAGCAACGTATTCGCTTGAAAATGTTTCAATAATTTCGTAGGTCTATTATTTTTTCCAACTTCAGACGCATTATTTCATTTTTCGTTTATCAATGCTAACCGTATAGCGATTTTGCGAGCGTTATAGCTATATGATAGCTCATTTTATTGACGCGAAAACAAAAGGTAGAGAAGCGCTGCGAATAGAACCATTTATTCAAGCTTCGGAGAATAATGAAGTAAACGTCCCATCGCCGTGCAGTAATTTGAACGAACTACCTATACTCATTACTATGTACGCGCACAGCCGTGCAAACTGAACAATCGATCGAGTATAAGATCGTGCGCCCCTCCTCGGTTGCTCCACAATACCAATACTAGCTTGCAGTGCCGGTAGTGTATGTGATCGATAGAAATGAGATCATAAGGTCTCTATTCTAGCTGCCGAACACGTAAAGCCGCGCGCCACCCCTATGCATCTGCGCGCCATCCCTGTATTGCATCTGCTTCTTCCCACACTCCGCATATTTTCACTGTGCGATCTTGGTGACGAATTGGGGGGCTCCGCAGAAACATGTTCTTCAACAGGATTCGTGAAAAAATCAGTAAAGGTGGCGAGAAAACCAATCGTTCTTTGAATGGGATGATAGAGACAAAGCAGGAAGCCAACATACTGCGAATCTGCGTTGAAGAGGAGACCCACCATGAGAGTATATCCTTCTCCCTCCAGTGGGCGGTGAAGAACTTTTCTGTTTATCGGAATCAGACGGAACCTATGGTGAATACGGGGGTTTCTATGACGGAACTGGGGATTCCGGACTGCAAAGGACATTGGCGTATTAAAATTATTCCGTGTCATCTATACTATTCTAATCAAAAATGAGAAGAAATTAAACTCCTGTAAATTAATAATTTTAATACCAGTTTTTATAATTTAGCTCGCAGAAGCAATCGACGCAGCAGCACCGGTTCCGTGAACACCAATGTTGTTGCTATCCACAAGGATCACAACCACGATAATCAGCGAAGTGATGATGCCAAAATGCACCGACTGTTTGCTCTAATGGGTCTTTGTGTCTTCATCTGTTTTATACCGCCGATGATCTTCTATTTATTTGTCGAGTTCACAGACTACTGGAACGGCACCATTTATGCTGTTGTGCTATGTTTGCAATATCTTAGCTGTCTGTTCAATCCGCTTATTTACCACTGTAATTTACCTCAATTCCGAGAAGCTATGAAAAATTCCTTAGGATGTCGCTAAATGTCTTTTGCTTGCGTATTTGGCTCTGCCTATTTCATATTTGTTCAACAAAAATCGAGAAAAAAAGGAATAGAAAATGATTGAGTTTAAATTGTTTACCGCAAATACATTTGGTGACCACTCTGTACACTAACTTTCCCTACCTTTTACTCCGTACGTTTCTGCTTTGGTTCATGGTTTCGAACAAATTATCCAGCCAACTGTTCGTTAGTCACTCGGGGCTGATTTACTGCGCGTCACTAACTACAAAAATTTTGTTTCCGTTTCAATGGGTTTTCATTTTCTACCAAAACTTGTATTCATGTTTTATTCTGCTTTTTGTTAATTTTATGAGGCGTTAAGAAATCAACACAATACACGGTACGGTTTAAACCGTTGAAGTGGTTCAAAGGGCACAGATTTCAAAAGGTACAAGGCTACTAAAGCCGGCAAATAAATTGCCGCAGGTTACCATTGGTATTGACACACTACACCATAGCCATAGCATAGCCATAGGTAATGCCATAGCATGGTATTGCCATAGGTATTGCACCACACACATTATACTACGAGTAGTCTTCGTTTTGACCTAACACGTGAGACAATTAACTACACTATTGAAGTACTCTGTAGATGGTATTTTTCCAAGTTCTATCACGGTACTAACGCGGTGCAATTGCAAACGAAGCAGACTGACTGGGCTACTGAGGATTATGCTTTGTTTTCATTGCTCACACGCCATTTTTACAGATGAGAGATTCTCACAGAGGATCAGCGATTTCACGCACAAAATGCAATTAAGAGCAATTTGCTGCATTTAACTTCGAAACGCTACAAGTAGCATTTGGCAAATTTACCGCAAGCCAAACAATGTGAAAAATTCATCAAAGGAACGGGTAGCCGGTAAAGTCTAGATCTGTCACGAACTCACGGACAGGAAGTTCGACAGGTCAATACATTAGCCGAAATTCAACGAATCCGCCCGGAAGAACATTCTGGCAGGAAGCGATGCAGTCCGGCAGCAGATGTAAGGTGGATCAGCCTGTCGACGGGATTTTCACTAATTCCGCGATGCAACGGTTAAAACTACCAACACGTCTCATTTCGCTAATCAGTATTGTACGGAATGTACCACATGTTTTGCAAAACTCTATGGACAATAATGTGGCGCTGGTTTCGATATCACAACGATAGCAGCCTCCATGGGTGCCATTATAACTGTTGTCTACAACTTGCTATCGGAATGTATACGGTATCCCGCTGTTCGTGCACTTCGTGGCTCGTTCAACACAATTAACTTAAAGTTGCTGTGTCTAATTGTGCTTACCATGCCCGGGTTGATATGGTGTACAGGGTCTTGTGCAAACTGGGCAGATAAACCCTGCACAAAATCAACTCCAACCGGATCATAAAAACAGATACATAAGCAAAATTAATACGAAAAATTAAGTACACAAATAATAAAATGCACAAATAATTAACTTCATAAAAAACTGAATAGGTTATGATAGGTATGTCTGTACATATTGCTTATTGCAAATTATAAACACCACTGGAGAGCCGTGATAGTAAAGCTTCGCTGTGGTGCAGCAATCACGCCCGCGCGCAGCGCGTTAGGCGGTTTGTGGAGAGGCATTTTTTTAACGTCGAAAACAACTGCATTATCTTTGCAAAAGTACACTATGTAAACGAGTTATGAAAACGATGTAAACGAAAAGTCATCATAAATTGACAATGTGGTAACACCAGTACAGTTGTCGTCGAATCATTCCATATTTACTTGTGCAGCTCGATAATAGCACTTGAATTACACTACAGGTGTCGCATACCGAGAAAAATGAGAAGGAAAATCATCCGTGGCTAGTTAATTAATCGGCCATAAAAGTGTTCAGTTCCATCTGAAATAGTGAGAGCAAATTTAATAACACTTTCTTTCTTAGCATTGTTTTACAGTTACTTACTACTGAATATTTCGAACTGGTATGGTCATGACATTGTACATGTACACAGGTTTCTTCAAACTGCATATCGAGCTGTCTAATTCGTTGTACAGTAAGTACGAGTACTGATGTAGTCTGCACTAGTGCTCACAGATTTTTGTGCCGCTGATCCATTAAACTTGCGCTATTTGCGGATTTTGTAGCTAACCGCATGGCAGTCCGCCTAAGTAGAGTGCAGCGGAGCTGCAAGAGCCAGACCATTCACTAGGGATGCTGTTCTTGCGATCGATCGCGACAGCGATTCCGATGTCAGTTATGAGTACTACTCTAGGTTATAAGCCTTAAAACTGGCGAACGTTCTCATTGCATTCTCCTCCAAATGCATTTGTTTATATCGCGTTCTTTCTCAAAAAAGTTTTGATATTTCCATCGCACCAGCGCAAAGTATTTTTCCTGGTTTCAACACCAACACGTAACACCGGTAGTCTAGTGGAAGAAGGTTCTTCCTCTCTCTCTCGTTTAATTGTGTCTCATTGAGAATTACATGATTGTAGCTGTGATGCACAGCAAATCAAATATCGTTGTGCGAGAATCTACTGCTCACCAGCAGATCACATTTACGCTGCAGTGGACTATCGAAGGCTTCTTGCTGCATCTTTATGATACTGGTACCATGTTTAACGCCGGCATTACCATGGTGGAGCTGGGAATGAACCATTCTCAGGGACGCTGGCGGATTGGACTACAGCCTTGCCATGTGGACCCCGAACACCCGGGAATGGATGGCTTCAGTCTGGCAGCGTATTTGTATCTCACTGACACAGATTTGGAATCCAAGTCGTTCACAGGACAACAAACTTTTTTGGCTGGATGTCGGATAAGGTGTAAACAACAGTTGTCTCTGTTCAGTATATTTCCTTGGCATACTCCTATAGCAGTACTAGGCCAACGGACTACATAAACTTTTACGGAACTTGTTATTTTTTTAGAAAATGGATATTAAACATTAATTTTTAAACTGCGTGAGAAGAATTCTGCCTCCGAAGTACTTACCATAAAAGACTTATGTAAGTCAACGTATTAATTATGCTTATGGTTAGTTGGCTAAGGCAACTGTAATATCAATAATTATTACAGTACATGACATAGGACTGAGTACGTACAAGACTACAATACTCGTATCGATTCCGCAATAAAAATGAAAAATAAAATATAAAAGCATGAAAATAGGTACGTTAAAGCGTAGAAACCATTGCGCAACATAATTATAGCAGCAGGAAAGAAAATTATTGCAAATAATATTTTCTAATCACGTATCAAGTTATCTATGTATGTTAAGAAACCGTGCGTACCGTTTCGGCATCACCGGGTATCCAGAAAAGTATTGTATTCGGTCTTTGATTTTTTGTAGTCTGGCCACCGGAAGATCCATGGTGCAGATTGTTCCCCCAACTGAGCTGTTGACAATCCGGTTTGGAAGTGCTGATTCTTCATATGGAGCAGGCAAACTAATCAGCCATCGTGATCTTACGTCCCAACTGCTGGATGACTGCATTACTGTCACCATGGACGTTAGCTTGGAGACAGGAGCCGAAACGTTTCACATTCTGAACCGGGAACCAGATCAAGCCATCTACCGACAGCAATTCTGTAACCGACTGGCTGACATGTTTTCTGCAGAAACTAATCTGCAATCTGCAGACTTTACCATTTGCTCCAGTGAAGGCCAATCTTTCTCCGTGCACCGCCTCTTATTAATGGCGTTTTCGCCTGTTTTTTCCGCCATGCTAACACATGATTCCATGGAAAGACAGCACGCCCTATGCCAGCTGGATGATATTGATGGGGAAACTGTAACCATATTTCTGGACTATCTATACGGATGCAACATGGCAAAGGTCAATCCTGATAACGCAGAAAAGGTTTTGATTATGGCCGATAAGTATGCTGTGACAGATCTGCGCTCGTTCTGTGAACTGATGCTGAGCAAAAACCTCAATGTGGAGAATGCCGCAAAGTACCTTGCATGCGCTGAACAGCGACAACTGTGTTTGCTGAAGGAGAACGCCCAGTATCTGTTAAATACGGATCGTACGCCACACAGCCTTAGGCCTGAAGGACGAGTTGGTAACAATCATAGCACTGAGGAAACGAAACAGACTACCGTCCCGCAGAAGCCCCCGGGAGAACCCACTAAGCCACGTAACTTTATGCTTTCCTTGGTGGTGTTATTAGCGATTGTTGTGGCATGTTTACTGTTTGGGTTCGCATTTGCGCGCCTTCTCGAAGGGATCACGCTTTAATGAAGCAGTTTCAACAGGCCAGATATTTATTCTGCATCAGCTAAAATGTATAGAAGCATAACTATTTCCATAATAATGGTTTTTCACCAAACATGCAAACGCATGTATGTACATACACTGCCCACAATACGTCTACATAGGAGTGATACGACTACAACTTTAAGTTTCAAAAAAAGTAAAAAGTTTGATTTCTTGGATTTACGTAAGACGGAGCTTAGCGCAATAGTAGCGCACTCCGTTTGATACCTGCCAAGCTTCCGTTCTGGTAAAGATATGCTGTAGAACGTGCCCTCGTAACTATTGGGTTCCGGCGCAGAGACGCTACTCGCACTGTATATAGAGTAGGTACCGCCTCGACTCGAGCGTTCCCACATCTGGATACAACATTGTATCCCTTCTCCAGGAGAGATTATTTCTGTCGCATCGATCAATTCGCCTGCTGGGAAGCATTTTGAGGCTATTTTCAGCTGTTAATGACATCAGTGACATGAGATCTGGATTTGTTATCGATCGCTGTTTGGCGGAATACGAAATGCATTCAGCAGAGTCTCCCTACCCACTGTAGTCTTATACTTTTACTACGAGAAGAGCCGGTACGGAAAAAGTGCTCAAGATTCAAGGTTATCATCCTCACTCGCTGAGCCAGCGAACGATTCTACTGCATAGATCCCTGGAATTACTATTAAAAATAGTTAAATTTCATCGACCTTTTTTGCAGACGTAAGGGCCAAACGCAATGTTGGTACATATACCGTACGTAGCTTTATACTTCGACCAGCCTGTTGGCTCAGTTGAGTATATTTCAATGATCTGTTTGACAACGTGAAATTTTCAGATAACGATACGTGTCAAATTTTCACAATTTAACAATGATGTTTCGTCAACAACTAATAAAGCAGAATTTATCCATTCACAAATCCTATCAACATTTTGATATTGTCTTAATCATTACCGAATTTTGTACTGAACGAAGACGTGGGTAAAGTTAAAACAAATTTCGAACGAAAAATACGTGATACGAGGATGGGAATCCAAGATAGTTTCCTGTAGCAATGTGTGATATCCGTAATTTAATTCATTCTGCGAAAGACAGCTCGCAAAGAATGTGTTTATACAGGAAACGATAAAATCTGATCAATAATAAGTGATATTGTGATAGCATAGGGAATATGGATTAATCAAGCGGGCGAGCGAAGCGAGCCCGCGTTTCTTTTAAGGTGATGCAAAGTGCAAAGTTCCTCACGGGGAGAGCCAACGCTAATGTGACCTTTAGGGTACTTGACACCTCAAAAGACGTGAGTTCCTCACGCGGCGAACCCGAAAGGTCACAGTGGTGACCCTTAGTGACCTTTTGGGTTCTTGACACCCTCGAAGACGTGAGTTCCTCACGCGGCGAACCCGAAAGGTCACAGCGGTGACCTTTAGTGACCTTTAGGGTTCTTGACACCCTCGAAGACGTGAGTTCCTCACGCGGCGAACTCGAAAGGTCACAATGGTGACCTTTCGGGTTCTTGACACCCTCAAAGACGTGAGTTCCTCACGGGGCGAACCAGAAAGGTCCCTGTGGTGACCTTCAGCACCTATGGTTCACTTCGTACCACTTTATAAAATCAGCCGCTTTTTAGTTCACCTTGTTTTCTTATGCATCCCGCACTTATCCTGTGCGCCTTTACGTTGTACAGTAAAACCTCTTAATACGAAACCTCTCGATATAATACAGACACGGTTCCATCGGTTCGTTTGTTATGACCGGGTTTATTTTTATAGAGAAGGCAGCGTTGTTTTTAGGGGGCAAGGACAGTAGTGTGAAGTGTTGGCGGGATGGCCACAAAAATTTTATTACTGCGGCAGTTAACAAGACATTAAAAACGTAATAAATACAATGCCAAATATAATTTTTGATGAAATTAACTGTTAACTAACTGTCTTTTAAGAAAGTTATAGAAAGCAATATAATGGGTTTGCTAAAATTATTTCCTTCAGACGTTAATGTAATGTAATTGCATCACATTACATACGCGTTACTGTATGAACCGTCAGAGTATGCAGCCGCAGCTGAATGTAATACTGAGGTTCTCTTCACCCGTAAAACTGCATTTGGTTCCGCGGAAAGTGTATGTAGCTGTTATGAAGAGGTGAATTCTATAAAGAGTATCTTCCGTATGCTACAGTCTACGAGACTATCCAGTTCCTTACATTTTGAATGTTATAGACGAGTGTACCAAATAAAGAGTGTTTTTAAGGAGAGGTTTTACTGCATTCTGCCTTTTGCAAGTGCATCTGACTTTGTCTTACTGTGTTGCATTAACGTACTCCCAGGAATTCACCTGTATGCTGTCCATCATCAACAGTCCATGTTGACAACGTATTTTTTTAAATCTCTTTAGTTTTCTGCTGGAGCGGTGAATGCGTGTTGAACACAGACCGAATACGTGGGAATGCGCTGACATGCTGCAAGAAGCTGCAGTAAATCAGTCATGAAGGCGAGATAAGCGAGGGAAAATACTTTAGGAATAAAGGCAGAATACAGGTAGTGTAAGTGAGAGTACGCCGTACGGGCACACTCTGAAGGCATATCAATCTCGCCCCTATGACAAAGTACCTTTGGCATTCAGCAGTAATCCCAATTATTCCATCGGTATTCCATATAGCTGTAGACATGACTGTAGCTTCCATTTAATGTGTCCCGGTATTCTCCGTATTCCGCATGTATTCACCAGCGTGTTCTTGGTTTTCATAAATAAAAAATTAGGAAACGCCTTGAATTCGGGCAGAGTGCTTGCGGAATACGTGATAATACCTCGATATTAAAGCGCATGAATGCTGTCTAAGCGGTTCACCATGTGTGACTTTCTGTTCTGACCAGCTCACCACGAGCGTAGCATGACTAGACACATGTATCGGAAGATGCCCATTCTACATATTTCTAAACCTGATTTTAGTTTTTCGTCCGTTCGTACGGGACGTACTAATAAAGTTAAGCCTGCGATCCGGCCGCACAGTGAGTTTGTGTTTCTTTATTCTGGCAATCGTAATCATAGCTGCTTCGTGACCTTACGTCTAGCTCCGTGGAAGTGCTGTATAAGCAATCCAGGTGAGATGCTTTAAGTGCATCGTCGAAACTACACTAAAAAAGACTGCAACAATACATAAATGTTAAATAATTAATAAGTTGTTAGTACGGTAAGAATACAAGGGAATAGGTATTAGGAAGGGATACCGGCTGATTGGCAGAGAACAGTGAAATCAAATTATAGCGGACATAAGATTACAACCAAAATATTTACAGATACATGGAATACAGTAGCACAAAAGGGTATCCGTTTCTTCCGTGGTACGAACAGGGTGACATCTAACCTTTAGTAATATTTAATGTTTTCACACCCCCAAAAAACGTGAGTTCTTTACGCGGCGAACCTAAAAGGTCGCTGTGTTGACCTTTAATGACTTTAATTTTCTTCACCTACTCCAAGACCTGAGTTCAACCCGAGAAATCACTGTGGTCTGCACCCTCAGACCCCGGGGCCTCTGACACCGCAAACCCGGAAGGTCACTGAGCTTTATTTTTCTCGGTTAACGCCGATTTCACAGCGAAAGCGGTTTGTAAACCTAGCTTACCTACCACTCCATATATTATACTATGTCGATGTATTTTCTTTTACAACATGGTTTGTTTGGTCGTACAAGGAAGTGGGAGCAATTCAACCTAAACCTCAACAGTGGATAAAATTATATTACTGTCAATGCTAATCATATTTTGTGATAGCAGCATGATTTTAAAACCGCCGCCTTTGAAGAAATCAACATTTAAAATGCTTAATTAACGCTTTTTGTGAGATAGCTTCTTTGGTTCCTTATGCAACGTTTCCCAAAATATGCGGTTTTCTATGTATTTTGATCTTTAAGTGATTTCAAGCATAATAATGATTTGCTGTATTTTGATAAAGTATTAAGCGCACCTACTCTTCAACTACAAGTAAAAAAGATAAAACTTTAGGGTGCAAGAAATACTTCAACTTTGGTTCGCCCAAAAGGCTTAGGTTTTGTTCGTTGTAAAAAATATATTACATTCATCAGAATAATTGGATTTTCAAAAACTCAAAACGATGAACAAGTATTAAACCGAAGATAAGGGGCAGCTGAACACAGAATGGCGCTTTAACCAGGATTTGATTTGCGTCAGGATGACATTCACAAACTATTTTCGTAGTATCGTAACAGGCCTGTATTGTTTGTCGACCAGCATCGTGTACAATTGAAAGTTTTATTGTACTGGTGACCATATCTTAAACTGTGCTGGTGCTACGTTACAAAGAATATATTCGTAAAATCCGAATTTAACGCCCATCTTTCCCTCAAAATCAATGCTAAAAGCGTCTCCCCGTGCGTACGAAATAGAAACGCTCACCTAGAGACTCTATTAGCGAAAAGCCACTTTTTCTGTATGGCCTCAATCGTATCTCACATAGGCTTGTTTTGTAGAGAAAAAAATCTGAAACTTTTTAGTGTTTTTGAATAAATCGAAAGAAAAAGATTTCTATTCCAAAAGGAAGGAATGATGGGAATATACGTCCCACAATAGGGTCTACGAGGAACCGCATTTTTAGCCGTGCCAGCCCGAATATGAGCCGATCTCCACTGCATACTTAAAGCATGGGGCCAGCCACAGAAACTCGTGTGCGGTAGCCCTAATGTCTTAATCATCGTGACAGACGATTTTAGCTCATGTTCTGTGGCTTCCCAAAATTCTAAAAAGATGTAACAAGCTAGACAACTCAAAATTTTTGAAAGTATGTATCAAGTTTTATCAGTTTCAGTAAGGCAGACACGCTCAATGCAAGTTTATCAGTATGCCGTTTGCCAGGGAACCTAACGTACAAAACACCAGATTTCACAGTTTGCACTTATTTCAAGACCCGGAGTTTCCCGGGGAGATTTTCATCCCAAAACTGAATGAAATCGAAAGATAATGAAGTTTACAAACTTTTGGATTTGGTAAAGTTGTGGTAAATCG